TAGATTCTCAATGCCCTTATATTAACCTCTACGTAGGAGAACTCAATTCTATCAAGATCTCGTATTAGTCGCTGATTTGTACCTCTGGTTCATGGAGAATATTATATATTCTCTCTCATGCTCCTTGGCATTTCCTACGTTATAAGTTAGCGTTCGACATACTAAGCAATTCTCGTAACGATCAGTAATAAAGATGTGAACGGTGCGATATAGATTGTGTTGCAGTTACTAGTCACATCACTACTAAAATGACGTCACTGACATAATGGGTCAAGCTGTAGTTACGTATTATCATTACATGCTTTATTATTGTTATTTTTAAATTAAGAACCGAAATAGAATAGTTAAATAACAGTGTAAATGAAGATATTGAGATCACATGACATTTATAGTCGTTATGAGTGACAAAGCTTGGAAGGTAAACATTTCATTATGTGTTCAATATGTATGCTTGTAAAGCTTTGAAACAAGACAGTTCATTATTTCAATGGAGCAATAAATCTATATAAGACGGTTACCGCATTATAATTGTATAATCTCAATATATATTAACCTGTATGCTGTGACATCAATCCTATCTCCTTAGGACCCACAATCGGATACGGATGCTCGGTAGTATTCACTCTGTCCATCCGTCTGTCTGTCCATAAAATCAGTTTCTTTTTGTTAACTTTAATATCAACACCATTTTGACGATTTAGTTAGAATACGCCTCACGATTATTTACACAGAATAATGTCAAATTGACTATACCTTATCACAACATATGTTTTGTCATTACGGACATGTCAACTCACCCACCCGTAAAACCGACCTACTTTGCAAGACACAGCGGGGAGATGGTAGGAAGCAAACTAATTCAAATACAGATCTTAATTTACTTATTCTTCGTTCATGGAAAGTATATGGGTGGTAAATTAAGATATGTAATTAGATTAGGTAGAAAATCGCTCCGTTTTGCAATGAGATGGCAAAACGCTCATTTGTACCAGGTAGATTGGTGGCAATGTCGGACGTCAATCCAAAATACAGATAATTGTAGACTTTTGAATCGCGATATTGATAAACATTTTTGTCGTCTAAGTCTATAATCTTTGCTTATATGCAAATTAAAAGTATGTTCAATCTGTTCTAAAAGTAGAAAATATCTGCTAACAGCAGGTATGTCGTGTTGACCGATATCGATGACGAATCTGTGCTGTGACCTTTGCTATAATATTACTTTGTTGTGAAGAATTAAAGTAAAAAAATCTGTGTTAAAAATTCCATTTTGTGGTTTTATAACCGATTTTGGTATGATCTTCGGAGCCTGTTAATGCCTCTCCACACATAAACAATCATTCAAACTTAGTTTTTGGTATGTGATAGGAAAAATAACCGACGAAAATTAACTCAGCATTCTGACCATTGGTTCATATTGACCTACATAGTAGTGTTTCTGTGCGACAGTGTCGGGACCTAATGCATGACCAGCAGCCTCCACTACATAGCAACATATCTATATAGACAGTATTGTTTATTCCTAAATGTAGACAAAGGTACTTTGTGCAATGATAAATGGCTGAGTCAGTTAAGACGTTCTAAACGACAGACAATACTGAATTTTATCATCAATATTTCGGCAGTTGCGAAACTTAAGATAAAGTTGTGACACCATATGACTTTGACTATAGAAACTAAGTACAAAGTTGTACTATTCAGATCCCACAAAGTTACTGCCCTTCGTTTTCACTCTATCAGTATTGCGATAAGCTTGACAGCCGATGGGGCCGAGAATGGGATTTACGAGGCGACCAATATGGGAGTCCTTTCTGCAAAATTGAAAAAAAACTCCACTAATTAAGAGAAAGGCTCTAGAACATATAGCACATATTTACCTTCATTTTTTTTCTTAAAAGAAAAAAAAAAGAAGAAAATACCAATATGTCCATTCTGAAGACAGTACGATGAGAATAAGACTAGGTGTTCCGGAAGAGTAAACGTCTTCTGCTTCATCGACGACACCCGCCATGTAAACCTTTGTCAATGCGAGTAAGCAATGTCACATTTTCTAATGAGAACAAGGTATACAACAACGGAACCAACACAAACTGACGAGCATCAACCTGCATCTTTTGAAACACCGCGTTACGAGTGTGTCCGAAAAATCGTGATAATGGGAAACATGCCATTATATATCAAACCAACAGCAACATGTCAACACCACGGGCTGAGCATACAGAGATCTGTTGCTATTCAGAAATGGAAAATTCACAATAGGGCATTGAAAATTGAAATCATCAAGCTCTTCATACAGCTTGTTGGAAAGCTGTCCGTGTTGGTTTCGTTGTAGGAAAAGATCGAGATATGAAGCTGATGTAGATGAGTCTGTCGGGTCCTTGATTCCAATTCTGGTGGATATATTCGATGGACGTAATAAATAATTTTATTGTTATTTAAAGACAAGACGTCATCTATATATCTGAAAGTGAAATTAAACGACTTTGCAAAGTCTGTGACCAGTTGTAACAAGCTTTGATAAATTCAGTCTTGTATGAATCATTTTTCGGCTTTTTGTTTTGTTTTTGTCATAGCTCATTTTAGGAGATTACAGGTGGTTTGTGTACCAGATGCATAACATCATCAAAAGTTTTCTATCTTGGTCGCGGTGACCACTTCGAACTACTTATGACCACGCGTGCATTGTTTGGGTATTACTCGGATCACATGTACTAGACTTGTCTGTCAATACTCCTAGTATAAAAGAGAATTGACAGACGAGACTAGTACCTGAGCTCGGATTCACGTTAGCTGTGAAATAAATCTGTGTTACTTGACTGGTAGGTGTGTCATGCTAGCAAGTCCATGTTATATCATTTCACAGGTACAGCACTTTCAATATGCCCCGGAAGAAAACCGACCGATCACTGGGAAATGTCATTGAATTACTATATCTTTCTAGATTCGGTACCTGATGTAAAAACTAGAAATATCAAAATTGTACGTTAATTAAGTTGTCGTCTACAAACAGTATTTAGATGAGCCGTTATTTTACAGGTGGTTGATGGTGACACCAGCAGCAGAGATGGTAGTACCTACCGCTTGGTAAGTAACCCAGTCTGGTATTACATACGCTAGTTGCTTCCGGGCAATTTACAGAAATAATACTATGTCTGATCTAGTATATGTATATATGTAATAGGAAGGAGTAATAGAAAAAGCCCTGCCACCGCTGGGGTTTGAACTAGCAACCCTTCATTCTCTAGCTGGACACTCTACCACCCGACTAAAGTAAGTCAGCCTGTACTCTCAACTGCTACATATCTACAACAATGTCTGATCCGACCTGTTGCAAATTCAAACAGAATTTATGTGATTGTCTATGTTTGGTGTCAACTTTTGTTATGCAGTAATGTACACAGAAGGAGTAATACATGGACAAAGGCTTGGAACATGTACCATGTCCCTGTACAAAATACATGGTCAACAATTTCCATAAACCACAAATTATGTCATGTTAACTAACTGTAACAAACAATTACCAGAAAACCTGTTTATTTCACATCATTTATTTAAGTATCTAATTTACATTTGTAAACACATCTTCATAATCAACAGCTCCACCCTGGTCACAAACTGTCATCCCATTAGTACAGAGTTACATACACAGAAGATTGGAAGCAATCCAACAGGTGGTCATGTCTCAATGATACAAGGGGCGATAACTCTGTTGGGGGCGCAGATAATACATATAGAATTTTAACTCATTCAAACGTGTCAAGTGACAGTTATTTTATTGCAGGTTTTAAGTCAGAAAGTACAAATATATGATATTCATTAAAAGGTGTCAACAGGATTTGAAACTGAAATAATAGTTTTAAATTAAAACTTGTCACCAAATGTTACAGCAATCAGTCATAACAGCTTGGTGGTCTCTAAAGCCTGGTATCTACCCAATAGAAACAATATAGTAGTATTCCTGAGATGGTTCTCACTGACCATGGTACCTGTTTTTGGTGTATTAAAGACAGATCTAACTTTAATCAGATCCAGTTAGGTGTAACCATCACACACAGTAGGCATCACTCTGTCACCAGTTTCAGACTAATATTTGGAGAGATAGTCCAGATTTGAAAACAGAAAGAAAAAAAAAAAGATATAAAATATATCAATGTTTTTACATGCCATAATCTCTGTGCACTAACACGGATTTATACAACAGTATAAAATAGTATTATTCTTAACATTTTCAATACATTAAATATTGTATTGAAACCAAACATGAATATTCAGCACAAAAGATGCATAGATCAATATCATAACTTACAACAAGCACTACAACATCATGGTACAGATCATATAAATTCTACTTACAACTTAATCTAAAAATAGTTCAAACTTCAATACATATCGGTTAATCTAAAAATAGTTCAAACTTCAATGCATATCCATAATTGATACATACAAGGCTTATGTACCCCACTAGGTAGAAAATGTACCTACAGTAGAGAAAGAAATAGACTTAAAAACAATAAAAATAGACGACAGTATTCTAGTAAAATAGCACTTAATTTAAAAACTGTATTGATCTTAAAATTCAATGTTAGTCCAGCTAAATATACATCACTCTGAAAACATTAATTCAATGTTTAAAATCAATTCATCAGTAAAAAATACCATTCTAACAAACATTTTTTTTTTTAAATTCAAATGTACTTTTGTTCAAGATTTTTTCTTTGTGTATTTCACATTTTTCTATTTAGAGCAAGTAGAACTAAGGTAAATAAAACACAAATTTATTGTTTGTCAATTTCACTTAAATGATAATTTGGCTCTCTGGAATCAACACAATATTGCAGCATTATTACAAGCAATGAAATGTATCATCAAGTTTCCTTTTGTTAAATGTGATGGTCATGGTACTGCTGCCATGTTGTGTAGAAAGTCAATTTTGTTGCTGCCTAAACAGAGAGAGCCAATTTACAAAACATTATATTATTATCAAAATATTTGTAGCAAAATCTAACATTAAGAAAATAATCAATAATCTTTCACAAAATGTTTTACTTTATCTGAAACAGAATTAACTGTTCTCTTGCAGTTGAAGTATATTTATCATAAGATAAATATTCATAACCTTAATGTATCATCAAAGAGTGAGAAACAGTGAGGACAAGCACAAAAGTTTGTTGGTCAAAACTAAAATTCTATTACTAACATAGTTAATGTGGTTAAATACAGAGTAAATACTCAGTTATGTACATCTCTATGTTTTTTTCCAATAATCTTACTTTTGTAAGCATATTGGTGTTATCTCCCCTTAATAAAATTCAAAATTGCTGCCATTTATGTTTCATAAGGGAGACTAACTATACACTTTGGAAAAAAAGATGATTAACAACATACACAATAATGAAGTGCGTTAATGTTATATCTCTAACAAGTGTTGTCTTATGTTACAGTAACCTCAACATACACAGAGTAAGGAAACAAAAAAACGTGTTTGTATTGTGAAATAAACATGATATGAAGATAAACAGCAATGATATATTTGACAATGAAGATAAACAGTGATGATATATTTGACAGCAGTCCAACATGTTAGGAATTGTCATAATCATCATTATAAAGCAACAAAATACAATCTTTACTGTGTAACATTTGTCAGAAATATCATGTTACATACCCTTATAAAGGTAACATCTGAACAATGATTTCACACCAAATAAATTCATTCATATACATAAATAACATACAATATAAAATACCAGATGATCACAGACATACTCTTCCACATTAATATCACAATCAAAACTCATAATAGCACCTTCATTTCCATACATTTCATCACTGACAGACAGGCAAATGCACTCCCTCACCATTTCACATCATATCACAGACTCGCTTTCCCACTCTCTCCATCACACATACGAGTAAACAATCATCTAACATACACTGGTGACTGCTGCATCTGTAACAAGAGTTGTCGTTTTTCTGCCTCAAATTGTGCCATCATTTTCTTTCTTTCTTCTTCAAATAATTGCTTAAGCTGTTCCTTCTCCTTCTCTAACCTGGCCCTCTCTTCCTCCTTCTCCTTCTCTAACCTGGCCCTCTCTTCCTCCTTCTCCTTCTCTAACCTGGCCCTCTCTTCCTCCTTCTCCTTCTCTAACCTGGCCCTCTCTTCCTCCTTCTCCTTCTCTAACCTGGCCCTCTCTTCCTCCTTCTCCTTCTCTAACCTGGCCCTCTCTTCCTCCTTCTCCTTCTCTAACCTGGCCCTCTCTTCCTCCTTCTCCTTCTCTAACCTGGCCCTCTCTTCCTCCTTCTCCTTCTCTAACCTGGCCCTCTCTTCCTCCTTCTCCTTCTCTAACCTGGCCCTCTCTTCCTCCTTCTCCTCCAACTTAACACTAACTTCCTCCTTCTCCTTCTCTAACCTGGCCCTCTCTTCCTCCTTCTCCTTCTCTAACCTGGCCCTCTCTTCCTCCTTCTCCTTCTCTAACCTGGCCCTCTCTTCCTCCTTCTCCTTCTCTAACCTGGCCCTCTCTCTTCCTCCTTCTCCTCCAACTTAACACTAACTTCCTCCTTCTCCTTCTCTAACCTGGCCCTCTCTTCCTCCTTCTCCTTCTCTAACCTGGCCCTCTCTTCCTCCTTCTCCTCCAACTTAACACTAACTTCCTCCTTCTCCTTCTCTAACCTGGCCCTCTCTTCCTCCTTCTCCTTCTCTAACCTGGCCCTCTCTTCCTCCTTCTCCTCCAACTTAACACTAACTTCCTCCTTCTCCTTCTCTAACCTGGCCCTCTCTTCCTCCTTCTCCTTCTCTAACCTGGCCCTCTCTTCCTCCTTCTCCTTCTCTAACCTGGCCCTCTCTTCCTCCTTCTCCTTCTCTAACCTGGCCCTCTCTTCCTCCTTCTCCTTCTCTAACCTGGCCCTCTCTTCCTCCTTCTCCTCCAACTTAACACTAACTTCCTCCTTCTCCTTCTCTAACCTGGCCCTTTCTTCCTCTGCTTTGATCTCAAATGCTCTGGCTTTCCTCTGTTCCTGAATTATTCCGTTTATGGCCTCATCAGCTAGCTCTTGGGCCTCGTTTCTTGCCTCCATTGCAATATTCACATCATTTAAAGCATCCAGTTTCTCTCTATGTTGTTGATCTGCTCTGTTCCTCTCCCGCACAGCTCTAGCCTGCTCAATGGTAACCTCATTGTTAAGAAGACGAGCCCTTTCCTGGAGCCTGTCCATGTCACGGTTGATGTTGGTCACCTCTACGTCTTTATCAGCCAGCTGGTTGATTAGGTGTTCTGCAGAACAATTCAAACAAATTTAAACACATACAAAATGCAATATTAAATCCATTCTAGAACATTGATTTGATGAATTTCAAAATAATTCCACAAATCTTACCTCACGATTTATTTTCTTTAGCATATTTTAGGTATTAAAAAAGAAAAAAAACTGATGTCATAGGAAACAAGATTGATCAGCATGTTATTCACTATGTTTTACCAGAATCAGAATTAATGTTTTTTAGGGTTTTTTCATCTTTTTAAATGATAAAGACCAAAAGAAGACATTTTACTGTCACTATTAACTCAAGACATGGTCTTTCTACAATGTACAAAGACATACCTATGATACTTTGTGATGAGTCAACTCAAGACATGGTCTTTCTACAATGTATATAGAGAAACCTATGATAATTTGTGATGAGTCAACTCAAGACATTGTCTTTTTACAATGTACAAAGACATACCTATGATAATTTGTGATGGGTCAACTCAAGACATTGTCTTTCTACAATGTATGTAGAGAAACCTATGATAATTTGTGATGGGTCAACTCAAGACATTGTCTTTCTACAATGTACATAGAGAAACCTATGATAATTTGTGATGAGTCAACTCAAGACATTGTCTTTCTACAATGTACATAGAGAAACCTATGATAATTTGTGATGGGTCAACTCAAGACATTGTCTTTCTACAATGTATGTAGAGAAACCTATGATAATTTGTGATGGGTCAACTCAAGACATTGTCTTTCTACAATGTACATAGAGAAACCTATGATAATTTGTGATGGGTCAACTCAAGACATTGTCTTTCTACATTGTATATAGAGAAACCTATGATAATTTGTGATGGAGTAACTATATAACAGCCAACACCAAAAAATTGTTTTGCTCATTCCGACATACAGGAATTGATGTATCTACTTTTTGAACATTATATGAGGGCTGATTGACAAGTTGTGAGGCTCATATTTAATGGTTTAACTTTTGGTGGACATATTGCATTATTTTTCAACGTGATGTCCTTTAGTAGCAATAGACTTTTGCCAGCAATGTTTAAGGTCCCCAATCTCACTTTTAAAGAAGTCATTTTCTTGACCATTCAGAAAGTCCTCCACTGCACGTATAAAGTCATCATCTGACAGAAAGTGGGTACCAGAAATAGCCTTTTTCAATTTTGAAAATGATGAAAGTCTGATGGAGCAAGATCAGATGAATGAGGCAAATGCTCAATCAATTCAAAGCCACAATCGTTAATGGCAGCCATGGCCATGACAGACTTGTGAACAGGGGCATTGTCCTGGTGGAACAACATACCTTTACTGAGTTTTCCACAGCATTTAAGTTTAATATTTTCCCTTAGCTACCTAAGAAGCAGTGCATAGTATGTGCCATTGATTGTTTATCCTTTCTGCAAATAATCTACCATCAGATTACCATCAGTATCCCAGAACACTGAGGTCATAACCTTTCCAGCTGATGGAACAGCCTTTGCCTTCTTTGGCCGGGGTGAACCAAAGTACTTTTATTGTTTAGATTGTTGTTTGTCTCTGGGGTGAAATGATGGACCCATGTTTCATCCATAGTCACAATCCTCTGCAGGATCTGCCTCTAAAAGGTTTAATTTAGCATGCGACAAAGTCTGCCTGGTGTGCTTCTGATCAACTGTCAGAAGTCTTGATACCCACTGAATGAGAGCTTTCTCATTGCAAGATCTTCTGCAAAAATGGAATGTACTCTTTCCTTTGAAATCCCAACTGTACTGGCTATATATCTCTCTTTAACTCACCTGTAAACTTAACCATATCATGGACTTTATTTACCATTTTTTGGGTTGCAACAGTAACAGACCTTCCATGACAGGCGTCATCCCCAAGGCTCTGTCTGCCACGCTTAAATTCCACCACCCATCTTTTCACTGTAGCATATGAAGGGGCATCATTCCCTTGTGTTGCGACCATACCAGTATGGATATTCTTAGGTGCTAGACATTTCTTATGGAAATATTGAATCACTGCTCTTTCTGTGATTGTGTCCATTTCCCAAAAGTCACTTGCCTTGTTTACTTTAAAGTGCTACCTCTTTGAGATAAACTGACCACATGGCACCAGTCTTCAGCTACACAGCCTTAAAGAGTCAGGTAATAGTATAACTGAAAAAGGACATCCCTGCTTATTTTTTTCAATACAAGGCTCACAACTTATCAATCAGTCCTCGTAGCTGGCTATAAAAAGAAGGTCTTTGACATGAACTGACCAAATGACATCAGTGTTCAGGAACACAGTTCTGAATAGTTCGGGAATAGTAGAGCTGATTATGTATGATGTGATAACTGTTTATATTTATGATACATTATTGTATTACCTATGCCAGTACCTTTGATGCGGTTCCATTGAAAATCAAACTCTGCGTGAGTTGGCTCCCTTCCATCTTCGAAAAAAATCAAAATAATTCCAATTAGTCAGGAAACATGAAAAAAGACAAAATCTTAAATAAATGTAAGGGAATACTGGAAAAGGGAGACAACTATTATGTAACAAATCCACCAATAACTCACTGATGTTGACGACATTAGTCAAAGACTATTGACATATCTTCTAATGTGACGTTACTCAAAATGGAACACTGATCAGATATTTGATGCAGATTTCTTATTTTGCTATACAAGTGATTATTAACTATTCTAAACCAAAAAAAGGTATTTATTAATTATCATTTTATGTTGCTTATCATCTCTGTTTCAAATCCAAAAAATGAAATTATGAAAAATTCACGGAAATTATGCCATGCAACACTACAAACATTGTATCATGTAACACTTCTGATAGCTAAGTGATGTGGATTAATGAGAGAGTTAGTGAACTTTGATAGAATGAAGAAAAATATTCAAGATTATGTCTGTTATTTCTATAAACGAACAGAACATGACAGGTGTTCCATTTTGGGTATCCCTACCTGTTGAAATGCATAATTGAACCTAGCATGCCTTGTTGCATTCTATCCATAGACATGTGTGCTGCTGACATTTAACCAAAGCATTAAATGAAAGTTAAAGGTATATTTTTTGTGAAATACCAAGAAAAAATACAGATGTGGTAGAAAATGTTTACAACTTTCAAAAAGTGTTCCAACTTGGGTATTGTCACATTAAATCATTTATTACTGGTAAAGGTGGAATCGTTTACAATAAACTCTGGTCATAAAGTTACGACCTATCCTGTTTATTTGACCAGCTGAAGTTTTGAAGTCTGAGATAGTGATTGCTAATGATGTCTTATTTATTATCTAGTGGACCTACGACAACTTCAAGTACAGTCCTGTACGCATGTATAACATTCTCTAGTGTCGAGTTGGTGACTTCCACAAATGTAACATTCAAATTCATGAAAGAACGTATATAATTACTGAACCAGTGATTTGCTGACTATCACACTTTATATAGGTGTAACAGTCAAATTCACACAGGATTTCTGACAAATATTGTAACATTTGTGGAGAACCAGTGATTTGCTGACTATCACACTTGATGTAGGTGTAATGTTCAAATTCACAGAGGATTACTTACAAATATCATGGCATTCATGTATAACTAGTTGAACATCTCTGGAGAAAGCGTACCGCCTCGTACCAACGTAATCGTTTATCATGGCATCCTCTCTCTCGGTCAAAATTTGTAACAACTTTGCAAAATCCACTGTTTCACCTGTCAGACCATCCAAATAAAACAAATGTTGAGCTTAAAGTTCTCATTTACAGATACGAATGTATATAAATATAATGCTTAATTTGGATTGGACAGCATAAAATCAGATGAGGTGGTTTGTAACTAAGGGTATTATGATAAAGATCATTATAAATTTGGAATTATGAATTTAATCTTTCAACAGATTTGAATCATGGTGACTTATTATAGAAAACAATTATTTTATATATTCTGCAATAGGTCCAGGGGTAACATTACTTCTAATTTAAAGTCAGGGTATGGGGTTATAATAGGACAAGAGTTCCTCGCAACTGTATGTGTCGCCTGCATAGAGTGTCACAGTCACCCAGAAATTGAACTGGATGTGCAGGCAACATAAACATACCAAATTTCATTTCTATAACTTGAAGAAAGGGAAAACTTCAAAGCAATATTCTAAGTTGAAAATTGAAATGCCAAAAAGGGTCATGACCCTCAAACCTAATCTGTACCCTTGCAACAAAAAGCCATATGCCAAATTTCATTTTGATAATTAAAGTTATATTCTCAATGCCAGCTCTGCAGGCGACACAACAATGATAATGAGAAAGATTACTTCAGTTATCTTACTAAATTGAAATGGACTGATATTAAAGTTATATTTTGGAACTGCCAAATGGTGGACTTACATGGTCCAAAATTAAACAACATTAAACAAACAAAAAGTGTAAGAAATCTATCATTTTTCACATTTTGAAATAACAGGTGGCCATGGTAGGTCATACTTTGTTAAAACTGATTTTTTGAGGAGAATCCCTCAAAGAATGAAGCTGCTAGAGTGCAAAGATGGATGGCAAGGGAAAATATAAGCAAGTGTAGATTTATTACCAAAGAAATATGGTAAATTGCATCCCCAGATTAATACAGATTTTGCAAAACTAAATTTTGATGGAATATGACACAAATTGAAGATTGTCGGTGATGTTTCTTTACGATTGTGGCATAAACCAAAATGTGTATATACATCATGTCACTCTTTCTCAACATTACAGTATATATATTGAGACTGAAATATTAAAATGACAATATAGCTGATGTTGTGTTTTATCTCACTTTTTCGTAAATAAGAGATTAGCTTATAATTCAATTTCATAGCAAGGAACATATAGAAATTTGTTGGTAAATATTATATTGCAAATTAACTCATTGTTTTATTGAAACAAAGTTAATCTTTACCTCTCTCATTGAGGATTTGAAGTCCATTTCTGATCTGAGCATCAGTGAAAATTTCCTTGAGAGTCCTGATATGAGGTTTGTTCATCTCCTGACTGATCCAGTCCTGTGCCGGTTCTGACACCTCTACTGTGGTGACCAATGAATAATGTTCCTCTAAACACTGAACATAATGTTTATAATACAAAGTCCATTCATCATATTCTGCAGCAGACCCAAAATCCAAACCATGTTCAGAAGTAAAAACATGTAAACCGCCAGGCACAGTAATCCACCATACATTGCCATTCTTTAGTGATTCCCAAAAGTCAACTCCCAACAATACATGTTCTGACTCTAATCCTGCGATAGCCTGTTTGGTATTGACATTCTGCATCCAGGACATAACCATATCATACACAAAGTTTCCATGTGCACTCGTATTCAGAAGTAAAGCTCCTAACACTGAATCAGATTTCAGGAAAACAGGAGTCCTGCTGTAGTTGGCCATGTTTTTCTATATATACGTCACCTGAAATAATATTGTTAAAGTTGTTCTAAATGAATGTTAATTTTCAATAAGGATGTTACTGTTCATATAATATAACAAATGAATTAAACAGGGAATAATCCATACCTCTTAAATAATAATCTTATTCCTCATTTCAGTAAAAGATAAAGGCAAATGGTTGATTTTAATTATGCCCTCATCCAAAACTTTTTAAAAATTCTCCAGAGTGTACAGAAATCCATCATGATAACAACACTGGTTGCAATATTATGATAAATAGCATTATTTGTTTATTATGATAAATATAATCAAATAGCTGTAAAATATAATACAAATACACCAGTGTCATATTCCTCCTGTTGATACAAATGTATCAGCGAGTGACCATCAGATCAGGTCTTTTACGATTATTTTTGGCACGCAATGACTTCGATATAAATCTATTCCTGACAAAGGTGACGAATATATCCTTTATATTTTATTTAAAGTGATAATGGCATGGAAATGTGTTTATTTTGCACGTGAAATCGATTGATGTTGTTAATTTCTTGTTAGTGTCGATATGTCAGATTTACCCATTTCCTAAAAATATTGCGGTATCTGACAACCTTGCACTTAGTAACATAGTTAGTTATCATTACAGTAGGCATCTATGAAATACTAGAATTGAAGAATCATACAGAAATAAGACCGGCATTCGGCTGTTATAAGCTTACCGAATTAGATCAAGTTGTTCTATTTTGGTAAATAGACCATCCACCATTTTCCAAAAACAACATCTGTCAAACAGACGCTTAATTCCCGTTTCTTCGGTTCTTCTTCTCGGTAGAACGTTTGAATGAGTCGGATGCTGCATTTTGACTGGCTGGCGGGGAAAATGCGGCAATATTAGAACTACAAGTTTAGACTTCAGTAGCCTGGGAACTGTTTTCTAAACGAAGACACACGTTTCATTGGCTTACTTTTGTAAGAATATGTAATAATATCACGGACTAGCTGTACAACAAAAACAATATGTATCCCTTTCCCCTTGTGAATGAGCAGTTATCCGTTGACTTCATATGATTGTTTACACAATGTTTCGCGGGGAATTTTGTATGACTTGCGAAGATGTTAAATATAAATCACTAAAACATGAACAAAGTCTGAACATATGCGTGATTTATATCTCTTTTCATTGAATCATATATATATATCGGGTAACAGTAATTGGGCCGATGTCGTGTGTTTAAACTACGGACTTCGGTACTATATTTATCTAAGTATCAGGTTTAACTACACTATATACTATCTTTCCCATTATTGATACAAATGAATGTGAAAATATATATGATTCAGTGAAACAAGATATACATGCACATGTAATACACATTCACATTTCGGACTCTGGCTTAGATACTGTATATATCAGTCTGTGGTACCTGTTTTAGTCCTACAAAGAGAAATGGTCGCCTACAATCTTTGCTCTTGAGGGAATTTCTTGATTCAATTCTCGGTGGGAGAGGCCAAGGCACATTGGTCACTTCCTGTTACAAACATTTGGATAGGAATAATTCTTATGTGTTTATCAAGTCATTACCTTTGCAAAACCCACCTCCTCTGCCCTGGTCATTGCAGCACATTTCAGTGATTTTTTGGGTCTTGGATATTTGAGTCCTGAACTCCAGATATTCCTGTGGGACTTTCTGAAATTTTGAGGAACCACATCTCTTTGTATTGGAACTCATAATAAAATGGAAAAAGTGTTTTGGACTTGTCTTACAAAATTGCCATCATTTACACAAAGATATTTAGGGTATATTTGGAAAGATTGGCACCTGCTTTCAATGCCCAGTTTTCTTTATTGTTAAATAGGCTTTAAGTGATGATATTTTACTGTGGATAATTTGTACTCTGGAATACATCAATGTTGAGGTTCGGTGCACAAACTGCAACAAACTTACCTAAATCTGATTCTAAGTTAAAGTTAATTGTACTTTGGTTTGTTAAGCCCATATGATTCATTTCAATGTGGTGTTTTTCACCGTTATCATGATTTCCCAACCTCGGTATTGTCACACAGGTTGGTAATCAGCTGTAATCAAGATTTCTGTCCAACCTCGGTATTGTCACACATGTTGGTAATCAACTGTAATAAAGATTTCTGCCCAACCTCGGTATTGTCACACATGTTGGTAATCAGTGTAATGAAGATTTCTGTCCAACCTCGGTATTGTCACACATGTTGGTAATCAGCTGTAATGAAGATTTCTGCCAAACCTCGATATTGTCACACATGTTGGTAATCAGCTGTAATGAAGATTTCTGTCCAACCTCGGTATTGTCACACATGTTGGTAATCAGCTGTAATCAAGATTTCTGTCCAACCTTGGTATTGTCACACATGTTGGTAATCACTCGGTATTGTCACACATGTAATGGTCCAACCTCGGTATTGTCACACAGTAATCAGCTGTAATCAAGATTTCTGTCCAACCTCGGTATTGTCACACATGTTGGTAATCAGTGTAATGAAGATTTCTGTCCAACCTCGGTATTGTCACACATGTTGGTAATCAGTGTAATGAAGATTTCTGTCCAACCTCGGTATTGTCACACATGTTGGTAATCAGCTGTAATCAAGATTTCTGTCCAACCTTGGTATTGTCACACATGTTGGTAATCAGCTGTAATAAAGATTTCTGTCCAACCTTGGTATTGTCACACATGTTGGTAATCAGCTGTAATCAAGATTTCTGTCCAACCTCGGTATTGTCACACATGTTGGTAATCAGCTGTAATCAAGATTTCTGTCCAACCTCGGTATTGTCACACATGTTGGTAATCAGCTGTAATCAAGATTTCTGTCCAACCTTGGTATTGTCACACATGTTGGTAATCAGCTGTAATCAAGATTTCTGTCCAACCTCGGTATTGTCACACATGTTGGTAATCAGCTGTAATCAAGATTTCTGTCCAACCTCGGTATTGTCACACATGTTGGTAATCAGCTGTAATCAAGATTTCTATCCAACCTCGGTATTGTCACACATGTTGGTAATCAGCTGTAATCAAGATTTCTATCCAACCTCGGTATTGTCACACATGTTGGTAATCAGCTGTAATCAAGATTTCAACCTCGGTTGATTTGGTTCAGCAATTAATTAGTTATTGTCATAATAACAAAACAACTTTGTGGCAGAGGGAATTAAGGTTTTCAGGCAAATAAATTGGTTGAAGTGACCCAAGATTAAAAGAACTGAGAGCATAGGTAGTTGATTGGGTATATATTTCCCTCTATACCATTTTGTGCCCCCTCCCTATCCAAACAGATCCTCTCTTTATCCAAAATTTTGGGTCCTCTCTGCCGATTTACTTGCTCAATAACACAAGTTGCCTCCAATGCCATGTATTCCAGGGTAATGTCAAAGTAAAATAAAACCAACTAAAGTAAGTAGGAGGACTGGGCATTGGAAACAGACACCTACCTTTGTCAATCTGTTTTGGCCACCATCTTGGTATGTCCTGTCCCTAGCTGGTACTTAGCAGCAACTATGTAAGAGCTTGATCCTGATTTGATATTCGTCTTTTATGCTTCTACGTATTCCTAATAGAATGTCTGAAATGCTCATTTTACAGGTTGGAAGGCAAAGAAAACGACGCAATCGCTACATTTACATAGGATTATTTGTAAGTATTTGGACATATTTCAAAGAGGTATTGTTTTGATATGCTCAGATATAAATACACTTATACATCCCCTGGTAGGAGCATGATTCTAAATTTATTGAAAAAAAAATTTTGTCATCTTTTATGAATATTGTCGTTAGAATTTACTCCTGCCATTGATCAGAAACAATATTTTTTATCTAGGGACAATATTTCTTTACAGACTTGGGGTGGAGGTCAATTATGAGATTTTTTCAGATCAGCCTATGTTTCATGGTTACAAGGTCAAGCTCACTTGCTGATTTACTGTCAAACAATGATCCTACATGTATGTAGTTCATGACAGTCAACATCAACACCATGAGTAGCTCATAGGAGCTGTAAATCAGTAGATATTCATATTTCTGACATTTTTGAGTTTGATAAAAGGATCAGTGGGAGTTAACATTGTTTCCAAAGATCGTTAGAGTTTGCCTAGATCACTCATGATTTGATATAAACAGAAGTTAAAGTATAAATAAATGAATTATGTGGTATGTTATTCCCAGGTCGCTACAGTGTTTGTTTTAGCCATTGGTTTAGGGCTTGGTCTTGGACTCAGACACAAAGATGATGACGGCAATACAAACAGTGCAGCAAAAAGTCAGGAAATACAGCAGATTGGAGGGTTTACAGGAAACACTGCACCTGTTTCTGTGGCAACCAGTATACCACCCCATTCATCTTCCCTAACAACAACTGTCCCTGTGACAACTGATGTCAACAAGGAAACAACAGTTGCCTCCACCATTCCAGGCCTCACCACCCAGGACACGGGAACTCGTACCTGGATAGAACAGCCATGTGAGATGAACAAGAAATCTTGTCCATGGCAAAACAGGTTTGTATATGTATCAAAAATTTTCTCACAAGCTCTTTATGAAAAAATTTCTATCAATGTTTATGATATCAATGGAATTTTGCAATAATATTACGTTATATTTAATTGTCTTAGACAAACTCCTCCCCTACTGCTGGTGTCACTGGATGGATTTAGAGCGGAGTATCTCCATCGGAATATGACACCTACCATTCAAAGGTTGAGAGATTGCGGGGTACACACACCTTACATGAGGGCCACTTACCCAACTTTGACCTTTCCCAATCACTACACCATTGTTACTGTAAGTATACACACATTCTAGATATCTGACCTTGACCTGTAAATACCCATTACATTACTGACCTTGACCTGTAACTACCTGTACATTGATGACATTGACCTTTCCTTATTACTATACCATCACAACTGTTACTGTAGTAATACACATATTCTAGATACCTGACCTTGACCTCTAAGTACCCTCACATTACTAACCTTGACCTGTAAATACCCTTAAAACTACACCATTACTTTTGTTACTAAAGTATACACATAATCTAAATACCTGGCCACTTTGACCTTGATGTTGCCCTTACATTAGTGATATCGACCTTCAAAAGTTCTTCAATAGTTGACCCTGTTTTTGTCAACACTCATAATCCCTTACAGTCTTTTGACCTTTAGTAGCACTGTATATCAATTACATAATATTCAAGTACCATCATTTACATTTACACCTACATTATCATCCGTCTACTCGTGGTGTAGATGTTTACTGTCATGAAGTTAATCATGATCAGCAATATTAGTAATTAAGTCTGCAAAGGAGTGATTTGTGGTTGTGTTAATTATAAATGTACTTGATGTCTGTTCTCATCAGGGCCTGTACCCAGAGTCTCATGGAATTGTAGACAACAACATGTATGACCCTGTGTTAAACGAATCGTTCAGCCTGAGAGGAAGTGTCAAGTACAACCCTCAGTGGTGGGCTGGAGAACCAGTTAGTATATCTTTATAAAACCTGAACTTACAAAAATACATGCTTTATTTAACATAGAACTATCATCCCCAGAAATATGAGGTTTTTGTTTTGTACTGAAATTTTGAGAAACTTGCAAAACCTTAACTGAAGTTAAAATATTTAAGATGAAAAAGAATATTCACATTTCTATGGGTTGCTATTTCACTTTTCATTTCATTTAAGTGTTATTGCTCAAACATTTAGGTAATTTAACATTTGTATGACCAAAATGAATTGTTGGTTTAAGACTGGATAGATAAAGATCTGCACTTACAGACAGGATGTGATATCACTCTCTATGGTGCCAAGCCACCTATGTTGTAAAAGCATTACAATTTAATCATCATAAAAATTCATGCTAAGACAAAACTTGGTTAGACAATGTGGTACATAGTAGAAATGAGTCACTGTGGCCTCTGATGTGTATTTTAGCCTTTAACTTAAAAGGTGATGACAAACAGAGCCCCCTATAAGGAATGAGAGAACCAGCTTATTCACAGATATGAAATATTCTAATGTAATGAAATCTTTAAATGGGCAGATCTGGACCACAGCGAAGAAGCAGGGCAAAAAAACTGCATCAATGTTCTGGGTTGGATCTGATGTCAACATCTCGGGGATACAGCCAGATATATGGAGAATGTATGATGGGTAGGTGAAGGTCACATGTATAAGTCAAGTTCTATATCTTATCATTTGAAGGTCAAGGTTGGCACTGGTATTGCTGTACAATTCTGAGGAAGAATCAGATCCATTCATATAATTCTTTATGAAATTCTTGATAAAGGAAAATGATGTTTCTTGATATAACTTAATTTGTTGACTAATCAGCTTGATTTTGATGTGGTTTGCAGGTCAGTAACCTTTGAAGAAAGAGTTAACACTGTCCTTGAATGGTTGAGTATGACAGAAGAACAGCGACCAGACCTTATCACTCTGTACTTTGATGAGCCTGATCACACTGGGCATGGAAGTGGACCAGTCAGTTCACAGGTGAGACTTTAGGGCTATTGTCCAGTTAATCTCCAACTCTCCCTGTATGTTCTGTTGGTGTTAGTTCCACACAAGATAAGTGATAGTTCTTGTATTTCATCATTTCATTTTTCTAGCTATCCCCGATTCATAATACCAGAGACATATTTTTTTACATTCCATATTATTAATATTATTATTATTTTTTAAATATATCACTGTCAGTTGTTAACATCAGACATTATTACCTACTGATGATATAAGACCAGGTGATAATCAAGTGCCAACATAAGTTTGTTGTAGAGTTGGTTGTGTGTTTTCCCAGGTAGACTTCATGCTTACTAATGATGTAGGGCAAGATGATAGCCATGTATAAGTTTATTGTAGAGTTGGTTGTTAATTTTCCAAAAGTAGACTCCATGCTTACTAATGATGTAGGACAAGATGATAGCCATGTATAAGTTTGTTGTAGAGTTGGTTGTTAATTTTCCAAAAGTAGACTCCATGCTTACTAATGATGTAGGACAAGATGATAGCCATGTATAAGTTTATTGTAGAGTTGGTTGTTAATTTTCCAAAAGTAGACTCCATGCTTACTAATGATGTAGGACGAGATGATAGCCATGTATAAGTTTGTTGTTTATTTTCCCAGGTAGACTCGATGCTTACAAGGGTGGACCGATCAATATCAAAGTTGATGGAAGGATTGTACAGCCGGGACATTCATAATTGTGTAAACCTCGTCATTCTAGCTGATCATGGTGAGTGTGCTTAATTAAAGCATTAACACCTGTATACTGAAACATGTTATACTGCTGTTACTCATGAAACATTCCATACTCCTTGTTTATGTGAAAATGTATACTTTATTGGTCCCTTAGAAGATAAATTGTTGTTAAATAAATAAAGTTTATATTTAGAAGATAAAGTGAAATAAGGTTACAGGTTGTAGAGAAATCTGTACAAACCATGAAAGTTTGAAGTATCATATATAAGTATGACATGTACTAAGCTTTGTTTATGTCCATGATAGGAATGGAGGCGACTTCTTGTGACAGAAAGGTTGAGCTAAGTTCGTACATTAAAACTAACGAGGTCCTGGTATATGATGGAACTATTGGCAGAATTCATAAGAACTTTCATCAAAAACAAGTTGGCAAAGAGAATGTTGTGGTCAGAAATGATGAAGGTTTGTATAAGATCTGGACATGAGTACCAGAAATTCACTGAAGCTCTTTCTTTTTATTTTCTGTTATGAGGATAACTTGGTAAAATAACTGAATGTGAATGAAATGTACACAGCTACCCTTTATGAATGGTAGCTTTTATACATTTCAAAGATGAAAGCAGAATATGTAATTTGGGGAAAATATTCAAGTTTACAGTATACAGTACCAATACTAGTTTTAACAAGTCTATAGAAAACAAAATAGAAGCACTGTATCATTAGACAATGCGTGAACTGTGTGTTTACTACTGAAATGTGTGTCGTCAGCTGTTGTTGATGGAAAGTCATTGTATTTGTTTAGCTGTTGAATTGTATTTGGCTAATATTCACAATTGTCCTAGTTAAAACTGGTTTGTATAATCTCTTATATACTGCACAATTTTTCTCCATGTCAAAATTTTTAACATACAGTCAAACTTCTATGATTCCATTTCCTTGACGTATTCTATTCCTTTATATTACTACTTACCCTCTTATGAGTCGAAGTTTTATAAATCAAAGTTTTTGATGTAACAAAGTTTTTCAGACTGTTAGATATGATAACATCGTCATTGACACCTCATGATTGGAACAAAACATTTACCTGTACTGTACAGGTATGTTCGCCCGGTGGCAAAATTACCCACATTTAAACAAAGAGTGATACCTGACAATGGGATAAGATAACCTGCTATCATTAGCCCTGTATTACAAGGTTAATTAATGACTGGACACAGATTTAAATTTATTTGCTTACTTACAAGCCATGATACTTAATCAAAGATGATAGGATGTCAGTGATGTTCACTGCCGCCATTGTGGTAATTGCATTCAGTCAGGTCTAATTTAATAGGAAATCCTATCACTTGTAGGATGATTTCACTCATTTTGAAAGCATCACTTTTTAGTTTTAAGCATAAAAGCATGAGTAACACAGTGATTTATCTGTCAATTATGTGTTCTCCGATTGATGCAGGCTTGTCATCATCAGAACATCGGCAAACACTCTTGTAATTCTATGAGCAAGGATGTTTGCTGTTAGTGCTGTCATTTCTGGACAGAATACATCATGATATAAATTTGCTTTCTTTTAAATTCAATCGTGCATGTAATGTTTCTGTATCAGTCTTAAAATAATTAGTGTAACATGTGAAGACTACTACAATGCTGCACGTCGATTCATTTAAAATTGACCCATAAAATGCATATACGTTGTACTGCATGACTATCAATTTCTCATTGATTTCTATTTAAAGTTGTCTTTTTCATGAATGAAAATGGTTTGTTTAAAGATAAAAATGCAGCTTTTCATTTAATCTTGTGCTTTGGTATTTGTTGTGTTTGTTCAGATAGAAATATTGTGAAATCATATATATAGCCATGAACATGAAAACATTGATTTAACCCACCACTCATGATTCAAAGTCTCGATGTATCAAAGTTTTTTTGGTAGTCCCTTGAACTTCCTAACATCAAAGTTGGACTGTAATATGTTTTAATAGATATTTCTTCATGTTCATGTATACAGAATACCTAAGTATACATTTAGAGATTGTGGTTCACATGCACAATATCAAGATTTGCTTGGAAATAATTAAACAATGTCTTAAAATATATAAAGTAAAGTTTGAAAAAATCACACTGTAATGTCAAACTTCAGAATCAATTTCATGTTTGATATGATCCTTAGAATTCTATGATAGCAAAGTTTGCAGTGTTTTAAGTCTGGTTGTCGCAGTGATGAGCCAAGCAGCTCTATTGAAGAGACTGGAATGTAAGAGTGGCCATTATCATGCTTTCTCACGACAAGACATTCCTGTGCGTCACCACTACTCCAACAATCAACGCATAGGAGATGTTGTCCTGGACGTCCAGGCCAAGTGGACAGTGTCTAGGTAACAGAAAATCACTCGGTACTGCTTTTGCACCAACTGACGTGGCATTTTTACATACTTCAGCTTGTAAATTACAAGTTACAATAAATCTGAAGAATCTCATGCTGCCTGTGATGTGCAAACTCTAAAAAAAATTGTTTACTCTTGTCAAGTCAATTTGTATGAAACAATATTGACTTAAGCAAAGTATTTAGTAATGATGATGGTATATCACTTCAATTTCTCCTCAAGAAAAAATATTGCTTATTTGTGAAAATTTATTTTACATAATTGGACTATTAGAAAAGTTAAGTATTGCTGGTCTATTAATTCCATGGAGTATGTCATTGTATGAATATCTCTTGCCAGGAAGAGAAGTTCCTTCTGTTTGCAAGGTAACCATGGTTACGACAATCTTTACAAAAGTATGCAGGTAAGTACCGATGTGTACAGTCTGAGTTTATCATAACTCTTTTCTAAGTTCCATGGTTTTATGAGGAGTGTACTATCTGAATTATGTTGTGCTAGAAATATGAAAGCTGTGTGTGTTTTCAATATGATGAAACTCTATGTATAGTGAAGGAAAAACATTGGTTGACAAATTAGTTATAATGGGCGTCAAGACAAACATTATCAGTGTCAGCAGAATGTCATCTTTGTTTAGAACCAGGACCTCATTATCACACGTAATAGTCTGTTTCTATTGATGGAGATGGCAAAATGAAGACAGAAGAGATTTCATCCAGTCATTTTTGTATTAATATGAAATCAACTTCTGTTTTATTCTGTTACCCATGGACCCCATTATTGATATATACTGGTCCATCTACCCCGTGATACCTGAGGGTTTGAGAGTGTAGTTTTATCAAATGAATTCTGGAAATAGGTAGCATTGGAAGAATGGATTTGAAGATATTATCAGAACTTTCAGGAAATTAATGACCTCTGTTTTCCTATTTTCAGGCTTTGTTTCTGGCCCATGGACCAGGGTTTAAGGTTAATTATACCACAAAACCGTTTGAAAACATAGAACTCTACAACATGATGTCATGTGCGTACTGATGATTTTTACTGACTTTTATATAAAAACATGACTATAACATCAATTATCACTCAGACATAATGTTGTTCTCTTAGCAACTTTTGATTGTATGACAAGGGAATAATCAGCATATCAAGCTACATTTTATCTTTGTTTAAATATAACAGTTTTAATTCCTGATATGTCCTGATTTATCAGAAATGAAAAAAAGTTATGCAGTTTATCCAGTTTATCCAGTGTAACCTGTCAGCAGATTGACAAAATATTCCCCTAACATGTTATGAAAATGTTTAAGAAGTGTCTCAGTGTTGAAGATTACAGCCAATGGTGATCAGGTTCTATTTTCTACCCTTAAATAGACCTCCTAGACATCAGACCAAGTCCAAATAATGGTACCACTGGGTCACTGGATGATATGTTGAGGACACCTCCAACCAGACTGTCAACAAAACCCACTTTGGTTAAAAGTTGTAGTGCTACAATCTCTTCAAGGCCTGCCATGACAATCTGTGGCTGTAAACAGGTGAGAGTAGTTTTACTGACAAATGAATGTGTGGGATCAACTTGACCCAGGAATACTGTAAAATTATGTATATTGTGTGTTACAGGTTGCAGAAAACACTGATTCATGAATACCTACTGTACTTTCCAGGTTATAAGCATCACCGGTATATAAGCTGCACTGGTATATAAGCTGCAGGGCCAGTTTATAGCAATTTTTTTTCCGATTTGATCCACATATAAGCTGCACCCTTTCTTACAATAGGTGACCAATATTGTTAATATTTGATATACTGGTAACAAATAATAGAAGGCAGTTTATCAAGATTGTCAGTGTAACATTTAATAAGATTTGCTGATGAATTTTGCATAAATAATCCTTCTCTTTATGGATGTATTTTAAAATTATGCTGGTTATTTAAAATACACAAAATGTCGAACTTGTTTGGAATCTTCAATGATTGCCAACACACAGGTAGGGCCTGATGTTACGTATGATATTACAACCTTTTCCACCAGTGTTAGGACTGTAAAATATGAACGAAGGCTATGGTCCTGTTGGGGCCCTCAACCTATCAATACCAGGGTGCAATAGTCTACTGTAAACATCTTCTATGCTTTATTGCATATACTACTGTAAAGTTAGGCATACAATTTGATCCCCATTCTGCCGAATTTTGTTTTCCACATTAAGCTTCACTGGTGTATAAGCCGCGTGCCCGACCACTGAGGAAAAAGCAGTGGCTTATAATCTGGAAAATATGGTAATTTTGTTGATGAATATAGCCCAATAAATGTCCTTATACTTATTCTGACATATTTGGGCACCAAAAAAAAAAAAAAAAAATCACAACACTGCTATTCATTATGATAAGGAATGATACATGAAAGTTTAGGAAGGGATGCTTAAAGATTGGATGTGGACAATGACATATGTCTGTATGTCCTGAGATTAACCCTTCACAGCATTACTAGTAGCCAAAGCTGCCAGTGGCTGTTTCAAGAATTATGAAGAGGTATGATAAAGATATAATGACTAAAGAAACTATATATTACTTCTATAAAGGGATTTATTTATTTGTATACATGTTTTATTCTCCATGTTTTATCGAAAAAGATTACAGAAAAAGACGCAAAAAGGTTGTTACCCACACCACCTTTAGACATTAGTGTTAAGGAAAACAGAAGTTTGTTTAAATTGTAGATATCCTAACATCTGAATATTAACCACTGATTTCCAGAATTTGTCAACCGGTATCTCAACTCCTTTGAAGAGCTTTTCTTCTGTCTTTGGAGCTCCAGTCACTACCCATATTGAGTTAGACATATGTGAGCTGAAACAGGAACATTTTACCACTGGATACAGCAAGCTTTTTCATACACCTGCATGGTCAACCTACACTCTCACCAGTAAACAGGTATGGATCCAGATACTCAATGAGTAATGTATCAGAGATGTGTAGTTGTATAACGGTTATTTGTCAGCACATGTTATTTGGATATTTTTACTGAGTCTTGAAGTCTAGAATTCCTTTTAAGATGACCAAAGACTGTTTGATACATATGTGCGATAGGGACTCACAAGGTTTTAAGGTCAAAGTTGAAAGTCACTGTTTCTAAAATTAGAAGAAGAATCCCTCTTTTACTGTATAGTATCAGGGATCCATTATACATAGTCAGACACAAAAGGAGACTTTACAGACTGTACCACTAAATTGTTCTAATTTAGGCCCAAATATAATATATCAAATTTAAGGGAAAATTGTCATTATAATATGTTTTGATGTCTGTTGTGTGTGTAGAAATCACTTACTTTTTACTTAATCTTTGTGACAAGAATGTCAGTTTGACAGATACTACATGTGTATGGATAGACAGCAGAGTACCTAATTCATCATGTGATATTTACCACGACAACATTACACAGGCCTTTCTGTACAATCCCGGTATGTACCAGGATCCTTGAATTCATCTACTGGTATAAAAAACACCAATATGGAACAGTGAAATAGAAATAGAATTGATAATGTGCTGTAAATATGGTAGAAGTCGTAAAATATATCTCTATGGAGACATGTCATCATTTTTGATCCCATGTTGTACTGATATTGTATGATAATGTAATTGTGTTTGTGTTACAGTTATCATGTTGTTTTTGCAATGTCTATAAATACCAATGTAAAAACTTGTGTGTGTGGGGGAGGGTGGAAACAAAAAAACAAAAAAAGAAATAAATAGATAAAAAAATTGTGTGCCTATGGATTTTTCAATGACATGTTTTTTGAAACAATATATTTTCTTCTATCAATTCCTGATAATAAATCATGTTTCTTTGACTCCTGTTATTGACAGATTTTGACTTAACAGAGAAAGAAAGTCGCCTACGCACGAATGCTGTGCCTATGTACACAGGATTCTATACAGGTCAGTAGGCTTATAAACTGCTCCCTCCTTAAGGTTTACAGATACAGACTATCTGGCTCTGATTTATCCAGTGGCATTTCTACATTGTATTAATTGTATAAGGAAAACCCCATCAAATCTATTTGTGATATATCAAGCTCAAAATGGTCAGTAATGATAATATCTTTTTACCCTACACCTAATTTTTGTAGACATCATTATCATTTTAGCTTGTCTAAGACAATATGTTACCTTCATAACAAAAGACTGTTAAATCATAACTATACATGCTTAGTTGAATTCTTGGTAACACGATGTTCCCAAAGTTGCTATTGTTTTTATTGAAGTATCAGACGACTTTTAAGTGACATACATTTCCAGGTATATGGAGATATATGTGGACCTTGATCAGTGATTACAACAAATATTCTGGGGAAATCCTGGTGACCACTGGCCCTGTGTATGACTATAATTCAGACAGATTATGGGAGGGGATCACCAACAACACAAGGTCATATTGCATTTCATTATGGCATCATATACAAATGGTTATATCTGTACTAACTGAATGTAGAAAAATGTGATCAGTTTGAAGAAACATTTCAATGTAATGTCAAACACAATTTGTTTTTAATTTCGCTATTTTTTAAATAATTAAAAAAGTGCAAATTTGACTTTTGATGGAAATTTGTAAAAGTCTGTCAAATGATTATACACAATGAATTTTTCAATGGAACAGAAAAATTCAAAATAGGGTGAAATGTTTTGATTAAATGATACATCAAGAATATCAATGTATCACTTGTATGATTTACTTCTTGTTACAGATTTGCAGATGTCAAAGAAACTGTTGCCATGCCAACCCATTATTATATGATTCTTGTACGATGTTCAGAACCTTTGATAAATGTGTCTTCATGTGATGTTGACCAACTGGACACGATGACTTTTGTCCTTCCGCACCTGAACAAGGAGCCTAACTGTCTTGTAAGTCTCCTATCTGTAGGTAGGAACAGGAATAATAGGTAACAATAAAGAATTTCTGTATATAACCTTCAGAAATCAATTCTTGGTTATTGACACAAGGACTTTACCTAGACCTGTTGACAGAGAGCCAAACTGCCTGCACATGTAGAGGAGAAAAAATCTGTGAAGTCTCTATAGGTTGTTATGGAAGTAGGTATGTAGCACGACTCCAGTCTTGGTTATACCTAATGACATTTCTTACTCATTCCCTTGATGTAAAACCCTGCTCTGTTGTAAATGTCTTTTTTGTGGATTTATGAAGATATATTTTTTGTTAAGTCTGAAGTTTGATGTATGACCAATTTAACACTAAATCTAGTTTGCCATTTCCAGCCAGATGAAGAATACCTGGCCCAGCATGTTGCTAGAATACGAGATGTGGAACTGCTGACAGGACTGGAGTTCTTCTCCAAGTTAGGTGTTGCAAGGTCTGTTAGACTGAGGACACACCTGGCTACACAGGTTTGGGCAGTCAAGGATTTAGCACTGCACTGGTCAGACCTGGAATGTAGTGATCAGGGCACTGGTCAGTGTACAGGGTACGTAGACATGTTAACTTCCGGTCCTGTACTTCTGCTCTAGATGATGTATTAATAGTAATTACCAAGGTGATGACATGTTGCTTTTCATCTTAGAAAGGTACCACTACTGCTGATCTCATTGGATGGATTCCGTGCCGACTACATCCAGAGAAACATTACACCTGTCATCCATAAGATGCGACAATGTGGTGTACACACTCCGTATATGAGGGCAACATTCCCAACCGTGACCTTCCCCAACCACTACACCATTGTCACAGTAAGTATCTTCAGTCTCTTGCAGGTCTTAATATTCTGTAATCAGGACATCCTTATCACATAGCTTGCATACCAATTTATCCTTCAACCACACACTACATATGTGACCTTGACCTTTCTAACTATACACCACATTCCTGACCTTGACCTTTCTAACTATACACCACATACCTGACCTTAACCATCCTAACAATACACTACTCTCTTGACCCTAAACTTACTAACCATACACTACATACCTGACCTTGACCTTCCTTACCATGTGCTGCATGTGCAAACCTGACCTTGACTTTTCTAACCATACACTACCTACCTGACTTTGACCTTCCTGACCATGTACTACATACCTGACCTTGACCTTCCTGACCATGTACTACATACCTGACCTTGACCTTCCTGACCATGTACTACATACCTGACCTTGACCTTCCTGACCATGTACTACATACCTGACCTTGACCTTCCTGACCATGTACTACATACCTGACATTGACCTTTTTCACCATAAATATACTATATACTAGACCTTGAGAAGTTGGTGTATATGGTACACTATGAATAACCTAATGTTGACTGAATTTATTGTTCGAAATTGAACATCCTTGATCAAGAGGTCATATAGCATGTTATAAATGTTTAATGATTGAAATGATGCACTTACTTGCTGTATTGGGAATCATAGTACTAGTGATTACTTATAACAGGGACTATACCCAGAATCACATGGAATCATCTCCAACAAGATGTATGATGAACACATTGGAAGGTACTTCACTCTGGGCAGTTACACCAAGAGTGACCCACGCTGGTGGGGAGGAGAACCTGTAAGTCCTGATTGGTTTTTTTTATTGCTATAGATCATTGTTTATAACATTGTGTAGATCATAGAGTCATAGCCTTTAAAATACATTCAGACATCAAGTGTTGATGTTCTTTAACTGAGCCAGTGATTAGAGGGTGGGGGGATAGTGGTAGCTATATCCTGTGTCCTATTTGGATTCAGTGTCATATCTTGGGATTCTCTCTACAAATTTGGTTTATGCTATCTTTTGTCATTTCTGTATCTTATCATATTGCTGGTCATTTGTCAAGATTAAATGGCCAAAGGTCACATTGACGACTATTTCAAATGCCTCAGAGTTGGGCCATTAATGTCAGAGACAATCTCCTGTTAGACTAGTTCTTAATTGTGGAGAATTATCTTCTGGAAAACATAACAAAAATACTGATGAGCTATTGTCAGAACCCTGGAAAAGATTTTAAAATAAACAAGAAAACCACCATTTCATGTCAACATATAAAGGAGTAAGAATAAGGCTTTGCTTAGAAGTTTATCCTCTTTTTATGAAGTAATTACATATATGTAATTATAAGTTTTGATTTGATATTAAATCATGTTTGTTGTTCTGTTTGAACTTTTCTTTAATCTTTAATACTGCAAATATGACTACTGTTTACTAATATCAACTGGAATTCCTGTACAATACAGTAAGATTGCTTAACAACAGAATTGAAATTTGCTATTGAAATGTTTCTGCTTGGATTTAGGTAGTGAGAAGTTTACAAATTAAAAATATTCTTAGTTTGTAATGATTGATCATGTTTAGATATGGATAACGGCACAGAAACAAAACAAGACAACAGCTACTTACTTTTGGCCGGGATCAGATGTCAACATTTCTGGTAGGACCAATTTAAATGAAATGAATGATACCAGTCATGAAATGAAATAGAATTCATACATTATATAAACTGTTCATTATTTCCCTCAGATTTTAAACTGCATATCTGGAAACTTATGTCATCAGTTAATTTTTTTCCATTTTGATCTTATAAGAGGCAAGCAAATTTACAAACATTGCAGAAGATCTACTTCTCCTTTCAGTAGTGTCATGTATGGTCAGGGTAAATTTCTGGTCAAAAACACAATTTTTTGTCAGAGGCAAAATTTCCTTGTAGACACCAAACATTTTTGTCAATAAGTTAAGAATATTTTAGATGTAATGGTGTGTTTTGACTTTCTCCTGTAACTGTGTTTTTTGACTTTTGCCTGTAACTGTGTGTTTTGACTTTTTCCTGTAACTGTGTTTTGACTTTTGCCTGTAACTGTGTGTTTTGACTTTTTCCTGTAACTGTGTTTTGACTTTTGCCTGTAATGGTGTGTTTTGACTTTCTCCTGTAACTGTGTTTTTTGACTTTTGCCTGTAACTGTGTGTTTTGACTTTTTCCTGTAACTGTGTTTTGACTTTTGCCTGTAACTGTGTGTTTTGACTTTTTCCTGTAACTGTGTGTTTTGACTTTTGGCTGTAACTGTATGTTTTGACTTTTGCCTGTAACTGTGTGTTTTGACTTTTTCCTGTAACTGTGTGTTTTGACTTTTGCCTGTAACTGTGTGTTTTGACTTTTGCCTGTAACTGTGTGTTTTGACTTTTGCCTGTAACTGTGTGTTTTGACTTTTGCCTGTAACTGTGTGTTTTGACTTTTTCCTGTAACTGTGTGTTTTGACTTTTGCCTGTAACTGTGTGTTTTGACTTTTTCCTGTAACTGTGTGTTTTGTTTCCTGACTGTAATTGTGTGTTTCCTGTAACTGTGTGTTTTGACTTTTGCCTGTAACTGTGTGTTTTGACTTTTGCCTGTAACTGTGTGTTTTGACTTTTGCCTGTAACTGTGTGTTTTGACTTTTTCCTGTAACTGTGTTTTGACTTTTGCCTGTAATTGTGTGTTTTGACTTTTTCCTGTAACTGTGTGTTTTGACTTTTGCCTGTAACTGTGTGTTTTGACTTTTGCCTGTAACTGTGTGTTTTGACTTTTGCCTGTAACTGTGTGTTTTGACTTTTGCCTGTAACTGTGTGTTTTGACTTTTTCCTGTAACTGTGTGTTTTGACTTTTGCCTGTAACTGTGTGTTTTGACTTTCTCCTGTAACTGTGTGTTTTGACTTTTTCCTGTAACTGTGTTTTGACTTTTGCCTGTAACTGTGTGTTTTGACTTTTTCCTGTAACTGTGTTTTGACTTTTGCCTGTAATGGTGTGTTTTGACTTTTGCCTGTAACTGTGTGTTTTGACTTTTGCCTGTAACTGTGTGTTTTGACTTTTGCCTGTAACTGTGTGTTTTGACTTTTGCCTGTAACTGTGTCTTAAACTTGTGATATTACAATAAAGTACATGTATTATTTTAATTGTAGGGATATATCCTGACTACTGGAAACCTTACAAATCGTAAGTAACTTGATCAATATGTGATTGTCAGCTGTTATTGATCATGGATAAGGTTTATATCACCTGGTCCAAAGAGCCAAGTGATTTTGTACAATGATGTGGCATTCATCCATCTGTCATATGTCAAGCTATTTGTTTTTAAACAACTCCTTAGAACTGTTTGATGTAGAACAAGATGTCTGGGTGTTAGATTGGAAGGACAGGCTGTCCAGCGTCCCTGTAATTCCTAAAAAATCCGTATTTTTTTCAGTTTTGCTAAAATTCCTAAAAAAATGAAAAATTCAAAGGGAATTCCTAAAAAAGCCCTAATTTTTCACTTCAGTTCCTACTTTTTTTTACATTTTTACAATTTACTGAAAACGTTTTCATTAAATTCATACTAAAAATGTATTTTAATGTAGTCTGTAGTTCTAATTCAGGGTAGACCATGAAAGGCAGTTGACCAGTAGATCTATGTACCCAGATTGTTATTGGTTGTGACTGAGTGACAGAGGTGTGATTCTTAAGGTCACAGCCAACAGCAGCTGGGACACTGAAACCCTGGAAGACACCTTTCCTGCAATTAAGGCATTGTATGTTAGTTTCTATTTTGTCAAATTTGCAAAGGTAAGTCAGTTTAATGCTTTCATACTCCCTATTATAGTTACAAAATTCCTAATTTTAGTCCTAAATTTGCCCTAAAATTTTGTAATTTTAGCCTTAAATTTAGCCCTAATTTTTTGTCAAGAAGTGCTGGACAGCCTGGAAGGATGAATCTAACAAAGTTTGTGGTGAAGAATATGACCCTCACTTGTATCAAGGCAGCAGGGGCCAAATTTAATGTAACATCTGTGAACTTCATCTGATAAACCTCTTGTTTTTGTTAAATGAGTTTATTTCATAAAGTAATTATCTTCACCCACTGCCTTGTAAGAAATTGAAGCTTGATTTCAATCTATAATGGTATAGGTTATGCATTCATCCATGTTTCTTTCGATCAAGAGATTCTTGTGTAAACTGTTCCCTAAGTGTTTGTTCAAATTTTAAGTATCTAGAGAATTGTTTTTGAAAAATTTTATTCCTCAAAATACTTTTAGACATTTCCTCTTACAGTTTTCATTGAGTTTTTGTGAAACCCGACAGATACAGCCATCATTCTACATTTCCTCTGACAGTTTTCATTGAGTTTTTGTGAAACCCGACAGATACAGCCATCAATCTACATTTCCTCTGACAGTTTTCATTGAGTTTTTGTGAAACCCCACAGATACAGCCATCATTCTACATTTCCTCTGACAGTTTTCATTGAGTTTTTGTGAAACCCGACAGATACAGCCATCAATCTACATTTCCTCTGACAGTTTTCATTGAGTTTTTGTGAAACCCCACAGATACAGCCATCATTCTACATTTCCTCTGACAGTTTTCATTGAGTTTTTGTGAAACCCCACAGATACAGCCATCATTCTACATTTCCTCTGACAGTTTTCATTGAGTTTTTGTGAAACCCCACAGATACAACCATCATTCTACATTTCCTCTGACAGTTTTCATTGAGTTTTTGTGAAACCCCACAGATACAGCCATCATTCTACATTTCCTCTGACAGTTTTCATTGAGTTTTTGTGAAACCCCACAGATACAGCCATCAATCTATCACACCAAAATAGAGCATCAGCATTTATAGGTTGATGGAGTTACTTTTAATAGAATTATATTCCTTTTAAATAATTCGAAGATAAATTGATTTACCTATACAGGAAAATACTGTATGAAAATATTACCACAACTTTGAATACAGTAACTATACCTTACAAATTACTCTTAATCTGTGTGAAGGACAATATATAGTGACTTACAGTTATAAATGTGGTATTTTAAGATGCCATATTTAGACATTCAAAATGTTATGAAAATAATGCTAAGTCAGTGTATTCTGGTCACAGGTCAGCAGGCTATCCTGAACGTGTATCTGAAGTTCTAAATTGGCTGACTTTGCCCGAGGAACAAAAACCAGACATGGTCACTCTTTACTTTGACCAGCCAGACCACGCTGGTCATCAACAAGGTCCAGAGGGTGATCTGGTAGGTATCCTACTCTCGTTACAAACTGGTGTTGAAATACCACTCATAGTAAAAATTCAAAGGGAATATTTCTATAACACAGGTATCTACTCTTGTTAGGACACCTCATTGGAGATGTAAATTGGTATAAATAGCAGAGTTTTTCCTTTGCTTCCAGAGATTGTCTCTAAATCCAGAAGTTTAAATTTCTTTCATTAGGGTCCTGTATGAAAATGCTGTTGCTATGTAGTACCAAATTAATTCTGTCAGCATTTTCATTTCTAGTAATTTTCTTGAATCTAGAAGGCCAAATTTTATGAATTGTCACATGATGATAAACTGTGATATGTAGATGTGCAATAGGGGTTAAAAGTTCAAAGCAAAGATGCTGTTAATGAAAAACAAAGTAAAACAAAACAGGAATATATAAAAGTACATTATATAAGGTCCATACAAAGAGCCAAAGTTTCTGAAATTTTACATGATGTTACACTGATAAGCAGATGCGCAATAGAAATTTTAAAAGTTTCTATTCTTTTTTGACATTATGGACAAAACTTTACTGAAAGGATATAAGGTCAAAAGCAAAGGTCAAATTCATGTAAATTTATTGGTAAATATATTGTTACGACATTATGAAGCAAAGTTGAACAGAATCAACAACGGATTTGACAAATGTCATTCTGCTTGTCAATTGTATTATATTCAAAGGACTGCATCCAATCCTCCACGTGGTATCTCTACTGTTACGCTGACTGTGCTCCAACTATACTGGTTTCTATTATTACACTATCAAGTAAAGTTGACCAAAATCATATGATAATTGCTTGATCATAAATCAATGTCAAATGGTTCTAAGTCAAGGTCACATTTTGTGTCTGGCAAACGTTTTAAAAATAGTAACAATCTAGGTTGATCTGTAAAAAGTTCGCCAAAAATCATGATCACTCAGGTGTAGGTCGATTCAAATATAGATACTTTTACTGGTTAAAAATTCATTATGATGTTATGAACCTGCACAATCAAAATGAAACAAGTGTTATCTTCCCCCTGATGTCAATATCAACATTTTATTTCTTTAATGAAAAATGTTTTGTCTAAATATAATTAATCAAACATGATTTTAATTGACTGAAGAGTCACTTTACAGCAGAAGGATATAAAATAGGAATAAAGATGAGACTCACAAGGTAGAGACCCTCACACATCTTACAGTTACTTACTACTTAAACAAGAATAGAGATGAGAATCACAAGGTAGAGACCCTCACACATCTTACAGTTACTTACTACTTAAACTAGAATAGAGATGAGAATCACAAGGTAGAGACCCTCACACATCTTACAGTTACTTACTACTTAAACAAGAATAGAGATGAGAATCACAAGGTAGAGACCCTCACACATCTTACAGTTACTTACTACTTAGGTCACAGTTTTTGTGGGTAGGGATTGTTTACAGTTAAGCTCTGGTTTATATTGCAGGGTCCTTTCTTCTGTCATGTCTCTAGTTCACACTATGTTACTCTGTTACATGTTTGAATTTTATCTATTTTGATGGCCTATTAGTTGTAGCTTAAAGCAGGAGATATAATAAAAAGACATATTTCATTGTCAATTTCTGACTTAAAACTGTTCATTTGTAGGTAATTCTAAACGGTGGGTGTAAATTGTTTGTATTAACTGTATAAATGTTTCGTCTGTGTAATGGTTGTTTTGACTCCAGGTGAATGAACGCTTGCGGACCATGGATATGATGGTGGGGAGACTAATGGACGGCCTGTACCAGCGTCGCCTTCATGGCTGTGTTAACATCATCATTATTGCTGATCATGGTAAGAGTTACCATGACTGTCCTAAGTCATTGTAGTGGGTTGGTCAGAATGACCTATAGCCATGTTGTTTTAGTTGCTAATTGCATAGATTTTCATGTTTTTAACATTTTGACAAATTTGATGAATCTGTGTAATATTGTTGGGACTTGTCGGAAATAGTTTTAAGGTTGGTCCAAAATTCAAAATGACAACCATGTCCAAAATTATAAAACCAAATATCAAACTTTTTCTTAAGTAGTAAGCAGGCCATTGTTAGCTTTAATTACTGTTTGATGACAACAAGTTGAGTTTTTATGTACAGGGTTTGGTGTCACTAAGTTAGGGGACTTTTTGTGCTGGATTTGGTGACAAGTTGAGTTTTTATGTACAGGGTTTGGTGTACAGGGTTTGGTGTCACTAAGTTAGGGGACTTTTTGTACTGGATTTGATGACAACAAGTTGAGTTTTTATGTACAGGGTTTGGTGTCACTAAGTTAGGGGACTTTTTGTGCTGGATTTGGTGACAATAAGTTGAGTTTTTATGTACAGGGTTTGGTGTCACTAAGTTAGGGGACTTTTTGTGCTGGATTTGGTGTCACTAAGTTAGGGGACTTTTTGTGCTGGATTTGGTGACAATAAGTTGGGTATATTTTTGTTTAGAGTTTGGTGACACTACATGTTGTATATGTAAATTAGGGTCCTATATACAATGTACACAGTTAGGGGACTTTTTGTGCTGGATTTGGTGACAATAAGTTGGGTATATTTTTGTTTAGAGTTTGGTGACACTACATGTTGTATATGTAAATTAGGGTCCTATATACAATGTACAAGGTTTGACGATATGGCCTGAGATTTGATTGTTAACGATTGGTTTAGGTTTTATGTACAGAGTTTGATGACACAAAGTTTAGGTTTTATGTACAGAGTTTGATGACACAAAGTTTAGGTTTTATGTACAGAGTTTGATGGCACTAAGGTTGGGTTTCATGTACAGGGTCTTCGGTGTCACTAGTTTATGGGTTTTTGACACAGGGTTTTAAGCAATAAGTTGAGAGTTTAATGCTCAGGGTTTGAAGACACTAAGTTTGGGTTTCATGTACAGGGTTTGATGACACTAAGTTTGGGTTTTATGTACAGGGTTCGATGACACTAAGTTTGGGTTTTATGTACAGGGTTTGATGACACTAAGTTTGGGTTTTATGTACAGGGTTTGATGACACTAAGTTTGGGTTTTATGTACAGGGTTTGATGACACTAAGTTTAGGTTTTATGCACAGGGTTTGATGACACAGCATGTACCCAGATTGTAGACCTCTCCAAACACATCAACACCAAACAGGTGCTTATATCAAGTGGAACTTTTGGACGCATCGAGACTAAATACAGCGGCCCTAGAAAGAACATTACAAAAAATGAAAACCGTAAGTTAACTAATATGAGAATGAGTGAGTTACAGACTGTTAGCTATAACTTTTTTGAATGATTAGGAATTTTTAAAATGTCATCATTTGGTAGTTGATCTTATTGTAATTAGTCCAAAAAGAAATGTCTGTGTTACAGCTGTTAATGTTAGCACCCTGGTAGAAAAACTGATGTGCAACACGTCTGTGATGAAGGTCTTCACTAAAGATACAGCACCAAAGCGATTCCACTATCTCAACAATCCACGGGTCGGGGACATCCTGCTTGACATGGCTGACCGATGGCTTGTATCCAAGTATGTTAACACTTAAATAGTGGGCTTGTTATATAATAATCACATGCACAGATCATTGATATAAAATTTTTGTGTTTGGGATGATTGTCTAAACTGTAGGTAATCCAAAGTTGGAATTTTCTTTGTAGTTTGTTTACATACATGATTAGCAACTTGCCGTACACATGTCTTAACCCTTGGTGCAGCTCTCTCTTTTCAGTCGTTTTTATGCATCTGCCATTTCATGTCAAATGCATGTATTGTTACCCTTGGCAATCACTTTATTTTTATCTTGTTTCCACTCATCCCTATTTTCAGGGATACAGAACTATTGTGTAGCTGTATAATAACAACACACAGGTCTAATTCTGATTTGGATATGATAATTGAATTTTTCTCCTGAACGGTGTGACTAAAATAAGAGAGCCTTGCCAAACTCCAGTTGGAATTTTAAAAACATTAGTCAATGAAGCCAATGACTCTGAAATGACTTGTTGCCATCAGGGGCTTACTTGCCACTCTGACAATTCTAGCTTTTTTTATACAGTTTGTAAATTTCTGTGAATCCTAGCAATCCTATATATAAAATGGGTAGATATTTTTTTATACAGTTTGTAAATTTCTGTGAATCCTAGCAATCCTATGAACTATATATAAAATGGGTAGATATTTTTTTTATACAGTTTGTGAATTTCTGTGAATCCTAGCAATCCTATATATAAAATGGGTAGATATTTTTTTATACAGTTTGTAAATTTCTGTGAATCCTAGCAATCCTATGAACTATATATAAAATGGGTAGATATTTTTTTATACAGTTTGTAAATTTCTGTGAATCCTAGCAATCCTATATATAAAATGGGTAGATATTTTTTTATACAGTTTGTAAATTTCTGTGAATCCTAGCAATCCTATGAACTATATATAAAATGGGTAGATATTTTTTTATACAGTTTGTGAATTTCTGTGAATCCTAGCAATCCTATGAACTATATATAAAATGGGTAGATATTTTTTTTATACAGTTTGTAAATTTCTGTGAATCCTCGCAATTCTATGAACTATATATAAAATGGGTAGATATTTTTTTATGCTTAATTATTTGAATGTTACCATAGCTCATTTCTTACTGTAATCATAATGCTATTTGTTAAAAACACTTAAAAACTATTGATATTCCTGTTCGTTGATGTGTTCTGGTGATAAAGATGCCTTCAAAAATGTTTGATTTTCCTTCCTCTTATAGATATAACTCTTACTATGGCTGTAGTGGAGGTAATCATGGCTGGGATAACATCTTCAAATCCATGCATGTAATTATATTCTGTTATCTTTAAATATATACACCCAATGTTAGACTTACCTCCTTTTAGGCAAGTTCAATTTACAATATAAATTATATCCTGTTACCATTAAATATACATATGATGATAGAAAATGTAAGAAGTAGTAATTGGAATGTTTAGTAAATAGAATTTATTGCTGACCTGCCAAACTTAAACTAACAATGCCAGTCCAAATTTTGATGGATTGATAAAAATTATGAAACCCCTTCCGGAAAGAGATAAAAATTATGGAACTCTTTTGGGAGTTGTAGTCACTATGAATAACATGATCATTGAAAAGATTTAGCAGTTGGAATCAAGATTGGCTGACTTTACTGATTCCTGTAACTCCTCTACTCATGGGTTAATGTATGTTACTAACCATGTGCTTGTCTCTTTCTGCAGGCTCTATTTCTTGCCCATGGCCCTGCTTTCCAACAGAACATGACAATTGGTCCATTTGAAAATATAGAACTGTACAATCTAATGTCAGGTAATGTTTTCTAATGCTGAATTACAAATATTTCCATGGTCTGTAAAACAATCTTCTGACACTGTCCTCATATGACCATTACTAATAAGGAAACAAATGTATTGAGAGGTCAGACTTTATCTTAAGACTCTTTATATTTCTGACTTAATAAGCTGGATAACTGCTACTTAGATCTGTTTCATTCCATGGTGTTATAAAACAAGAGTACCGCAGGGCAGAACAAAACTATTTTTATAATAAACCTTCATATAAAGTTTCAAATTGATAAATGAAAAATTGCTCAAGTAATTGAGGGGAAACCTATTTTGCAAATATACCAAGGGCCATAACTCTGTAAATAATGGGCGAAATCAAACTTGACCTGGCTTATATGGTAATAAACTTTGATGTGAAGTTACCAATTAATCTGTAAAAAATTTCACAAGTAATCGAACGGAAACCTATTTTGCAAATGTACCAAGGGCCATAACTCTGTAAATGATAGGCGAAAAATTTTGGTTATTGAACTCGACCTGGCTTTATGGTAATAAACCTTCATGTGAAGTTACAAATTAATCTGTAAAAAAATTATTGAAGTTGTCGAACGGAAACCTATGTGCGGCCACCCACACATGTGACAGTCGTGAATCTCCTCCACAGGTAGAGATATTTTGTCCTACATTCAAGCTAGGGGAAGATCCTTAATTCTGAAATGGAGATGTGATATCTTAGATTTTATTGGGTCGACTTTATTTTATCTATGATATTATAGAATAATTTACAGATCTTTTACTTAGTCAGTTTGTGTTTATGTTAGGCAAGTTATTCAAAATTTACTTCTTTACAGAGTTGTTGGACATAACCCCTGCCCCCAACAATGGAACCCAAGGAAGTCTGGACCATATATTGGTGAAGCAAAGGATTGAAAATCAGACATCTCCACAGCAAGCTCCACTGTGTCAGTCTGGTCAGGTCTCAAGCACCACTCTCTGTGCACAAAACCAGGTAAGCTTGAAGACTCATTTCAAATACAGCAGCTTTTTACAGACATTGTAGGAGGAATTTCTCTACAGCTTTTCATAAAAGTGTGAGTCTGGTAGATTTAGGAATCAAGATTTATATATAAATGGTGGCATTAAATAATCCCAGCCTCTGAACGTTAGTTCTCATTCAGGCACTAGGGAACTTTTTACAAAAAATCAGAAGCCTTGCTTGTGATGGAGTTGAAAACTTGAGGACAAAGTCTTTTACTGATGAGAAGTATGTGACCTTTGGAAGGGAGTACTGACTTCCTCCTGATTCTGGTCTGGTCTGATCTATACTTGATACTCCAGCGTTTAACTCTCTTTTGCTCTCTGCACCCCTGGAACATTTTATGGAAAAATTGAAGGTTCTATGTGGAACACCTTGTGGACAAGACAAAAAGACTAGTTTGATCCTTTGATGTTCATCAAATGAATCCCGAGGTCACATAACAGTATATTGTAATGGCTTTAAAGCTGGTTATCACTCCTTTGTAATCATCAAACAGAGCATATCACCCTGTGATTGGTCTGTTTTTTCTCCAGGAACCAATCAAATTGCTTCGATTGTGCTTTCAATTCTGCCATGACATATTCCAGGGGTCCAGGTAGGGAAAGTGATCATAACCCTTAGAGTATTGAGGAAGACTTTGGTCAAACTATGATCATGTGCACTGTACCTTATTCAAGGCCCTCAGCCCCTTAGTTACAAAATTATTGCCATTTGTTAATGTTTCATGACAAGAATATAACTTAATATTGCTTGTATTTTCACTGAGATATGGAAAGTTTCATGCAAAAATAAATACAGTTTACCAATATCCAGACTCGTAACTCATAATTACAGAATTATTGCCCTTTGATGAAATTTTGTATCCAATAAAATTGTTTTTTGGGGAGCATTGTTTCAGTTATGTTCTTGTATTTTTTTAATCTAATTTTCATTCTTCATTTAAAAAACATGAAAATTTTTGATGTGCGTAAAAACAAAGTAAAAATATTTTAAAATAAACATGGGTAGATGAAAAACAAAGTCTGTTGGCATGTTTACAAAATTCCATTCCATGATTTTAATTCTTTTTCTTTCCAGTCATCTGCTGATTCAGATCTACCTTTGATTGATCAGAAGAACAAAAGTGTGTGTCAAATGAACTATCCCAACCAGACAACAGTTTACAACACCATTCTGAAATCACCTGTATACACAACATTTACACTTACTGAAGAGATGGTGAGGGACCTGTCCAGTATACATTATCATGAAAGTTTACATCTCTGAGGAAAACCAGTAACCAATAGGAATCATTTGGCATGAAGTCATGATAGCATGGCAAAGAATTCAGTTTTATAGAACAATGTTGAAAGGAAAAAGCCAGTCATATTTTTGTTTATTAATGTTTATGGGGAAAAGCTATGCACAAAGACCTTAAGTAATTTGGTAACAGATCATCATATTTTCACCTGTACAAAAAAATATCATTCTTTTTGTTTTTGCTAACAATTGAGACATTGATAAATAGTTATTTACTACAATTGATCATGTAGTTGGAGGGATTTTAAGATGACCTATATAAGATTGTTGTTTCTCAGTTTGGCTTAAGTATGCCACAACGACCAACTACTGTGTGTAAACTTACCTTTGATGTCTAACCAGACATTTAATGACTCCCTTAGATTTTCATTCACTTAGTCTTAAAAAGGTGGATCTGTTATTTTAGTTTTTAGGAAGCAGAATCAGACACACCCCCTTCCCTTCTCTTGGTATAATCTTCATTCTCAACCTACCCTTAACTCTGCCTCCTGTACATATTTTGCTACATATTGAGTCATAGTCTTTCTCACTTCTTGGAGTCCATTGTTAATTTGTCCCATCTTTCCTAATTCTTTGATAACTGTCCAGATCAGAAAAACTTTGAAATATTATTCTTCAGTTTTGATTTCGTGAGTAATAGTTCTATAATCTCCAATGATAAAAGGTATATACTGTGTGTCAGAACGAAAAAGGTATATACTGTGTGTCAGAACGATAGAAGGTATATACTGTGTGTCAGAACGATAGAAGGTATATACTGTGTGTCAGAACGATAGAAGGTATATACTGTGTGTCAGAACGAAAAAGGTATATACTGTGTGTCAGAACGATAGAAGGTATATACTGTGTGTCAGAACGATAGAAGGTATATACTGTGTGTCAGAACGATAGAAGGTATATACTGTGTGTCAGAACGATAGAAGGTATATACTGTGTGTCAGAACGATAGAAGGTATATACTGTGTGTCAGAACGATAGAAGGTATATACTGTGTGTCAGAACGTATATACTGTGTGTAGAAGGTATATACTGTGTGTCAGAACGATAGAAGGTATATACTGTGTGTCAGAACGAAGGTATATACTGTGTGAGGTATATACTGTGTGTCAGAACGATAGAAGGTATATACTGTGTGTCAGAACGATAGAAGGTATATACTGTGTGTCAGAACGATAGAAGGTATATACTGTGTGTCAGAACGATAGAAGGTATATACTGTGTGTCAGAACGATAGAAGGTATATACTGTGTGTCAGAACGATAGAAGGTATATACTGTGTGTCAGAACGATAAAAGGTATATACTGTGTGTCAGAACGATAAAAGGTATATACTGTGTGTCAGAACGATAGAAGGTATATACTGTGTGTCAGAACGATAAAAGGTATATACTGTGTGTCAGAACGAAAAAGGTATATACTGTGTGTCAGAACGATAGAAGGTATATACTGTGTGTCAGAACGATAGAAGGTATATACTGTGTGTCAGAACGAAAAAGGTATATACTGTGTGTCAGAACGATAGAAGGTATATACTGTGTGTCAGAACGATAGAAGGTATATACTGTGTGTCAGAAGGTATATACTGTGTGTACGAAAGGTATATACTGTGTGTCAGAACGATAAAAGGTATATACTGTGTGTCAGAACGAAGGTATATACTGTGTGTCAGAACGATAGAAGGTATATACTGTGTGTCAGAACGATAGAAGGTATATACTGTGTGTCAGAACTGTGTGAGAACGAAGGTATATACTGTGTGTGTGTATATACTGTGTGTCAGAACGATAGAAGGTATATACTGTGTGTCAGAACGATAGAAGGTATATACTGTGTGTCAGAACGATAGAAGGTATATACTGTGTGTCAGAACGATAGAAGGTATATACTGTGTGTCAGAACGTATATATAGAAGGTATATACTGTGTGTCAGAACGATAGAAGGTATATACTGTGTGTCAGAACGATAGAAGGTATATACTGTGTGTCAGAACGATAGAAGGTATATACTGTGTGTAGGTATATACTGTGTGTCAGAACGATAGAAGGTATATAGTATATACTGTGTGTCAACGATAGAAGGTATATACTGTGTGTCAGAACGTAAAAGGTATATACTGTGTGTCAGAACGATAGAAGGTATATACTGTGTGTCAGAACGATAGAAGGTATATACTGTGTGTCAGAACGATAGAAGGTATATACTGTGTGTCAGAACGATAGAAGGTATATACTGTGTGTCAGAACGATAAAAGGTATATACTGTGTGTCAGAACGATAGAAGGTATATACTGTGTGTCAGAACGATAGAAGGTATATACTGTGTGTCAGAACGATAGAAGGTATATACTGTGTGTCAGAACGATAGAAGGTATATACTGTGTGTCAGAACGAAAAAGGTATATACTGTGTGTCAGACGATAGAAGGTATATACTGTGTGTCAGAACGATAGAATAAGGTATATACTGTGTGTCAGAACGATAGAAGGTATATACTGTGTGTCAGAACGATAGAAGGTATATACTGTGTGTCAGAACGATAAAAGGTATATACTGTGTGTCAGAACGATAGAAGGTATATACTGTGTGTCAGAACGATAGAAGGTATATACTGTGTGTCAGAACGATCAAAAGGTATATACTGTGTGTCAGAACGATAGAAGGTATATACTGTGTGTCAGAACGATAGAAGGTATATATATACTGTGTGTCAGAACGATAGAAGGTATATACTGTGTGTCAGAACGAGGTATATATACTGTGTGTCAGAACGATAGAAGGTATATACTGTGTGTGAAGGTATATACTGTGTGTCAGAACGATAGAAGGTATATACTGTGTGTCAGAACGATAGAAGGTATATACTGTGTGTCAGAACGATAGAAGGTATATACTGTGTGTCAGAACGATAGAAGGTATATACTGTGTGTCAGAACGATAGAAGGTATATACTGTGTGTCAGAACGATAGAAGGTATATACTGTGTGTCAGAACGATAGAAGGTATATACTGTGTGTCAGAACGAAGGTAAAGGTATATACTGTGTGTCAGAACTGTGTGATAGAAGGTATATACTGTGTGTCAGAACGATAAAAGGTATATACTGTGTGTCAGAACGATAGAAGGTATATACTGTGTGTCAGAACGTATATACTGTGTGTAGAAGGTATATACTGTGTGTCAGAACGATAGAAGGTATATACTGTGTGTCAGAACGATAGAAGGTATATACTGTGTGTCAGAACGATAGAAGGTATATACTGTGTGTCAGAACAATGAAAGGTATATACTGTGTGTCAGAACGATAAAAGGAATATACTGTGTGTCAGAACGATAAAAGGTATATACTGTGTGTCAGAACGATAAAAGGTATATACTGTGTGTCAGAACGATGAAAGGTATATATTGTGTGTCAGAACGATAGAAGGTATATACTGTGTGTCAGAACGATAGAAGGTATATACTGTGTGTCAGAACGATAGAAGGTATATATTGTGTGTCAGAACGATAAAAGGTATATATTGTGTGTCAGAATGATAGAAGGTTTATATTGTGTGTCAGAACGATAAAAGGTATATATTGTGTGTCAGAATGATAGAAGGTATATATTGTGTGTCAGAACGATAGAAGGTTTATATTGTGTGTCAGAATGATAAAAGGTATATATTGTGTGTCAGAACGATAGAAGGTACCGGTATATATTGTGTGTCAGAACATTTCTGTATCACCTATGTTATTTACAGGTAAAAGGCACCAATGGTAGGAATCTGTGTATCCAGGAGGTACTGGAGAATGTGTGGAATTACCAGCCACACTATCCACATTTCTACACAGGTAAGTTGTATTTAATACTGTCAATAAACAAAAGAAATGTTTGTAACTTCTCAATGATCATACTCTATATTTTGTACTATACAGTTATATTACCTAATCTAAGGTTTTCCCTTGTTCTGATTGGATAAGAGATCATTGAGTGCAGGATGATATATAATATATAGACTCCCATGTTTCTTCATGGAGAATAGCTTGACCATATAGACCCAGGAATATGATATGTGTGTCTTAAAGGATAACTTGTGATATTCAGCAATTTGTTTGTTAAAAGGTTTTAGAAATTTTTTGTAATCTGCTGAGAAAATAGATACATTTGTTGATTATCTAGTATTTGTCAGAAAGCTCCATTTCAAGAAAGAATATTTCATAAACATTTACAAGGCAATAATCAAATAACCTTTATATGTGTAGCATACAAATTAAGGGCCTTTTGATTTTGGTCAATATTGTGTTGTATCAACCAGGTAGGAAAAATATTAAGGGTGACTTTTCTACCAGGTTGAGAGAACACCATATTGACCTCATCAAATGTCCATAATCAATAAATAACACACTAGGTCTGTCGTTTTAAGTTCAATGATTACCATTTTATGCAGTAAAATATGTATCCTGCTACAACAGCTGTGACTTCATATGTTTCTTAGATGCATAATGTGTGATAACTCACGACTAAGGAAATAAAATTTTATCAGTTATAAGAAATCATGTTGACATATTCTCTTACAACTCAAACTTGTTGATTTATGTGTTACACCACTGTTATTGTGGAGACTATGTTTATGTTGCCTTCCACTCATGCTTTTATCCGAGTTTGGTTAGGATATCTTTTGATGGCTGTATCGTTCTTTATTAATATATAAAATCCTAGACCACTATCAAATCATTTATTTTTGTAGCTCTCTTAAAAATACACCTATTCTTGAACTAGTGATTTCTGGTATAGAATGAATTCTAGTTTCTTTCTATTTTAACAGTTTGTAGGTTTAGTGTACCCATGAAATGAATGAAAATTATTCCCAAAATAAAAATTAATTTACAGTACTCCTGGAAGATCCTTTTTTTTTTAATCAGTTTTACTGGCTCAATACAAATATCAATCTTTTAACTCTAATTTTGGAGCAATTGAACAGCACTACATAATTATCATATGAAATGATATATTAATTATATCATATGTGTAATTTTTAAAGATTTATCCATCCTATTTACAATGTAGAACTGCCAGTTTTGGGTAACTGTTCCAACATCCTGTATATCCTTTCCAGAGATTTGGAATTTCACTAGCAGCCTGATCAAGCAGTATGTTGTACAGTACGGTGACCTCTCAGTGACCTTGGGCCCAGTTTATGACCATAATGGTGATGGACTGGCTGATACCAATCTAACCAGGTACTGCTGCTGTGGTGTTGTAAGGTAGTCAACAGAACACTGGTTTACTTACTGATGAGAGATAAAGTAAAACTTTTGATAATACAGGTATTAGCATTATGAATCTGCAAAATAGCAAGGATGTCCTTGTATGGGTGTAAGTTTTGAGAGTAAATATAATTCTTTGCACATCAAACAAGAAACTTGTTGGAATCCCAACTGTCTGGTAAGGAGAGCCTTTCTTTTTAACTTGAATCTTTAAGACATGGTAATATGGGTATTTTTACACCAACAGGCTGAGGTCTTAAAAGAAAAATGAAATTACATTGCCCTAAAAATTGTTCAAAGCCTAAATTTTCACAAAATTTAATATCATTTCCACGTACCCATATGTCTCTATATAGTGTTAATTTATTTGTCAACAGTATGAGGTGTTTGTATACCCATAGATTTGAAGAATGCTAAAGTGTTTTAAAGTCATTAATTAGGAGTGACAGTGTGTTCCTCAACACTTTGTTATACTGATTTTTGAAAATCACACCATAATGACTTTAACTAAATCTTGATATCTTCAGTCTGTTGTTTCATCTTGCACAAACTTAAATCAGTAGTTTTATAAAGGGTATGTAAAAAATTGTCTGATAATTTTTTTATCACTGATTCATAGTCTAGAGGCAGAAACCCCATCCCACATATTTGTGGTGATGATGAGATGTGCTACACGTGGACAGGTATACCCCTGTAATGGTGATGTGGATTCTATTCTCGTCCAGGCCTTACTTCTTCCCTACCTAAACTACACTCCCAACTGTTTGGTAAGGACAACCTCTCTTTCTAACTCAAATCTTTAAGACTTGTACTTTGTCTTAAAGTCTGGATTAAAATTGATCATATATCAAGAGACTTTTCCTGAACTAAGTGTAAAGTAACTGGATGGGGACAGGCAATGTTATTGTGACTTGACTCCAGTATTTTATCTCTGAAAATATAGAATCATATTTTCATTAGAATTTATCTTTACATTGCAGTATCCATCAGACTACCTAAAGGACAACATCGCTCGGGTCCGAGATGTTGAGCTGCTGACTGGGCTACGTTTCTTTGCCGAGGATATCTTTACTGTATCAAAGGCTGCCCGACTGAGGACGCATTTGTCTGAGAAGTTATGGCCATCTAACAGTTTGAGGACATGGATTGAGTCTTCATGTCCAACAGCTGAGGACACATGTACATCTGGGTAGGTACGACAGGCTGTGGCTGGAATCTCCATTGGTAAAGGACTCGTGTACATCTGGGTAGGTACAAGAGGCTGTGACTGGAGTCTCCATTAGTAAAGGACTTGTGTACATCTGGGTAGGTATTAAAAAGAAATCTCCTTTTCTTTAAAGTTTTGAGATCATGTGTCTACATTAAGTCAATCATACCCTTCATATCTGAGAGAAAGTGTGATAATTCACTGAAAGCATCTGTGAACTGTACCAATCCATGTGTTATGTATCATAGAATCATCTTTTGCTAGACATATTTTGGGTTGTATTACCTTGAGAACAGCCAGGGTTATTTTGTGACAAAGTAACCTTGTGGTAGTTTGTGAATACCTTGTTGAACACCACATGGGAGGCCCACTAGATGTTATCCAGTCCTGGATGGTGATTTATTTCAGCATCGTTAGAAATACAAACGGACCCAGTAAGGATCAAACCATGTGCACATATCCATATGTGGTAGCAAAGTCTGATGTACTGCTGACTGAGCTATCACTGCCCCAAGCTTTGAAAATCTTTTAGAAATTGCCTAAAGTACCAGCAGGCTTCAATGGTAGAGTTAATATTTCTGTAGTTTTTTCTGGGGACAGTGGTACTCATTTTCCAAATCCTAAATATTGTATACAATTGAATAATTGTTTGCATGAAAGTTTATAGATTAGAAATTTGTGAGATGATATCTAGGATCATATTGGTCCTTCCTTTACCTTATATGACCTTCATGATTTGGGAAATAATTGGTCTGGAGATATTTAATAGCTGAGTAATATTTTCTCATTTAAATTGCAACATTTTTCATCTTGCAAAATAATCTATCGTTTTCTACAGCATAACATGTTTGAATTTTCTGTGTGTATTATATTTTATAGTCATTTGCAGGATTGGAGGGGAAATTGCCTTGTAGATTTGCAAGATAAGTAAAGAAAATAATATCAGTTTGGAACCGTTTTTATCTAGTAATGGTTTATTTAATATGTACAATTCCATATCAATAATATATCAGATCTCTGTTTTTATACTGCCAGCTACCAGCCCTTGCTCCTGATATCTCTGGACGGCTTCAGAGCGGACTATCTGTTACGTAATTTCACACCCTACGTGGGCCGCCTAAGTCAATGTGGGACTCGTTCACCTTACATGAGATCTGTGTACCCAACAAAGACTTTCCCAAACCACTACTCCATTGTGACGGTAAGTTACTGTTGGAAAAAGTGTGAACAGAAATATTTTTTTTCCAACAGAATCTTAAAGAAAATGCCGAAAAGAGACAAACCCTTGTACTTATATTACATTCATGCCACACCAACCTGCTCCACTGTATAACATCAATATTAAATTTGAGGTATTATGTAAAATCAATTGATGAGTTATTTAAATTCTTAAAAACCATTCTGCTTCTTCATTTTTGATGTTCTCTCACTTAAAGCAAAATAGAATAAATTATGAAATATGAGTAGAAAATGTCCCACCTGTGACTAGATGTCTGTGGAACAGCTTGAGATGAGGATATATTTGAATGAAGAGATGGAGTACATGCATTTCCTGTTGTAGGGTTTGTACCCAGAATCTCACGGGATTGTGGACAACAGCATGTTTGATAGTGGTATAGACAGTCTATTCAAGATTGGTCAGGGAAGTTCATTTGATCCACGATGGTGGCAGGGAGAACCGGTAAGGATGGTACTTGTGCACCATTGTATCTCACCATTTACTGTATCAGGTGTTACTTTCAGGGATTCTTTTTTTAAAACATTTTTCAAGGAATAGTATGAAATCATTTTAAAAGAAAAGATACTTCGGAAATTAAAGACAGAAAATTATAAACATTTCCAATAAAAATAAGCCTTATGTAGATGTTATATTGCTGTCAGCTTTTTCAATTCTAATGGTTTTAGTTTAGTGATAATTTTTGTTTTACAGATTTGGAGAACAGTTATGAATAACAACAAATCAGCTGCCACTTTCTTTTGGCCTGGGTCTGATGTGAAAGTTAACGGTAAATATTTATTATGATTGTATCTATGTCAAAAAACATTAAGAAAATACCACCATGGTAACTTAATCATAATTCAAACTCAAACACAGAATAATACCAGGTGTTCTGGAAGAGTAAATGTCTTCTGCTTCATCAATGACACCCACCATATGCAAACCTAGAATAGCATTATATAAGCATAAAAGTTTTCCCCTGCAATGTCATGGTGAAGAATAACATGAAACATCTGAAAAGTGTAAATATTTAGTTAAATAATGAGATTACTCTATGTTTGTTAACTCTGTTTTTGTGATGATTAATTTTATTGCAGATCTCAGTTTCCTGTCAAAATTCAGACTAGTTACCCAAAGTGTAACTTAATCACTTATTTTGCATAATATTGCAAGATGAAATAGTTTGATTTTCATCAGACAATGTCTGTTGCTAGTAATCTTAAAAGTCAGAGGATAAAATATATATTATGATAGTAACAACTGTTTAACGTCCAAATTTTATTTCTTTCAGGAACATTCCCTACCTATCACAAAAAATATGACTCGTAAGTATCTTACTTCTGGTTTTTACTTATGCCCATGTACTTTGTTTTTTTTACATTTTGTATTGTGTGGTATAAAGTATACAGAGCAATCAAGCGTGACCCTTTAAATCATGATACACTTTCTCAAACTTCAAAAGTCATGCTCTGAATGTAGCCTTTACATTTGATTACAAAAAACACATTATTCTAGATGAAACATTACTTCCATTCCTGAAAACTTTTAAAAAGTTCATACCTCTTGTTTTGTAGGAAAGTTGGTTTCAATACACAAGTAGAACAAGTACTTGATTGGTTGACCAATGAAAAGCCTGATTTTATTACTCTCTACCTTAACGAGCCAGATAAATCAGGACATACCTATGGACCTGACAACATTGTAAAGGTTAGTGTTTCATTCGAAGTTAATATTCTGTACAAAACAAATCTAACACTGTAATAATGGCCAGTGTTACCGACAAGGACAGGTGGTGGTGATGCTCACATAGGTCACTGCATACTGAATTTGGCACAACAGACATGTATGAAAGCCAATCCATGATTTATTTGGGGTTAATGCTTTGTCCACCCTTCCATCCATCCCTGTTTGGAGAGTAATTTTGCTTGCATGGAGACAATGATAATGAAGCTTTGTGTATACATTGGTTATACTAAGCGGATATGCAGTGTACTTAATTCAGAGTCTGAAACCTTGTGATTACAAAACTATTACCTTCATTAAAATTTCGTGTCCAGTAAAGCTGTATTCAAAGAGTATTGTACAAATTCATTGACACTCTTTGTTTATTAACTGCCTTAACTTGAAAAAACTGGCCTCATCAATTTATAAACCCATATTAAGATATGTTCCATTTTAAGCTTTGCTGAATATCATGGCATTGCTACAAATAGGTATGCACTGACTCTGTTTATGCTGACGTTTTGAAAATGATATTCCGTCAGTTATTTTTGGACAGGTATACTACTCAAACAAGCATGTGTTACATATTCTTTAGTCTAGCCTCCAGTCCCTCTCTGTTCCTGCTGTTTCTCTATCAGATTCAGACAGTCAAGACATTTCAAGTGACTGAAAATGGTTTTCAGTGTAAAAAGGTTGGAGGTGACAAGAACAAAAACTGATATATTTTTTTTTTAATGTTTTACTATAAGAATTGCCAACGGCCACCAGAAAAACAGTGTGAAGCAAGATTAAACATCCTATAGTATCACAGTTGCTAATTTTTATAGTCACACAGGCAGGTTTTAGTTAATTGGAACATAATTCAAACAAGACTATAATTGTTACCTTTTGGCTCTTTTGCATGTTTCAGTGATACATCGTATACCTTAATGTAAGATATGATAATGTACAGTGTATGTTGTATATTTGAAATAACTAATGTTTGTGAAGTAGTTAATAAGAGTCAAGGAAATATGCAAAGATTATAAAATATACTCACAGATGATTGAAAACAATTAAAGTAATAGAAAATTGGAGAATTCTGAAAAATCAGTAAAAAAATTTAAGGTTGAATTATTGAAAATTTTAAAAAGTAAGGTGAATACAAAGAACAAAAGAAAAATCTCAAAAATCAAAAAAATCAAAAATAAAATAAAAAATATGTTTGTCACATCTAAGTCTGAAATCAAGCTGTTATTAAACTACGTTATTTATCATCAGCGTTCAATGATCTTGAATAACATTTGTAGAAATGTACATATTTATAGAGTTACTAATTACCAACAAATACTGTATAAACCTTGTAACTGTAATAATTGTACATGACAGTTAGGTATCAAAACTGTACTCACCATACAGGATGAGATTCAATAATGTAGAGATATCACAGCTAGTAGAGATATCACAGCTAGTAGAGATATCACACCTAGTAGAGATATCACACCTAGTAGAGATATCACAGATAGTAGATATATCTCACCTAGTAGAGATATCACAGCTAGTAGAGATATCACACCTAGTAGAGATATCACACCTAGTAGAGATATCACAGATAGTAGATATATCTCACCTAGTAGAGATATCACAGCTAGTAGAGATATCACACCTAGTAGAGATATCACAGCTAGTAGAGATATCGCAGCTAGTAGAGATATCACCTTGTAGATATATCTCACCTAGTAGAGGTATCACAGATAGTAGATATATCTCACCTAGTAGAGATATCACAGCTAGTAGAGATATCACACCTAGTAGAGATATCACACCTAGTAGAGATATCACACCTAGTAGAGATATCGCAGCTAGTAGAGATATCACCTAGTAGAGATATCACACCTAGTATATATATCACAGATAGTAGATATATCTCACCTAGTAGAGATATCGCAGCTAGTAGAGATATCACCTAGTAGAGATATCACAGCTAGTATATATATCACAGATAGTAGATATATCTCACCTAGTAGAGATATCACAGATAGTAGATATATCTCACCTAGTAGAGATATCACAGCTAGTAGAGATATCACACCTAGTATATATATCACAGATAGTAGATATATCTCACCTAGTAGAGATATCGCAGCTAGTAGAGATATCACACCTAGTAGAGATATCACAGATAGTAGAGATATCGCAGCTAGTAGATATCACACCTAGTATATATATCACAGATAGTAGATATATCACACCTAGTAGAGATATCGCAGCTAGTAGATATATCTCACCTAGTAGAGATATCACACCTAGTAGAGATATCACACCTAGTAGAGATATCACACCTAGTAGAGATATCACACCTAGTAGAGATATCACACCTAGTAGAGATATCACAGATAGTAGATATATCTCACCTAGTAGAGATATAGTAGATATATCACACCTAGAGATATCGCAGCTAGTATATATATCTCACCTAGTAGAGATATCACAGATAGTAGATATATCTCACCTAGTAGAGATATTACACCTAGTATATATATCACAGTTGTACACACAAGTTACATATCATAATTGTACACCTGGTAGAGATTAACAAACAAATTTATCATTCTAAGGTGAGATAACTCTAAATTACACCTCACTCTGTCTACTTCACACAGCAGTGATTGATTATTCCACACTTTACAGTTAGATATGAGCTGTTGTAGTCATGAATTGTATACACTGCTAACTGCCCATGAATTTCGTGTTAGAATAGGTGATCTGATTTTGACAGTTCTGCTACATATCACCATACAGAGAGGAATAACATCAAAGTATGTGTGAATTTTTTCGATGAGACACAACAGTTTATCTCTCCACAGCAAAAACAGGAATGCACCTGTAAAGCAGGGGAGAGATTTTGATTTTACATACATGTACCTGGGAGAGATGATTGCAATGTTACATACATGTACCTGGGAGAGATGATTGCAATGTTACATACATGGTTTAGATATACTGCTACAGATATCACAGTTTAGGGGTAGAGATATCACATCTGTAATACCTGATTGATATTGTCACAATATATATCTAATTCTGTAAAGCATTATAGATCTCTCAAATGATATACTCAGAAATTTTCCAGGTTTTCCTCTGTTTTTTAATGGTTACTGTACTGTCTACATCTTTTTGTCTAAGAAATATCTGATACAAGCCACACACATGTCTATGCTCTTGTGTCTGATGGACATGAAATTCCAGCATTACAGTGTATATCTCTACAGAATAATGCACAATCCTGTGTGACAAAGACATAGCGTTGTCCACTATTACTCTAATTCATCAGGGATATGGTCCTCCACATATTCCTGTTTATCACAATTATCAATATTTCTGTTTTTGTGAAAACAGTTATCAAAGTTCATACTTATAAAAGTTTACCAGGTACAATGTTCCACATATTTCTGAATGTGACAGATATCCATATTCGTGCTCTCTTCTCCACTTGTCCCTTTATGTCACAATTTATATTTCTGTTTTTTTGAGAACAGGTACCAACATTCACACTTACATAAATTTACTAGTCATATAGTTCTCTAATTGTCCCTGTGTATCACTATTATCCCTGTTTTCGTGAGAATAGGTACCTATTCTTACTGGTTAATTGTTCTCAATATGTCTCTGTGTATCATATTTATCAGTATATTAGCATTGTCTCTACCCTAGTATCTATTAGGTATTTATATTTTACATTTACCATTGTGTGGCTTGGTACGATCAAACTGTATTCTCCTTGCCATTAATCTATGAGGACCCTGTGCTCTCCACGACAGTGTTAGATTCACGCCCAGTGGTGAACACTCTCTGAGGACTGACTTTGTTCACAGGTTTACAAGATGTACACAGTAAGAAGTCTCGGAGCTGCCGTCTGAACTTTGTGCCCACCATACAATACACAGTGATATTGAGACAGCTGTTGAGAATGTTCAAGATCTCGGTGACGGCATTGATGATATCAAACTCTTTAGACGTTGGCGATGATAGTGATGTAGTTTCCTTGATGCATATCCCATTCTCTGACATATGATTTACAAGCTTGTAAAAGACCATGATTGATATTGGAAGGTTGCACACCATGTAGATGATGACAATGAGGAGAATGAGAATGGAGAGGTTTCTGTTAGGGTTCGGGATATTCGGCAGGCCGACACGTATCCTTGCAGACCGTCTGACTTGAAGGAAGAGAAGAAGGTTGAAAGTGGCAAGAAGGATCCATGGAAGGATGTACCAAAGGAGAGGAATGATATAGACATGATAAGTACAAGGGTAGAGTGTGTCACGTCCTAACTTTGTCATCACTCGCACAGAGAGACTGGACGTGTTGGCGATGTGGTATTTCTGAACTCGAAATGAGAAAAAGTTGGGCAAAGTTAGAATGATCACAATTGCAATAATTCCTATGATACACACTCTCACAAGGAACGGAGTGCATGACCGCCTAATGGTCAATGGATACCTGATGGCCAGAAACCTTTCTATTGACAAGGTCAAGGTTACAAAGCTGGACACACCTAGGGCTATCCAATGAAATGGTTCAACATAGATATCAAGGTAGGCACTGTAGTGTAAGACCATGTATGTATCTTGAGCCTCTGTCAAGAACAGATTATAGGTGTTATAACGGAAAAATGCTGTGATGAGCACAAAAGTGTCAGCCAATGACAAAGCTCGGAGGTACACTGCTATTGTAGTTCTCCTCACTGATTTCCGTGACAAAATGATAAATGCCAGAATATTGGCCACGATTCCTAACACTATCAAGATGAACATGATATATCCGTGACAAATCTTCCATAGTTTTATCCGGAAAAATATTTTTTCATAGTCGCCAGCTGTCAGTCGGTTTGTGCTGGTCATCTCTGTTGTCATCACCTTACTTAGATAAGTTGTTTTGTTATTGAGACTGGTCATCGTGTCTTTGATGGGTGTGTTTACCTAGAGGTGGAGGATGGATAATAACTATCGTTGTGTTTTAATAAGTTCCTGATAAATATATCCTAAAAGATCACTAGAGAAAGTTTATCACTGTTGGAATTTGAAGTCTGCTCCCTGTTTCTTCATTCAGAAGTGTCAAATATTTCTTACTTTTCAACAATAATGGTTTGTTTAAGTCAGTGTTCCTCTAGTCATTGCAACAGACAGTGCAAACTCTAGGAGTATTCTGATACAGTTCCTCCCATCATCACAGCAGACAGGAGTTTCCAGCAGTATTCTTGTCTAGTTCTTGTCAATGTTCTTATGTCTGTGGTACCTTGGTAATGTGCCTTCCTGTGTCTGACCAGAGATGTTTCACTAGGAGATGCTCAGACAGTTGTAACTAACTCCACAACACCATCACTCGAGCTTTGATTATTGTGTTACACCAGTGATGTCCAGTCTGCGGTACTTAAACTATCTGATGTCCAGTTCACTGTATCTAACTCCCCGACACCATCACTGCAGGACAAGTTATTGTGTTACACCAGTGATGTCCAGTTTGTTTTATCTAAACTATCCCGTGTCCAGTGTACCTAACTACCTGAGGCCATCACTTCAGGATTAGTCCTTGTGTTACACCAGTAATGTCCAGTTTGTTGAATCTAAACCATCCTGCATCCAGTGTACCTAATTACCTGGCACTATCACCTCTAGATTGGTCATTGTTTTACACTATTGTGAACAAATTTGATAAGCTCAATGATTTTCATAAAATTATTTAATAACTCATTGCGTTGAGTGTTAAGTCAATATGGTATATGTGGACTTGCGTAGGATGCCCTGGTGATATGGGAAGATCGAGTAATTAGAAGATAAGACCTTGCCAGAAAGGCTGTGGTCAGTGCAAGGTGCGTCACCTGTACTCCGTGGCCAGGTAACGGTCCTATCACCTGTACAGGTAGGAGAGGCACTGCACGGTCATCTGTTTACTTTGTCATCTCATTCAATTATAATACACTCAGGATTAATCTTTCATTTCCTCGGATATTTTGTAAAATTCTATATGGTAGCAAAGGATTGTTTTTTGAATATCCACTCTTCATTTTTCTGTTGCTGATGTTTGCTCTGGCACGTATTTGGTTTTCTGTCTCTAGTGTTACATTCGTTGTGAAGGAGAATTGATTGGGCTATTTCGAAACTGTGAAATGAACACCTTTAAAGAGCATTGTACACGGAAACTCCAACCACAGTGTATTTACATCCAGTGACATGATTGGCAATATGCTATGTTTCCTTTACTCTGTATATACTGTAAATCAGGATATTTTGGTTGTGGTTATATTTTGGACTATTTAGCACCTGGCAATGCCAGATATTCTACACACACTGTTATCTGATCTATCATTAGGGGATGTAGTTTTATATCAGTAATATTTTCATGCTCTCGAAAATATAGTTGCCGTACTGTTTGCATGTGTTGGCAGAAAATGTATCATTTTGTCCTTCTTCAATAAAGGTTTTATTTATAAACTCTGTGTTTTTTTCCTTATAAATTGTTGTTTTGAATGTTGGTGTAAATATGAGTGCTGCTCATACTGAGGCTCAGTTAAATCCACCTGGTATTGATATATTCCTTGTGCCAAAACAAAGCAAGGCATTTTGCTAACAGCTGTACTGGCTATTTTAGTGACTGTATATAAATAGTTTGTATGTAGATTATTCAAAAGGAAGTTGGTCATTTGTGTGGGGCTCAGTATCTCTAGTTATACCTTCAAACACAACTACAGCATATTTCAAATTTAAGATAGCAATTGAAGATGAATTAATTAATAAACTGTTTATATCTATGTATGCTGTTTGTTACATGATTCATTAAAAAGGCCAAAATTTTACACAAATTTGATAGGAACGCCAAATTTATACACCATATAAACCATCCTATTTTGGTGAAAACTGCCAAAATTTCCCAATATCAAAACAGTCACAGTATTGTATACACATAGCATACAAAATGGTCACTTGATACAGGTAATGTCATAGAACAGTGGTCACTGTGTACAGGTAATTTATAACAAATAGGTCACTTGATACAGGTAATGTCATAGAAAAGTGGTCACTGTGTACAGGTCATTTTATAACAAATAGGTCACTTGATACAGGTAATGTCATAGAAAAGTGGTCACTGTGTACAGGTAATTTATAACAAATAGGTCACTTGATACAGGTAATGTCATAGAAAAGTGGTCACTGTGTACAGGTCATTTTATAACAAATAGGTCACAAGATACAGGTAATGTCATAGAAAAGTGGTCACTGTGTACAGGTAATTTATAACAAGTAGGTCACTTGATACAGGTAATGTCATAGAAAAGTGGTCACTGTGTACAGGTCATTTTATAACAAATAGGTCACTTGATACAGGTAATGTCATAGAAAAGTGGTCACTGTATACAGGTAATTTATAACAAATAGGTCACTTGATACAGGTAATGTCATAGAAAAGTGGTCACTGTATACAGGTAATTTATAACAAATAGGTCACTTGATACAGGTAATGTCATAGAAAAGTGGTCACTGTGTACAGGTCATTTTATAACAAATAGGTCACTTGATACAGGTAATGTCATAGAAAAGTGGTCACTGTATACAGGTAATTTATAACAAATAGGTCACTTGATACAGGTAATGTCATAGAAAAGTGGTCACTGTGTACAGGTCATTTTATAACAAAATGTTCACTTCTTGAAGGTAATGCCATAAAAAATATTGATTCATATGCCATTATAAACACAGTGGTCACTATAGGGAGGTAACTTAAGTACAAACTCTGGTCATTTTATAGAGGTTTGTGTAATACAAAGGGTTGTCCTTAGTTACAGTTTATGGCAGTGTGTCAAGTGTATGTGTTAGTCCCAGCCAGGAAAGATAACCTGATTGTAATTCTTCAACGTCATCTTTAACTCATTATGAAATTCAAATTTTAATTGACGCAAAATATCAAAATAACAATGAGAGTTTCTATGGAGACAGAACAGGATGTTCTAAGGACATAGATGTTAGATTACTGGGAAATTAGTGAAGGGTTCAGATCATCTCTCACAATCACACAACGAAAACTTGTATCTGCTTGTACTTTAGTGTCCTGTCCATAAATGTGCCATATGTCATAAAATGATAATGGTCTCCTGGCTAGAGGACAATGGTCTCCTGTGACTTGTGACATTAACGTTGTTTAGTTGTCCTTCTATAAGTCAACCAATTCTACCCCCACAACCCTACTGATTTACAGCTAAATAGGGTTCCATTTAGTACAAAACTTATTTCATCACAGAATGTGGTTCATTTGTAAGATCTCAGAAGTCTTCAGGATAAGATGTTATTGAATATGCAATACTGAAACCCAGCTGTAATCACATCAGTTAAACAAAGAAACTATGTAGCTTTGTAATTTCTTGTTCTTCTGAAAGAAAAAAATGAAATTGTGAAAAGACAACTGATTCTTCATTAAAAGATGTTTTTGATGACCTACATGTAGTTTAAGGTTCCTTGTACTGCTTCAACTGTAACCAGTTGGCGATACTTCATTTCACGATTTTAGTCACGTTGTGCATAGCGTCAGAATGGCTGGTTACCAACAATCCACATGTACACGGCTCAGAATTATAGTATTTTTCATCTTTTGATGGTCGTTGTGAATAACATATTGGAGACTTCCTGTAGAATTGTTAGATCAGATTAACATTCACTGATAACTTAGAGAAGGAACGGTAGAGTCTCAGAAATGTTATTTATTTTATGTTTGTACACAAAGTACAGGCTAGTGAAGGTTAAAAGGTCACACTTACCTGGGTATCTTACGATTGTAATTCATTTTAGAGAATTCGTTAAAACAGAAATAAAGTGACTTTTAGATATGGAGATTATACTATTCTGTTTTCATTGTACAGATTGGTCTGGCGTTGGAAAGAGTAGATGCAGCCATCGGTCAGCTGATGGAGGGACTCTTTCACCGTGACCTCCACAACTGTGTGAACATCCTCCTTATTGCCGACCACGGTCAGCTCCTCTATATACTGCCCGTTAATCAATGTTCTATTTAATTTCAAATTATCCATTTTGGATTGCTTCACAGAATTTTGTCAAACATTGTTTTTAACAAAGGATCGTACTTAGCCTGTTAAATTTCCTCAATCTGGACTATTTCATGTATAAATGGAGTCTATTCTCTATGATATTTGTGAGACCAAATTATATGTGGAATGTCATTGTAATAGTGATGTCATTGTTAATATAGAAGAGTCCTTGATATTATGACAACAAAATTTGAAGAATTTTTTTAAAGAATAAACTAAAAGTTTATATCTATCAATCAGATAGGAATGATGATGGTATACACAGTGTTCCCTGTTTGGTATACACAGTGTTCCCTGTTTGGTATACACAGTGTTCCCTGTTTGGTATACACAGTGTTCCCTGTTTGGTATACACAGTGTTCCCTGTTTGGTATACACAGTGTTCCCTGTTTGGTATACACAATGTTCCCTGTTAACAGGAATGTCCAGTATTTCCTGTGATCGGTTAGTACTAATGAAGGACTACCTGTCTAGTACAACTCTATCCAAGATGCACCTTTTTGAGGGTGCATTTGGGAGGATCAACAACCTTTACTCTCAGAAATCTTCCAGGTCAAAGATGAGACTTGTCCCTGACCAAGGTAAGTCCTGTCACCTTGCCAGGTGTTCTGATTCCAAGCAACTTTTTTTTTTCTTGTCCAGGTGTATCAGATCCAGGTGAATTTTTTCACCTCATCCAGGTAAGACTGTCATCAGAAATAAATGGTTATATCACTCCAAGGGCTTGATAATGTCTTACTCTCTTGAGACATATATATGTTACTCAGGTGTCTAGTGTCTGTCCTGGGCAGAACTCTCTCCCTGTTAAATGATGAAACCAATGTCTGAAATCTATTTCTTCTGTAAGTTGAGAATGAAACCAGAGTTTGGTCAAATTAACTCCAGGGATTGACATTTCAGGAAATGAAAACCATAATCTAACTCAAGTTTGACAATTCTCTTGTTTTAAGTTTCTCCGATGACTCTTGATGTTCGTTTCGGCTGTAAGAATGCATTTTAACCATAATCAGCAGGAAACAATGTAGAAAATAATTTCATGATTTTCCTCTGAAAGGTAAATAAAGTGACATGGTTTTAATGATTATGAAACAAATGTACTCACATATTGTTGTAAGGTTTTTAAACCATCTTAAATTGATTGATTTTGCATTGCATTTTACTTAAAAAATTGACCAAAAATTTGTGAGACAACATCAGACTTAACTGAACCTAAACTTGCCATGTTCTTGCTCTACAGAGTAATAACAAAGCTGTAAGATTGATCTCAAATGGTATCTATTGTCTTAATGTTATGTTTTCATTACTATCACTATTTTGTTCTTTAAATCAAAAAATGTTTTAAACAGACTCGTTAAAGATTACTGTTCTCATTTACAGTACCTGTGTCAGACATCATTTCTAATCTTACCTGTCATTCACACTTCAAAGTCTTCTCGAAGACCTCAATTCCAAAGCGCCATCACTATGCCAACAACCCTAGAATTGATGACATCATCATTGATGTGGAAAATGAATGGCTTGTCACAGAGAAGTAACTTTCTGCAGCTTTATAATACCCCTTGTATTTGAAGAAGTCAATATGAATGAAATTAGAACTTTCTAATTTTTATTTAATCATTAATTTTTTCTTAGCAATGATTATGCTGAATTAAGTTCACACACCTGTCCTTTGTAAATTGGAGCTGATAGTTGTAGCTGTGGTAGTTGTGGTTGGTATGACTCTTTTATTTTACCTTAACATTACATTCAATAATACAATTATTTCTCTTACATAAGAGTTATATAGTAACTACTTTCTGTGTGTGTACATCCCTCCTGTAATCATATAACCTTGACATTCAATAACACAATTACCTCCACTATTTCTCTTACATAAGGGGGTATGTAGTAACTACTTTCTGTGTGTGTACATCCCTCCTGTAATCATATAACCTTGACATTCAATAACACAATTACCTCCACTATTTCTCTTACATAAGGAGGTATATAGTAACTACTTTCTGTGTGTGTACATCCCTCCTGTAATGGTTGATAGCATTGTGTACAAGATTTTTGATGAACAATAAAATAGACAGATTCAAGTGACAGTCATATCCCTGATTAGATTTTATTGGTTATTGGTCAAGGATAATGACCAAAGGTCACCCTTGACCACTTTTGAAATAAAAATTTTGTGTACAGGATATCATAAGAACATCTGACAGTTGTAGTTCATATTCACATCATAGCATCACACTAAGTTTTACATCAGATTAAATTTTATTTCTTACTGGTGAATATCCAAATGTCCAGTTTTGTAATAAAACAAAATTTGTGTACAAGTTCTCTCTTGGACCCCTTTTTAGATTAAACATTCATTAGGTTTACATCAGAAGAAAAAGATCAGGGGTGGAGGTATGTCTATGTGAACACTTGCTCACTTTGTTTTCATTACTCCTGATTTGAAAACACTGTCAGTTACATTGTCTACAATATCATTTATAAAGCAGATTAACTATACAATGCTGGTGTGGCAAATTCTTGATTCAAATATACTGCAGTCAGTCATGTTCCATGTTTTAATACAGATGTGATAGTACTTGCAGTATTTTTACAGGAAGAAAATCCAATAATAATACCAATATATGTAAATTTCAGGCAATCCTGTTATCATTTAACAGAGTATAGAGCAAGATGATAATGCAAAACAGAGTAAAGTGGTATGAAATCCTACCATAATATTGGGGGGAAAATGCATGAAGAGATTTTTAAAAATAAGTTTTTGTTGAAGTGTACCAAAGTCATCTACCGAAGCCAAGTGTACTGGTGGAAATCATGGATATGATAACACATACAAAAGTATGCAGGTAATCCCACTCTTTATCACCCACCTATTCTTAGGTTTGCTAAGAAATACTTAGGACTATATTACTTAACATAACACTGCTAATGTATAAAGACTACCTGATACTGCTTTCTTTTTTGTTTTACAAACTTGATCAGCTGTCTAGGACAGCAGCAAATTTCCAACTTCTATTCTCACTTATTTCTCAATGCTATTTCTTGAGAATTACTTAAAGTGTATGATTTATACGTAGTATAGTAATTGTCATTTTAAGCTATATTATTGCTTGATTGAAGTAAATCGACCTGTTGATGTTTGACCAAGGTTGTCTTGTTAAAAGCTGAATTCAGTAAGGATCCTTTTGATATAATCTGTACCATAAACCTTAGGTGATCAGATTATGAAGCACTATTGTAGGATTTGATCTCAACTTCTGTTAATGTAGGTTAATGATCAGTGTCCAGATGGTAAAATTCTTCATTCCTTTTAGTAAAACATATGAATATAACAAAATAAAGATTGTAAAGACTTGTCCACAGATAACAAAAACCAAAGTCCTTTCTGTGCTTGTCTTGATTATATATCAACTGACTGTTATCAATATCCCTATGGTATATCTTGCTATTTAAACACATACAGTAAAATGTAAACATACTTACAGTAATTTAGCACAAAATCTGTTTTGGAAAATTAGAGCAATAATGAATTCATGCATCCACAAGACTTACTGTATAAGGAGAATCAAGAAACTGGAATTAACATAATCATGTTTTAGGGCAATACTTTTAACAATAAGACAATTTAACAGTAAAAATATGTAGATTTACAGTATTTACCTGTCTTCTTCCTTTTTAAGTATATCAAAGATGAAAAAAAATGAATTCAGAAATAGGGGTTTCCCAAATATGTCAACAGCTCATTATTGTTTCTTAGTGAAATGAAATAAATTATGACCGGATTATTTTCATGTGTTGTAGGCTTTGTTTCTGGCCCATGGTCCAGCATTTCATCAGAATTTGACAGTAAATCCATTTGAAAACATCGAACTGTACAATCTGATGGCAGGTAGGCTTTCAGTGTCACATACCAGTATTCATTGTAACGCGTGAAAGTATCATATTTTTGTAGGGGTACGACAACATCTAATTTGTTTTGCGATATGACAACATGAATTTTGTGTTCAGTTATGGCAATATTAATCATGTGTACAGAAATTGCAGCAATGATTTTTGAAAACCACAGTTCAAGCTCTTGAAGGGTTGCACCTACCAGTAGTTTTAGAATGACTGGATGAATTCTATGACATAAGTATTATAAACAGTGTAATCTGTATTGATACTATAGATGTACTGGGTGTAATTATTATAAACAGTGTAATCTGTATTGATACTATAGATGTACTGGGTGTAATTATTATAAGCTGTAAAATTTGTATTGATACTTTAGATGTCCTGAGTGTAATTATTATAAGCAGTGTAATTTGTATTGATACTATAGATGTCCTGAGTGTAATTATTATAAGCAGTGTAATCTGTATTGATACTATAGATGTACTGGGTGTAATTATTATAGGCAGTGTAATCTGTATTGATACTATAGATGTCCTGAGTGTAATTATTATAGGCAGTGTAATTTGTATTGATACTATAGATGTACTGGGTGTAATTATTATAAGCTGTGTAATCTGTATTGATACTATAGATGTACTGGGTGTAATTATTATAAGCAGTGTAATTTGTATTGATACTATAGATGTACTGGGTGTAATTATTATAAGCTGTGTAATCTGTATTGATACTATAGATGTACTGGGTGTAATTATTATAAGCAGTGTAATTTGTATTGATACTATAGATGTACTGGGTGTAATTATTATAAGCAGTGTAATTTGTATTGATACTATAGATGTACTGGGTGTAATTATTATAAACAGTGTAATTTGTATTGATACTATAGATGTACTGGGTGTAATTATTATAAGCAGTGTAATTTGTATTGATACTATAGATGTACTGGGTGTAATTATTATAAGCTGTGTAATCTGTATTGATACTATAGATGTACTGGGTGTAATTATTATAGGCAGTGTAATCTGTATTGATACTATAGATGTCCTGAGTGTAATTATTATAAGCAGTGTAATCTGTATTGATACTATAGATGTACTGGGTGTAATTATTATAGGCAGTGTAATCTGTATTGATACTATAGATGTACTGGGTGTAATTATTATAGGCAGTGTAATTTGTATTGATACTATAGATGTACTGAGTGTAATTATTATAAGCAGTGTAATTTGTATTGATACTATAGATGTACTGGGTGTAATTATCATAAGCAGTGTAATCTATCTTGTTACAATAGATGTTCTGGGTGTAAGACCAGCCCCTAACAATGGAACAAAGGGCTCACTCAACCATGTGTTGAAAAATCCAGTGCCAATCAGTAGGGCAACACCAATACAGAATTACACCACCTGGCGTATGGGGAATGTAACAGAGAAATTCATACAGGATTCCCTGAAGTACAGGAGTCAGTGTCTGGACAAATGTAACATCAATACCAACGCAACCCAGGTAGGAAGGAACATTGGCAGAAATGATATATAGAAGTGTCTGGAAGTACTGGTACATTACATATAGAAAACAGTCATCTCTGGAAGTAGAATTTTTTGATAGGGGACCAAATTTTGGACAAGTCAGTAATGATGCTGTTTGGTGTAACAATAATCCCCAATTGTGTTATAGATATAGATTAAAATAAATGTTCTAGATAATCTTTCATATTGGTATTGTCTTTACGTTATGAATGCTGTCAATGAGCCGGTGTATGATATTTCAAACACCTGATTTTAATACAAGTACACAATTTAGAATAATGAATTAAGGTTTTTAACTGTTCAACAATTCAAATGTTTTTCAGACCAAGGTTAATACAGAAGACTACCATATCGTGTTTGGCTGTCCTTCTCTCCTTATTTCACACACTCAGACCAGTGTCTATATAAAGAGTTACCCAAGTCATGTGACGGCATACAGCACAGCACTATTGGCTCCACTGTGGGTCTCCTACACACAGACCTCTGTCCCTTCCCCTAGTACTAACTACCCGACCTGTATCCTGAGGGGTTGGGATCTGCCACAATGTGAGGCTACATCCTTCACACAAGACTCCAGGCAGTATACATGGACTCCGCTGTACAAAACAGGTAATAACATGATATAGTAGTGTCGTCATCAGAGATGAGCAAGCATTGAGGTCAGTCATAAATGAAAATTATCTTCATTCTTTAGTTTGTTTCAAATTTATGTTGTCCGGTGGTGCTGTAGTAATGTAATTTCACTTAAAAATCCAGAGTTTGATTTTCAAAATGGATGTGAAAACATATTGGGTCACCTGTCTGACCTCATGGATTTTCTCTAGTTACTCTAGTTTCCTCCCACAGTAAGACCCCTTGTGTTTTTCCATTTTGGCAAGAGTGATTGATAGGAACTGACAGCTTGTTTGGAAATTCTAAAATAATTAAAACTTTATATTTCTTTCAAACCTGAAGTTAATTTGCTAGTTCACCAATTTCTTAATTACATATTGACTGTGGAATAAATGCTTGTCTAGGTTATAATATAAATATATCTAAAGTAAAGTGTTACTTACGCTGGAATGTCATGTATGATTTGTTGTTTTAGTTACTCTGTATTGATCATGACTTGCAATAGTTTAACCTCATTTTCCCTTGATTGACCGGTTGTTGTATACTTACCTACTTCCCTGGTATACATGTGTTGACCTGGTTTCTACATGGTTGACTTAGAATCTCTATTCTCTGTTTGTTTGACCTAGTTTCCTCTTGTATCTCTATGACTGACCCTCCATGTGTTTACCTAGTTTCTTCACTGTGTGTATTTGACCTAGTTTCGTTTCCTGTTACATTAACCTTGTATCTCTATGACTGACCCTCCATGTTTTTACCTAGTTTCTTCACTGTGTGTATTTGACCTAGTTTCGTTTCCTGTTACATTAACCTTGTATCTCTATGACTGACCCTCCATGTGTTTACCTTGTTTCTTCACTGTGTGTATTTGACCTAGTTTCGTTTCCTGTTACATTAACCTTGTATCTCTATGACTGACCCTCCATGTGTTTACCTAGTTTCTTCACTGTGTGTATTTGACCTAGTTTCCTGGTACATTAACCTTGTATCTCTATGACTGACCCTCCATGTGTTTACCTAGTTTCTTCACTGTGTGTATTTGACCTAGTTTCGTTTCCTGTTACATTAACCTTGTATCTCTATGACTGACCCTCCATGTGTTTACCTAGTTTCTTCACTGTGTGTATTTGACCTAGTTTCGTTTCCTGTTACATTAACCTTGTATCTCTATGACTGACCCTCCATGTGTTTACCTAGTTTCTTCACTGTGTGTATTTGACCTAGTTTCCTGGTACATTAACCTTGTATCTCTATGACTGACCCTCCATGTGTTTACCTAGTTTCTTCACTGTGTGTATTTGACCTAGTTTCCTGGTACATTAACCTTGTATCTCTATGACTGACCCTCCATGTGTTTACCTAGTTTCTTCACTGTGTGTATTTGACCTAGTTTCCTGGTACATTAACCTTGTATCTCTAGGACGTCCCCTTATTGTGTTTTCCTTGTTTCTTCAATTTGTGTTTTTGACCTAGTTCCTGGTACATTAACCTTGTATCTCTATGACTGACCCTCCATGTGTTTACCTAGTTTCTTCACTGTGTGTATTTGACCTAGTTTCCTGTTACATTAACCTTGTATCTCTATGACTGACCCTCCATGTGTTTACCTAGTTTCTTCACTGTGTGTATTTGACCTAGTTTCGTTTCCTGTTACATTAACCTTGTATCTCTATGACTGACCCTCCATGTGTTTACCTAGTTTCTTCACTGTGTGTATTTGACCTAGTTTCGTTTCCTGTTACATTAACCTTGTATCTCTATGACTGACCCTACATGTGTTTACCTAGTTTCTTCACTGTGTGTATTTGACCTAGTTCCTGGTACATTAACCTTGTATCTCTATGACTGACCCTCCATGTGTTTACCTAGTTTCTTCACTGTGTGTATTTGACCTAGTTTCGTTTCCTGTTACATTAACCTTGTATCTCTATGACTGACCCTACATGTGTTTACCTAGTTTCTTCACTGTGTGTATTTGACCTAGTTCCTGGTACATTAACCTTGTATCTCTATGACTAACCCTCCATGTGTTTACCTAGTTTCTTCACTGTGTGTATTTGACCTAGTTTCCTGGTACATTAACCTTGTATCTCTATGACTGACCCTCCATGTGTTTACCTAGTTTCTTCACTGTGTGTATTTGACCTAGTTTCGTTTCCTGTTACATTAACCTTGTATCTCTATGACTGACCCTACATGTGTTTACCTAGTTTCTTCACTGTGTGTATTTGACCTAGTTCCTGGTACATTAACCTTGTATCTCTATGACTAGCCCTCCATGTGTTTACCTAGTTTCTTCACTGTGTGTATTTGACCTAGTTCCTGGTATATTAACCTTGTATCTCTATGACTAACCCTCCATGTGTTTACCTAGTTTATTCACTGTGTGTATTTGACCTAGTTTTCTTATTTTACCAGCAATGGCTTATTCCTGGGAGAGCTTAATTTCACTAAATTTTGTACCTATGCTGGAGAACTTCAGACAAGGTAAATATAGCAAAAAATCTTTGATACATGAAGGCTTTTAAGCATTTGTGGTCAGTTGTATAAAGGTTAATTACCATTGTTGATGACACCTGTTACCTCAACAAACTCACCAAATGCTAAAACAAAGTTTTAATACAAAGAGACATTTTAATTTACAAATACAAAATTCATGAAGGAAGACATTACTCGTGTTTTTTTTTGTTGGGATCAGAGGTACCAAAGACTGTGTTACCATAGCCAAAGGTCCCAGGGGAAAAAAAATAAATGAAAATTTGATTTATGAAACTTTGATACATAAATGGGTCAGTTGGTAGTGTTATAACGGGATAAAACATTAGCATATTGATACAAAGAGAAATAAGAATCATTGAAGTTTGAGTAAAGGAAGTTTGACTGTAATTCTGTAAGCATAACACTTGATTCAGCAAATATTACTAGGACTGTAAATATACCAACTGTTGCCAACAGTTTACTGAGTAGTGATAATTAATGAACTGGTTTTACACTATTAAGTTCATTGTGCTATATCTCCATTGTGTTTATTACCTTAGGATTGACATGTAATACTGTTGTGTTGCCTCCATCAGGTATTTGGAGAAGTGTCCAGAACCTTACAGATACATACATAAAAGACTACGGAGAAGTCAATGTGATGACTGGTCCTATCTTTGATTACAACACTGATGGACACAAGGATGACCCGGCCACTGTCCTTAGGTTTGTCAATATTGTTTTCATTATATATGCAGATTACATCTATTAACAGTTCAACCGTTCTCCTGTCTAAAAGTTGTAAAGATCCATACTAGGTAGCAGAGTAAAGATTTCTACTGTAGGAAGAGGTACCCACAGAAAACCCATGTGGTTGGACAGGTGACCCCTATATTTTCATGTCTCTTCCAGGAATCCAATCCCAGGTGAAAGGCTGGTGTGTTACCACTGCACCACCTGACCACACATCCCATATAAGGCCAATAGGGCCAAGACATATACTTTAACTCAAAGTAGGGGATACTGTATTGTTATTGCAGGCCAATGATCTAGTTTTTCAATAGCATTTGTACTGAACTGCATTAGATATTAGTGGGCTTATTACCAGGCATGAGTTTATTGTCGGATAAATACAGTACACAAACTGCTTCTTAATTTAACCGTTAGATATTTTATCTGAGGTTACAAACTTGTAGTTTAAAGGTCAGTCATTCAAGGTCATTAACATAGTAAGCATGGGTACTAGCATAAAGAGTACAGATGGTTATAACACCATCAACTTCATTGATAAAGTAAGTTCACAACGACACGGTATACAGGTAATTTGTACAGAGGATTTTACACGAGTGTCAGTCATATCAAATGAGTATAATATTTCATTTGTCAGGAGTCTTTAGGCGAATGCAATGTCAGATTATTTAACAAGTTGAATACCTTCCATATCACGTCAGCATGAGTGTAAGATTCTATTTATCATATAACCTGTATTTCTGAAAAATAGGGAAAACGCTTTAATTAATTTCCTGATAAGATAAGCTTAATTTTGTGTGGATGATATGTTTTTCATGACTGAAACAGTTGTGTGATGTCAGCAAGACATGACTTATCTATGACGTCAGAATAGTGTTATTACACATGTCATATAATATTTATGACCTGCCCATATGACATGACACAACAGGCCAGTTATATGATAAAATGAGATGGCAAGTTTACATGAAAATTGTTTCTATCTACTGAGTTAGTTATCCTGATTGTAGCCTAAGTTTTTCATTCCCACTATAAAATAACCCTTTCTATTGACCTAATTTCACATATTTACTGTGTGATGGTTTTTACAGGAGAAACACCACTGTCAGCATTCCAACCCACTTCTTCTACATCATCAGTCGCTGTAGTATCCAAAACCTGACTGCCTGTCCATCTGATCAACTGAAAACGCTGTCATTCATCCTCCCTCATACAGAGAGTATCACAAACTGCCAGGTCAGTATCATAGCATTTGAAAATTACTTCAAAAGGTGTTGAAAAATAACCCACCATAACATACAGTCGTTAGTATGATGAAAGTTAAGAGTAAACATGTCATTTCATTACCTGCTTTGATTCACAGTTATATAAGTTTTGCATTTCAGTAACAAATGTTTGAGCCTTAGTAATATAAGCTTGAGGCTCAGTAATGTAAGTTTGAGGCCCTGTAATATAAGTTTAAATCTCAGTAATATAAGTTTAAATCTCAGTAATATAAGTTTGAGTCCTAGTAATGCAAGTTAGAGCCTAATTAATATGTTTGAGTCCTAGTGATATGAGTTTGAGTCCCAGTAATGTAAGTTTGAGTCCCAGTAATGTAAGTTTGAGTCCCAGTAATATAAGTTTGAGTCCCAGTAATGTAAGTTTGAGTCCTATTATTATAAGTTTAAATCTCAGTAATATAAGTTTGAGTCCCAGTAATGTAAGTTTGAGTCCCAGTAATGTAAGTTTGAGTCCCAGTAATGTAAGTTTGAGTCCCAGTAATGTAAGTTTGAGTCCCAGTAATGTAAGTTTGAGTCCCAGTAATATAAGTTTGAGTCCCAGTAATGTAAGTTTGAGTCCCAGTAATGTAAGTTTGAGTCCCAGTAATATAAGTTTGAGTCCCAGTAATATAAGTTTGAGTCCCAGTAATATAAGTTTGAGTCCCAGTAATATAAGTAATATAGGTTTGATCTACAGAGAACAGGTTCCTCTTACTCGACACACATTGTCAACTTTATGTCACTATCAGCAAGACTTTCAGGTATAAAAGTCAAACCGTCGACATGTCCTTTTGTTTCTGATCATCATGTTTTGTCTGTTTCAGACAACTGAGGATTACTTGGAAGATAATGTAGCACGGATAAAAGACATTGAGCTTCTGACAGATTTGGAATTCTATACCAAGTTGTCTCCCCTTAATTCTGTATCACTACAGACCTTTTTACCACAGGGACTTTGGCGCAGATATGGCTGAAATGTAGTTGATTTATGACTTATGTAAATTTGATAAAATAATTCATATTGATTTATCATCATGATATCAAACTTTTGAACTGATTGATTTTAATGGTGGTAAAAATTTGATTACACTTGAACAGATTGTTGATGATGTATGGGGATATGTTCATTTGTGTATCTGTTAATTAATTATGTAGATTTCAAGAATGTTCTTGTATGTGATTTGAAAATGTTTGATGAGTTATATCTATAGAGACACCTGATTTCACTTCAGGTGGTTTAAAATATGGCTGATTATCTGTCCACACTCATATAAAGTCATCACTCTAATATCATTCTTTATACAGTGGAATTTGTCTAAACTTTTCTCAGGGCTGGAAGTCCTGACTGCTATCCAGCCAAATCCATTATACCTTTGGTACTTATATTGACTGGTTGTGTATAAACCAGAACATTACATGGCCCATGTATGATGTTACACATGTCGAAATACTTTTATGATCTCAGATCTTTTCATGTTTTTATCATATTGCCATCATTCAGTAAATTACAGATTGGATTCTTTATTTCAGAGGATTTTCTCAGTTTCTCAGTTCTCTGGACTTGTTTTTTTCAAAATTTATGATATGCTAATCCATTTTCATTTTCATGTCATCCGTCATCCTTTTCTTTCAATCCTTCATCACGATCCATCCAAAATTGATTTTACACAAAACAAAAATTGCAAAATTTGTGGGTATTTTTTTTTCCATTTTTTTAATACCATACATTTATGTAATCATTAAAAATATGCATACATAATTAATGAATATTGGTAGCAATATTATCTAAACCCCCGAAGAGCACTGATGAAAATTATCAGACAATTTTGTGTATACGGTTGATACAGTGGCACCTACTTAATGTCATGTCTGTTAAAGTAACTTTCCATACTAAAAAGTTAATAAAGGCGATCACTGGGTTTTTAGCAGTTTGTGTAATCTGAGGTCACTTAACAAAGAATTATCTGTTTTACCAATGTAGGAAGGAATTATATATATATATATAACTGAAAAAAAACTAGAGGTTATGTAGTTAGAGAAACATTATCACTTTTGAAAATATTTCCAGATACACAGCTAAAATCTTATGACAAGCTCCTCACATCATTTTGATGGTCACCTTTTTTTTGTTTTTGTTTTTTTTTGTTTTAATGAGTTTGTGATTTATTTATTTTGGGTTTACATCATTATGTCCAGCTGTTTGTATTACACACTTTGTAAATTTATTCAGAATTAACAATACCCGTGTCTACATACTAGCTTGGCAATAATTTTTGAATATTAACTACATTTTAACTATTCTGTATTGAATCCAGTATGTTAAGTTTTACTCACAATATGAATGCCAAAGAAAGGAATGGAGGAATGCGAAGAAGATACATTTCAGACAAAAGCACAAAATTAATCTCAATTTAATGTAGAATTGATATTACCTTATTTGTCTGTCAATAAGCCCACCTAGATTGGTGCTTAGCAACATAGACACCTTCAACTGTCCTGGAATAAGCCCATCCCTTGACTTTGAAGTAGAGGTGATGTGTTAACACATGAGGCTTGCTGCAGGATAAATATGGCTGATATTTGATGAGGCAAGCAACACTAGTTATATGTATGATGTTAGTTTTGTGGTTTTTTTGAGAACAGGAGATTGTCAAACCTATGGGTTTCTACAACAGTTACATCACAAAAGAATGATGGATAGTATTGTGATACTGCTGAAAGTGTTATACAGTGGTTAAGACACCTGACTCTTTATCACTAGGCCTCCACCCGCTGGTCATGGCCATATCTCGGTTGTTTTTCTCAGGGAACTCCAGCTTTCCTCCACCATCAAAGCCTGGCACGTTTTTAACTGATCCTAACAGAATGTTAAGCATCAATAAACCAAACCTTGAAGTAGTTACATAAGATTATAAAGTGTCAAGATAAAGAAAGTACTGCCATTAAGGAATGCAGCACCCAGATTTAAGTATGTGATACCACAAAAATTATAGCAGTTATCGCTGAAATACATCAAGAACTTTTGGACCAAGTAGAACATACTGTCTATGCTGTATCATGCTATAAATCTGATCAGAATCTTCTACCTACCATGTCAAATGTATTTGTCAATACAAAATTTACAATCCAATAAAAACAATGTTCAAAACAAAAAAGAGTAACAAGCAAAGTGAACAATTTTATTTTATTAAAGTTAACTATGATTTATAATTCATAAGCGTCGCATCAAAAAAACAACTGCAATCGGACACTTCCTTTCTTGTACTGCTGAAACAGATTTTTCATGAAAAAAAATTCTAGGTTATCAGGAAGGTTAACTAATACATCATATTCAAATAATAAAATAGTTATGATAAAAAATGCTTAACAAGAGGCTTGCTAGGCCTGTATATAGCTCATCGGGCTCCATACAAAACTAGATACAAATTTTTGGTACTTCAGACCAAATAACAAGTTTTCAATGTTTATCTGACTATTTCCCTTCCTGGGCTCCATCCCTTTGCTTTCGGAGATGACTGATCCTCTCTATTTACAAAGTTGATTTTCTCCACCCAAAAATGAACCAAATTTCAAGGGTATTCCTTCATCTAAACAGAAAAAAAGATTTGCTATACTTTCCATATAGGGGCTTCATCCCTGCCAGTAAGTGGCTAGGCCGTTAACTATAAACATACTCTAATAGTCTTAGTTTAACACTTATTGCACTGAAAGTATTTATTAAAATATGATCTCCTAAAATGCTGCTTCTATGTATTGTTTATACATATATAGTGCTGTCATTACGCTAATTTTCCCAAAGGTGACAATGCTTTTAAGTATGAATTTGTACAACTTTTAACATTTACTCAAGGCAATGCTCAAAGTTTTACACAAAGATGTGGTGGTCATTGGAATGTTCACTTTCTGTGATATGATGCAGATTTACCCCAAACATTGAAAGTTTAAAACTTTATATTTTTTGACAGCATTTCAGAAGATATTTTGCATTAATTTTAAGAAGTGACGGTCACAGTGAGATAAATGCAGTAGATAATCCATACTTGTGGGAAACAGTAAAATCTTCTCACACTATTGTACCACACCACACATATGTAGCACTCCTTTGGTTACAGGCTTATAATACTTCTCGTCCTTTACATTATGAAGTTTATAATGACAAGTAAGATGGATATGCAGAGCTGGAAGAAAAAAATGAACCGTCTCTCTGATTACGATGAAATATTTTTATAACATCACTACAATTACAATATATTTATAATAAGATCTTTGGCAATATAACATGTCACTACTACCAGTACTGTACTGGTCCTCAACACCCTGACAAGTACCGGTAATCTCAATATCACAAGTAATCTACCACACACAATTCTTTTATTTGTCTTACATACCACCTGTTACATATGGGGGTGTTGATTAGTGCATGTTCTGTACACAATAAATGTCTGAAGAGGTGAATGATCGGAGTAACATTGGATACAGTATTGAATTTATTGGATTAAAGATTAATTTTCATACAATAAATCTGTTAGATCTGACATGTCAGGAAGCACACAGTACCTTATAGCTGCCTTGTATATTGTTGTAGAGTCTGTCATCAATTATCACTTCAATAGTAACAAAGACCAAAATATTTTTATGGAAAATAAACGTCTGGTAAATTTTATCTACAAATTTCATTGAGCATCACTTATGAAGCAAGTTATTGCATGGATTTATGCATAGGAGGAAACCACAGTTCAAAATAACGTATTGTTTAGAGTTATGTCATTACAATAAACTAACACGAAGTAGCAAGATAAACTTGTACATAATGACTTATGTCAACAGAGACACATTGAACAAATGAATTTAATTCATGTCACTAACCTTTATACTGTTATAACTTGTATATAAATGCCCACTGGTGCTCCTAGTGTAAGCAGAACCAGTCAATAACAAAAACAGTGGCCTTTCCATAGCTGTTCAGTGTAGTGTCATCAAGTCATATATGGTACCTACATATGTAGGTTAACAACTACTTTGGACAATATCAGTGAGGTATTTCTGAATAGATTATCACCATGTCAGCCGGGGATTTCCTGACCTATTTTATATAATCAAATGCTTCTGCAATATTATTATAAAATATATTGTGTTACAAATGCACTCCTGTTTGTCTTCCCTGTGACATCCTGTCTGGTATATCTTGACAATCTCTCAAAAGATTTGGTTCTTTTTCCCAGTAGTATCATTAAGTTCTACACTGTAACGTGTTATGATCATCACTCATTATTAAACGGTCAACATTGTACAAGGATCAGGACAGTCATGTCTTACAGACATTTTCTATAAATAAACACAAAATAAACACAAACAATACATTATTGTTTAGGCTTCACTGTGCCAATGATAGACATCCATTGATAGACATCCAATGATAGACATCCATTGATAGACATCCAATGATAGACATCCAATGATAGACATCCAATGATAGACATCCAATGATAGACATCCAATGATAGACATCCATTGATAGACATCATCCAATGATAGACATCCATTGATAGACATCATCCAATGATAGACATCCAGTGATAGACATCCAATGATAGACATCCATTGATAGACATCATCCAATGATAGACATCCAATGATAGACATCCAATGATAGACATCATCCAATGATAGACATCCATTGATAGACATCCAATGATAGACATCCAATGATAGACATCCAATGATAGACATCATCCAATGATAGACATCCAATGATAGACATCCAATGATAGACATCCATTGATAGACATCCAATGATAGACATCCAATGAAATGATAGACATCCAATGATAGACATCCAATGAATTGATAGACATCCAATGATAGACATCATCCAATGATAGACATCCAATGATAGACATCCAATGATAGACATCCATTGATAGACATCATCCAATGATAGACATCCAATGATAGACATCATCCAATGATAGACATCATCCAATGATAGACATCCAATGATAGACATCCAATGATAGACATCCAATGATAGACATCCAATGATAGACATCCATTGATAGACATCCAATGATAGACATCCAATGATAGACATCCATCGATAGACATCCATTGATAGACATCCAATGATAGACATCCAATGATAGACATCCAATGAAATGATAGACATCCAATGATAGACAATGATAGACATCCAATGATAGACAATGATAGACATCCAATGATAGACATCCATTGATAGACATCCATTGATAGACATCCAATGATAGACATCATCCAATGATAGACATCCAATGATAGACATCCATTGATAGACATCCAATGATAGACATCCAATGATAGACATCCATTGATAGACATCATCCAATGATAGACATCCATTGATAGACATCCAATGATAGACATCCAATGATAGACATCCAATGATAGACATCCAATGATAGACATCCAATGATAGACATCCATCGATAGACATCCATTGATAGACATCCAATGATAGACATCCAATGAAATGATAGACATCCAATGATAGACATCCATTGATAGACATCCATTGATAGACATCCAATGATAGACATCCAATGAAATGATAGACATCCAATGAATTGATAGACATCCAATGATAGACATCATCCAATGATAGACATCCATTGATAGACATCCAATGAAATGATAGACATCCAATGAATTGATAGACATCCAATGATAGACATCCATTGATAGACATCCAATGATAGACATCCAATGAAATGATAGACATCCAATGAAATGATAGACATCCAATGATAGACATCCATTGATAGACATCCAATGATAGACATCCAATGAAATGTTAGACATCCAATGAAATGATAGACATCCAATGAAATGACAGACATCCAATGATAGACATCCATTGATAGACATCCATTGATAGACATCCAATGAAATGATAGACATCCAATGAATTGATAGACATCAGATGAATTGATAGACATCCAATGATAGACATCCAATGAAATGTTAGACATCCAATGATAGACATCCAATGAAATGTTAGATATCCAATGAAATGATAGACATCCAATGAATTGCTTGTAAAATTTAAATACATTGAGGAAATCATTACTAAAACTCGTGCTGGGAGTATAAAATACATGTACATATCAGATATAAGTTGTGTTCTTACAACAAGTGAACCATATTCTGATCTACATCATTGTTTGATGATAGAATAGACAGAGTACTATATAAAATACCAGTTAGACATTACCTGCAAGAGATCCAGTCATATAGCTGAAATCATTGGCTGCATGTCATGCCAGCAGGCCAAAATATGAAATGTTTTTAATATGCTTATAATTTATAACAGTAATTCTTGGGACTACTGCTTTTCCTGTGAGACTCGCTCAAAATTTGATTATCCGCCATATTTCTTTGTAACTGGACTCATCAATATTTTAGGAATGGTGCTCTGGGCTCATTATAACAAAAAACAATCCAACAAAAATTACTATTTATAATCTATAGATCAATATTTTATTTTAGGTATTAACAAAAAACAATCCAACAAAAATTACTATTTTTTATAATCTATAGAGTACAAAGTTGTTTATCCCTGCAGCTTGTCTAGCTAATTGTCTCGTAGCACAAGAATTTAATCCTGAATTGATTGTAAGACATCGTCCATCCACATTAGATTTTAGACCCAAGCCATTTCATGTCCTGTTCTGTCTGATGATGGTTTATTGATGTTAATAGGAACTGACAGGTTCCTTTAGGTGATGTCAGGAATCCAGAATATGTTCACTGGTGATGGAGAGATCTGTAGTACCAGGTCGGACAATAGTATTCCCAGAACCATGTCCAGTAATGGTGTGACCATGACAACCATATAATCTTATCTTCTCCAGGGTTGGAATGAGGCTGCCAAGCTTTTCAATCATTTCTGAAAAACGGACCAAAGTCACATCCTTCTCTTGTCAGTTACATACACATGCTGCACAAATTGTTATTGTCTGTACCTGCTAATTATCAACCAATTTAAAGTTTTTATAACACTGACTATTGGTCCTTTTAAAAGTGATGGTATTTACAATCTTATACACTGATTAAAGGCTTTCTTAAAAAAACACTCTCACTTTCTTCTTTCACTTGGCAAAAACAAGTCTTCTAAGATGAATGAGAAACAGACACTCATGTTAATTGACACACAATACAAGTGCCTTGTTCCAGGAAAGTTCTATACAATATAGACAAAACGTTTATTGCTGAACCAAAAAAAAAAATTCAAACATCATTAACACAGTGATTGATAATTGTTTGTGTTTTTGTGTTATCCTCAGGGAGAACATGACAAAATGAGGTACAAGTTATAATCTACTAATCCAAAATTATTTAATATCATGCTGACCTTAGCTTACACATAACCTAGAATCATAAACATGTATATCGATTCTGTGTCACGTTCACAACCTTCAGCTTTATATTATGTCTTTATAATGATCTTGAGTGGCATACACGGTACCTTAACATACAGAAATTGACCTTTAAACACAGTACTGACCTTGAGTTACATAAGTCCTGTACAGCTTTAAATTCTGCAGCTTGGGACAGTACTGAAAGAAGGACATCAATATTAACAACTGATCTAAACACTGTTGTACAATTTCAAGGGCAATAAATATTTATTATTATTTAAAGAGTCATCAACACATGAAATTTGTACCAATTTGGTTGAAAAAATCTTTTGTGACAAGCATATCTGTGACTTGTCTGTAAGACTATTGAGTCGGGTATATCTATTTTTTAAGATTATGTTCTTAACAATATACAACAGTGAAATGAAAATCACCACACATGTGCTTACATATGCTATAACCTTAGCAAGGTAGGTAACGTGTGATGTATGTAGTTCCATGGATCTAAGAGCCAGGAGTGGAGAACTGTGTGTGACTTGAAGCTGGGACAGTCGTTCCAGTTCTATAGTTAGGTGCCAAAGCTTGGGACAACCCTGAAAAGAAATTGTGATTGTTATTCACGATACATATCACAAGTTATTTAGAGTGTACGTTTACAAATAAACACTACATAACAGGAATATTCCGTTGCCACGCTTATATTTGGTGTCTAATTTTATCAAATTTTTTTTCTTTTCTTATTGAAATATCAGATCAGGAATTATATATATATATATAATGCAGCTATCAAATTGTATCAATTAAAAATTGTTAGTTCAATATTCACGGTGCAACCATTTTGGGAAAATTAAACAGGACGAAAATAAAAAAGTTACTCAGTATCTGACAAGAGAATATAAAACTATGAAATTGATTACACTGAAGAAGTATTAAACACAGATCATCATACCTGAATCCTCAAGTAAGCCAACTTTGGACAAAGGATTTCTGAAAATGATCAAAAAGATGTTTTAATAAAAACCATCAAAATGTAATCCATGAAGTAATATTTTAATTCAATAAGAAATGTTGTGGAAATTAAAATTAAGATACATTAAAATTACTCAGATATCTCGGTGACAAATGAAAACTTTAAGTAACAACTGTGACAAGGCTTGTACATGACATACCAAGATGAAGGAGGTAGAGACCCTGGTCCAGTGTTAGAGACTCTAAATTTTTCAGCTGCAGTACCAGATTTGTCTCCCCTGGTATAGCTCGCAGGTCTAACACAGTCAGCATATCCTCGCAGGCTTTCAGAAGTGTCAGACGCTGGTTTGGAACAAACTAAGACAAAAAGAATTACAACTAAATGATGTGGTCAAACAACATGTGCTAACATATTTTCAGTTTTACTGGGGACAAATAACTCGATGTTTACTCCTTTTTAATAATTTTTGTGTGGGACAAATAACTCATTTTAACTGTATATTTCATACCGTTGTTTCAAAGTAGAAAAAACCAAGACCAATTAAAAATATTTTCCCACTTTCAACATTTCAACATTGAAATAATGTTAATTTTCAACATGACACTAACACTGAATAAATGTAAAAATATTTCAATGTGATTGTAACGTTATTTTAACATTAAATGGGTTATCTAACACTAAAATAGAATTATCTTCATGTTATAAAATTAGTAGTGTACAATATTAATCTGTTACAGCCAGTGCTGTTTAAGTCGATGATTCCCTATACATGTGTGTATTCACTGGAACATTACCTTTGGTAGATTGTTGAGTGTGAGGTGGGACAACTGTATGGGATGCTGAACTGAGATTTCCTGGAGTTTTCTATGGCCCATCAGATAGCATGTCTTCACTCCTCCAGGAATCTCCAGAGAACTGAAAGAGCAATCAATATGGGTGTGATAATGTGACCTGTGTTGATCTATAATGTTAATAACCTAATTGATAAACAGGATCAATCTGTAACCCTGAAAAATTCATTTAAAAAGAAAAAAAAAAAAAAAAAAAAATGTTGCAATAAAATTTTTCAAGAATCATTAATTTCATGTCCAACAATGGGAAAGCTAGAAAGTTGCATGAATGAAATTAATAGAATCTTTCACCCTCCTGGAGGTAAAATAGGTGGATCTAGACCTGAGGGGAAAGATGATTAATATGGCAACACAAGACTTGCCAAGTGTTTGCAATTTAATCAATTTTTCCCTAAAGGTTGAGACCCCAAATCTCACTAACAGAAGAATGATTTTTTCTTTTACCCAGCTAGCTTTACAAGGTACTCATACATGCTTTTGTTGTTTCAGTGTTTCACATTGTTGACATGATATCAGCAAATTGTTAATGTGACATCATATTGTCTTCAGAGGGGAATCCCCCATGTCAACCCTAGGGTAAGACAAGGAAATCTCCCATTGATATAAAGCATGAATTTATCTGTCCTGGGTAAGAGAATGTACTATCTGTTACTATCAGATGAGGTCCAGTGTAAGGACATTGTATTCTACAAACAAATCTTTTAAATACCTGATCGATGAGGAGCCCCGGACATCAACAGCACTCAGGGCAGATGTACCTTTCAGTAGGCGACTCAACTGGGCAGTGGTCAGTAGGTCACACTTTTGTAGAGATAGGGATGTCAAAAGAGGACAACTGGAAATAATGAAATATGGTCAACAGCATACAGAAATGAACATATCCTTGTATCAGGAAGGTGTCGGGGATTTTTCCAGGATATGACACAGGAATGACCGCCATGTTTATTTGCTGGGTTTAACACCCTGTGGACAGCCAGGGTCATTTAGAGGCAGGGCCCCTTGAAACAGCCGGTAGTAACCTCACTAAACAACTTAAGGGATGCCCAGCAATTGCCATTCGGTGCAATTAAGGTACAGTGTCTTGTTCTAAGGATACATCAGTACAGACAGGTCTGTCTCTCAGTTTACTGTGAAACATAAACTGTTACAGATTGGGAGTGTGAAACCCAGGCACCTCAGATCTCCAGCTGAGATTATGTAAGGCTTTTACTGAGACTCGGCTACAATGGCCCATTGACAGTAACAAATCCATCAAGAAATGACAGCCACATTGTACATTAATACTGTGACTACTAATGTTTCACAACATAACACAGAGTTCAAACTGATATTTTCGTTGTTGTATTGATGATAAGAATTTTCCTGCTGTCCCTTAAGAATGGAAGTACTTATTTTGTCTGCCTTAAATTACTACAGACTCAGTCCAGACAGTACTATACACATGTACTTACTTGATGGTGAGGGAGTGTCCAGACTGAGTAAGAACACCAGTTAAAGCCAGGAAAGTCAGTGAGCTACTCGTTAAAGAGAAGTGTACAAAGTTTGTGGCAGCTACATCCAGACACTGAAGTTTGTTAGCAACACAAGAGAATTCGTCCACCATACCACACCACTGTAGCAGAAATATTTATCATACTTTGATATTCATTACAATTAGTTTTATGTCCAATCAGTAAGTCAAGTGTCATTTATAAGTAAGATTGCTGTCATAAGTCAGTTTCTCTTAAATCATTAGTCAGCATGTCTTATAGTCAGCATGTCTTACATCATTAGTCAGCATGTCTTACATCATTAGTCAGCATGTCTTACATCATTAGTCAGCATGTCTTAAATCATTAGTCAGCATGTCTTACATCATTAGTCAGCATGTCTTACATCATTAGTCAGTATGTCTTGCATCATTACTCAGTATGTCTTAACTCAGATGGAAACAAGATATGTTTATGAAACACTATAACCCCCTTTTTGTTTTACTCAAGGGTCACATTCACATGGGTAAATACTTTGGTACCAACAGAAAGGTCTTGTCATAAAGAACATGCATGCCAAAAATGAAAGCTCTACCTCTGATGGTGCAATAGTAATGGCCAATGATTTAATTTTTCAAATTTAGGTCAAAGCAATGTGCCCCCGATCTTTTGATCCTGGGACATAAAAAATGGTGAAATTTGCTTTTTGGTTTGACTATTTTTTCTGTTAGAGAATATAAATTATTTAAGACATAATTTCTGTGCTGATATAAATTGACAGCTGCAGTAAAGCATCAAAGTAACACATCAATAATAAAAGTACAATGGTAATACATTGATACTACACTGTTGGTTTTAAAACATCGTAGTTACTAAGTAACTACATTCTGCAGGTCACATCCCTATTTTGATGCCCCACCTTCTGATAATTAACCAATGATGACCTGGATTTTAATTTCTTGGAAGTTAACACATAGATACCTGAGTATTGGTGGCACTGAAGTCAGTTGATATTGTCTTATCAAATTGCACTGAATTTTGTGAGATTTGTTGTTGTTTTCAAATATTTACACTAGTATCTGGCAGTGTTTATCAATTTTCTCCTTACAGCTTACCTTTAGTTCCACGGTTTGTACACAGGGTGCTGACTGTTGAATGGTCACTTTGGTCAGTCTGTTACAACTCCGGACCACCACATGAGTTAGAGTAGGACAGTTATTTATACTCAACCTAGCAACATAATAGTTTGACCAGATACAACCTAGCAACATAATAGTTTGACTGGATACAACCTAGCAACATAATAGTTTGACTGGATACAACCTAGCAACATAATAGTTTGACCGGATACAACCTAGCAACATAATAGTTTGACCAGATACAACCTAGCAACATAATAGTTTGACTGGATACAACCTAGCAACATAATAGTTTGACCAGATACAACCTAGCAACATAATAGTTTGACTGGATACAACCTAGCAACATAATAGTTTGACCGGATACAACCTAGCAACATAATAGTTTGACCAGATACAACATAGTAACATAATAGTTTGACCGGATACAACCTAGCAACATAATAGTTTGACTGGATACAACCTAGCAACATAATAGTTTGACCGGATACAACCTAGCAACATAATAGTTTGACCGGATACAACCTAGCAACATAATAGTTTGACCGGATACAACCTAGCAACATAATAGTTTGACTGGATACAACCTAGCAACATAATGGTTTGACCGGATACAACCTAGCAACATAATAATTTAACCAGATACAACCTAGCAACATAATAGTTTGACTGGATACAACCTAGCAACATAATAGTTTGACCAGATACAACCTAGCAACATAATAGTTTGACCGGATACAACCTAGCAACATAATAATTTAACCAGATACAACCTAGCAACATAATAGTTTGACAGGATACAACCTAGCAACATAATAGTTTGACCGGATGAAACCTAGCAACACAACCGGATACAACCTAGCAACATAATAGTTTGACCGAATACAACCTAGCAACATAATAGTTTGACCGGATACAACCTAGCAACATAATAATTTAACCAGATACAACCTAGCAACATAATAGTTTGACAGGATACAACCTAGCAACAAAACAGTTTGACCGGATGAAACCTAGCAACACAACCGGATACAACCTAGCAACATAACTGGATACAACCTAGCAACATAACCGAATACAACCTAGCAACATAACTGGATACAACCTAGCAACAAAATACAATATAACCTAGCATTATAACAGTATAACACAATATAACCTAGCATTATAACAGTAAAACGGATAAAACATAAGTGAACCAAGGCATGCGTAATCAACTGGTATTCTTTGCTTTTCACATGAGCCAAATACTTAACTAATTCACATTATGGACATTCAAAGTCTTAGCTGAAGGTTTAAACAGTTGACCAATGTGAAAATGAATAAAGTTCATGGCATTTTTTTTGTAAATTTAAGCAGCCATAAGCAGAATACAACTTTCTGTCTTTTTTTATTTGAAAGTATTATAGTAGGAGTTCAAAAATTAAAATTTCACACAAAATTAACAAGAGATCCCAAAGGGATGTTGGGGCACACCATTGTTTGATCTTTATGTGCTCTTTGAAAGCTGAATTTTTCCCTTCCTTTCAATTCTCTTCTGTTTTTGGTCTTAATGATAAGAAATGTAAACATTCCTTTGCAGAAATAGTGATGATAATCTTTACTTGCCAAACCAAAATAATCCCCTGGAAGCCATGTTCTTTCTTCTGATCAATCACAAAATCATACAGGCATAAGAGGAGATGAAAGGGAACATACGTATGAAATTTGAAAGAGATCCATACAGTACTTCTTAAGAAAAAGGGACAACAATCTTTACTAGGAAAAATCCAAGATGGCCACCTGTAGACCATCTTGTTTTTCTGATCAGTACCAAAATCAAACAGGCACAACTAGGGACCAAGAGGAACATATAAATGAAATTTAAGAAAGATCTATCTCTTTCTTATCAAGAAATTGCGATAACAATCTTCAGTGAAAAAATCTAAGATGGGCCAAAGGGGAACCTACATAAGAAATTTGAGGAAGATCCAAACTTCTCAAGATATAACGATAAAAAAATTGGACAGCCACGGACATAGGGCAATTTTGAAAAGCCCATCTGATGATTAGCTAAAAATGTGCCCTTTATTTACAACAATGCATTATGCAAAATTACAAAACAAATCTGACTTACTGGGCAAGACAAGAACAATTGATCAGTTGTAGCTGTGTCAGATCCTGGAAATTTGACATGGCCCCTGACAACATGTTGCCATGGATTCCAACCATTTCTCTCAAAGTAAGCTCCTGTAGGTTTGGTGTCCCTGTGTTTTGAGAGAATGGTTGTAAGGTCACTTGAGTCTTCCCTGTCGGGGTAAGCTTATTGTGATTGTCAAGTGCCTGAAATTCATACAATGGTAATGTATTTATAAAAAGAATTAATACCATGTGCACATGAAAGAAACCAATAAAAAAATCTTCTAGAGTTTGGTTTAAAATCCCACAAAAATTGCTGTCAGCTGCATATTTCCTTCTGAATTCTGCAAGGATTCATCTTTGCTTTCACTACATTATTTTATCCTGCAATAAGCCCAGGGTGCCAGCGTATAAACTCTAAAATAAAAATTAAACAATGGGCTTGTTATTAAACAATAATACAGCATTTTCTGATAGTTTTATTTGATCAAAATATGTATGCACTTACAACCAGTTAAAAAAGGCTTAATTATTGGGATAAAAATGATATTTTTTTATCATGGTAAAAGAATGATATGACATTACCAGGGTAAATCAAATGATGTTTTCTATTTCCATAACTTCTACAATAACATAAGCAGGTAAATAAGACAAACCTGATTCCCAAACAGTAGTCCATTTACTAGTTCACTCTCCGTAATATCACGACAGCGGAACAGGGAGAGTTTCTGTAGGGATGGAATGTTGACAGGAAGTCCAGTCACATTCACGCAGTCCTGTAGTAACAAAATTTAGTACATCATACAACTGCTTGTACTTCCTGTAAACATTCAAGTATCTTTAAAAACTTCCTTAAACACTATGATAAGTATTAATTAACCATTCAGCCTTAGTGTTAAATGTGGTTTCAGTGGTTTTGTTTCAATCAGGAGTTTATGTAACATCTCCAGACATTACAACTTATTCAAAGAGAGAGACAAGTCAAAAAGGAACAGAATAAGTAGGAAAACCTAGAGAAAAGAAGGATGTTACTGTTCATCTGTCTCAGGTTACAATAACATATTATCATGAAAGAATGATCAATTATAATGGCTTCAATAAGGCTTGAGTTAAAATGTTGAATATCTGATGATAGAAAATAGATCTCTAAGAACCTCTTCACTGGACACCTTTGTGGACAATCTCTACAACAACCTTATTACAGCATTTTGTTATATCATAGCTACACAGTGGTTCCCCTTTATGAACATATTAAATATTACACATTATCATCTAGTGATTAGCTCTGTATCAGCTATACATGTACTTACTCCAAACGTTAGAGTATCAATCTGTGAGCTGGTAATGTGTACATCACTCCATGCAGGGCCACTGTATGACAGACTACGCAAATTTGGGAACTGAAAACAAAGTGGCAATAAATCTATATTTCGTGCTTCTACAGAAAAGAATATCATCATGAAAATTGATATTTAAAGCATTCTCAAGTGTGAATTGGTGATTCATCCTTACTTAAATCTGTAAACATAAATTATTAAATCATTCCAGAAGGAAAAATATATTAAGAATGAATTACTGATTTCAGGCGATGAAATGTTAATATAAGAGTCATACATAATATTTCACCATTAAAATATCAAATGTAAGTATAAATGTACACAGCCTTTGACCTTGGCTACTCTTAGATCAAACAATGTTCTAGATACATAGCATTTCATATGGAAGAATAGATGATAATAAAATCTATTATTAGACACCACTTTTGGAAAATGCATCATCCATAAAGTTATAAATAACTGCAATGTGAATATTTCAAAGTTGTAACTTATCACAAGGGATCTCTAGAATAGATTTAACTGTAATAATAACTTATAACCTGCAATGTTGCTAATCCCTGCTCCAGAGAGCAATTAGTCACATGTCTATGCTGTATTATTCCTCAGAGGCAGGTGAAGAATCAAGACACATTATATGTATAATTTTATATCATTATAAACGTCCCTTCAATACTTGTTAATTAACATTTGCTTTTTTTAAGAATTCAAATTTCCACAGTTTTACCAAAACCCTTTGGTTTTATCACTGAAGTGATAAACTAGATTTGGGCTTAATGCTATTATTTCTATATTCAGGTTTCTAGTTTTTGTAATTTCACAATAACAACCTGTTTTACAAAGTGTTTGACACTTACAGCTGGCAGAACAAGGAGGTTGACATCTGCCGGTGGAATGTTTTTACATTTGTTTAGGATCAGCTCAGTGATGAACTGACGCTCTTTCACATGAGATACCAAGGTATCTGTCGATAACCTGTAATAAAAACAAATAAATCATAGAATATACATTGTTTATTAACGATCCAAGGAATATAAATCCTATGCATGATGTATATCACTTTACTGCGAGTAGATGACTACAATTTTTTCCAAACATTTTCCTTTTCATAGGTAGAAACTTTCACTTACTGCGGACAGTTACAAAGACTGACAGACTCAAGGACAGGACTGGTGACCTCTAAATTCTTCAAACTAGCATGATCTTTGACCTCCACTTTGGCCATATTACAAGGTGACAGCAAAAGTTCCTTTAGTTGAGTGACATCATCAAGAAGAACATCTTCAACTGTGAAAACAGACCGAAATGATACCAAACTGACATATTCTTGTAACTTGAAAATTGATTTTAATGTTTCCTAAACAGACAAAAACGTAAACCATCAGACCTGGCTGTTTAAACCTGGTTAGAAATAACCAGTAGTTAGTGAACATTTTTAAACATGAATATTAAAAATGGAAACATTCTTTATCATTTCACAGCTTTTTTTAAACATACCAGATTTGATGTATTTTAAGTGGTTTTTTTTTTGCCATTAACCATTTTTTCTTCAATGGCAACAATGTTGATTTTCACTAACCAATTGTTACCTGTAACTTATTATAGAGCAACAGAGGTCACATGTAAACAGGTAAGCCTGGTCAGAATATTCAAAATGTCGCGCATCGTATCAAAATGTAACACATTATTTAAACATAATACTTATTCTTTTGGTTTTTAATAAGTTTAAGATCCAGTGAAAATTGAAGTCATTTTGTGCTTAGAAGAAACATGTAACATCAAATAACTATTATTTTGTGATGTTAAATTACTTGATACATGGACTTTAGCAGACTTTTCTTCACATAAATATTTGAAGCAGATAACTATATATGCTTTATCTAAACATTTTGCATTAATTCTGGCTCAGTGGAATCATCAGAATATAACATGATGGTACAACACAAACAAATAAGTAAACAGTGTAAAAAAACACAAAGGAATCATTAAAATTCACCCCAATATGATTGTTTGACCCCAAGTATGAATGTAAAGAGGGTTGCTTCCCTTTAAAGTTTGATAAAATTTAACATGTGTTACTTAATCATTAGAAAATGGCAGATTTTGTTCAAGGAAAGACTGTGCAAAATCTACCTTTAGGACAGGAAAGCTTGAGGGAAGTGAGACCCACACATCCACACACATCCACCATTTTCAGTTGTGGGCAGTATCCAATGGTCAAGTCCTGTAATCCTGAAAGACATCAATCAACAGAGAACAATTACACTTCAATGATGTCTTAAGGGTTGTATATGATTTCACACTTAGTTTCTCATAGCCAAGTCTAAGTGACTGCATAGGACTCACTTTGTTATTTTGATATTGAAGTGGTTTCATAATCCGATGAATGATTTGTATAATACTTACATTCGCTGTTCAAAGCTTCAGGATTTGTGTATAAATTAACCTTTGTTGTTTTTTAGCTTCAGGGTTTCTATATGACTAACCTTTGCTATTTTGTAGCCACATGGTTTGTGTATGACTAACCTTTGCTATTTTGTAGCCTCTGGTTTTGTGTATGACTAACCTTTGTTATTTCGTAGCCTCTGGTTTCTGTATGACTAACCTTTGCTATTTTGTAGCCTCTGGTTTTGTGTATGACTAACCTTTGTTAATTCGTAGCCTCTGGTTTCTGTTTGACTAACCTTTGCTATTTTGTAACCTCTGGTTTTGTGTATGACTAACCTTTGCTATTTTGTAGCCTTTGGTTTTGTGTATGACTAACCTTTGCTATTTCGTAGCCTCTGGTTTTGTGTATGACTAACCTTTGCTATTTTGTAGCCTTTGGTTTTGTGTATGACTAACCTTTGCTATTTTGTAGCCTTTGGTTTTGTGTATGACTAACCTTTGCTATTGTAGCCTCAGGCTTTGTGCATGACTACCCTTTGTTATTTCGTAGCCTCCCGGGTTTGTGCATGACTACCCTTTGTTATTTCGTAGCCTCTGGTTTCTGTATGACTAACCTTTGCTATTTCGTAGCCTCTGGTTTCTGTATGACTAACCTTTGCTATTTTGTAGCCTCTGGGTTTATGTATGACTAACCTTTGCTATTTTGTAGCCTCAGGCTTTGTGTATGACTAACCTTTGCTATTTTGTAGCCTCTGGTTTTGTGTATGACTAACCTTTGCTATTTTGTAGCCTTTGGTTTTGTGTATGACTAACCTTTGCTATTTCGTAGCCTCTGGTTTTGTGTATGACTAACCTTTGCCATTTCGTAGCCTCTGGTTTTGTGTATGACTAACCTTTGCTATTTTGTAGCCTTTGGTTTTGTGTATGACTAACCTTTGCTATTTCGTAGCCTCTGGTTCTGTGTATGACTAACCTTTGCTATTTCGTAGCCTCTGGTTTTGTGTATGACTAACCTTTGCTATTTTGTAGCCTCTGGTTTTGTGTATGACTAACCTTTGCTATTTTGTAGCCTCTGGTTTTGTGTATGACTAACCTTTGCTATTTCGTAGCCTCTGGTTTTGTGTATGACTAACCTTTGCTATTTCGTAGCCTCTGGTTCTGTGTATGACTAACCTTTGCTATTTCGTAGCCTCTGGTTTTGTGTATGACTCACCTTTGCTATTTCGTAGCCTCAGGGTTTGTAAGGTGTCTAAGCCACTCCTCTGTGTCTAATCAGGTACAGAAATAAAGTTGTCAGATTAGTTATGATACTTGGTAGATCAAATTCTAACTCTAGAACATGAATTAAATAAAAATTGCAACAAAGAAATAAATATTCCATTTTCTGTGATAAAATCTTTCACAGCCAACACAACAGGACTTGTATATAGAGTTTATTATGTTTTATGTTAATACATTGTTCCTCTTATCTAACTTCTGCTTCATATTCTCCTATATGTCCTTGACAATTTCACTAATATGTTGTATTTGAGGTATAACATATATATCTTTCCTATACTTACAGGTAATATATCACTTGGAAAGCAGGTGAAGTCATAGGTTTCACTAAGGTCAAGGTCACATAACTCTGAACAGTTCTTGAGTAGTGTGCTAACATCTTCAGTAGATATTGCTGTTCCAGTCAAACTAAAACATCAAATAAGATATATTCCTTATACTGAGCAACATGATATTAACCCGATTTTTTAAACACAGATATAATGTATGTCTCTAACAACATGGTATTTTTTTTAACTTACTTGAGAAAGATTTTTTTAAATCTCATTTCGAGAAGAAAATTGATAAACTGGAAAGGATATGTTAAGGGATAAATAATATATTTTGTGAATTTTGCCAAATTACGAAATAAATCCAATTGAGAATGAGGTCGACAGTTGGCTCCACAAAGTCCCCCAAGAAAGCAACGGAGCCCCTCATGTGAGTTTTTTCATACCTACCTTAACTAACTCATTATGTGACTTTACCTTGTACATGTAGCTCATCACTCATCAACACTGAGTGACTTGCTCAGTATCATATGACGTACCCCAAACAATGAGCAAGTCTAAATGTATGAAATAGTAGTGTCACTCACACTCACACACAATGACATGAGATCTATGATGACCAATCACTCACCAATTATGGTTGACTCACATGAGTTCACCCAGACCCTTCTTAAGCAAGCACTGAGTGACTCATTCATAAACCATGACACAAACTAAAATAGGTGACTCGTCTATCTACAGTCTATCACATGAACAACACTTGCAGATACAAGTCAAATCAGATACACTTTTAATAAAAGTTAATGTAACTCAACAAACAGAAACAATGGGGAACTTAGGGGAGTCTTATCAGACACCACAGGTGTTGACTCACCTGAGTGAATTTAACACATGACTCATGCTATGACATCAGAAACAAGGACGAGTATGCAGTGAAACTGATGAATGTTCCCCAAACAGACTTAATTAGACACAAAATTTAATCGAAGGGTAATAATTCTGTAATCAAGAAGTTGTAGGCCTTGATTTGGGTACACTGCACATTCTCATAGTATGACCAATGTATACACCAACTTTCAATAACTCCTAAATCATGCAAAGGAGGGTTACAGTTCTTATACACTGTATTTCTCCCTATCTACCTATCAAGTTTCATTTTGATACATCTTGTAGTTTTTGTGATATGCTCTGGGCAAAATTATGATGGACGGATGGACAGACAGATGAATGGACTGACTAACAAAGCTGTGACTTTATGCTCTCCCTTCAGGAAGCATAAAAAATATCTGAACAACTCACCTGAATCGAGTCAGACTGAGTTTTTGATTTGGATCTTGGTGCCCAATTTCTGGGTACATCACAGACACGCAGCTGAAAGGAAAAATAATCATCATCACACCACTGTGGTAAGCTTTAAATTAACTGAAATGAAATGTCTTCCCAATCACTGAGCTGTTGGCAGATAATGTGTTTTTGTACTGAAAACTGCATTATATATACAACAAATCAATGAATAATTAATTTACAGAAAATGAAAATCAATAGGTGTAACACCATCAGTAGACAAGAGATCCCAGAGGGATCTTGGCGCCCACCATTTGAGGATCTGTTTTCAGTTCTTGAAGATTTGTTGTTTTTTTTTTTTGTTACAGGTTTTTTAAATGTTCATGAACTGGTCTTCATTGAATGTACTCAATGATGGCACAAGATATTTTTATTAAGCACCTATTAGAAAATATCATTTGAAAAAGATCCCAAAGTATTATTAGATAGCAGTCAGTTACAGGTGGATAATGGACATGATCTTGAATCAATATGATAGAATATCGAAGAAAATATGCTTGTGCTGTATTACTGTCGACATCCAAGATGGCTGCCTGTGGGCCAACTTAATTTCAAATCAGTCAAAAAAAAGTACAATGCACAACTAGGGACTAAGGGAAACCAATACCTACGAAATATCAGAAGTATCCATCCAGTACTTCCTCAGAAATAGCAGTAACAAGATTTACTCTCAAAATCCAAGATGGCTTCCTGTCAGCCATCTTGATTTCAGATCAGTCCAAAAAGGTACAATGCACAACTAGGGACCAAGGGGACACTGCATATGAAATTTGAGAAAGATCCATCTGGTACTTTCCCAGAAATAGCGGTAACAAGAATTGTTTACGGAGGGACGGACGGAGTACCACGGACGCAGGGCGATTTGAATACCCCACCATCTGATGATGGTGGGCTAATAAACACAATGAAGTCAAAGGTTATTTTTCTGAGAGAAATCAGTGGTTGCTTACTTGAGGATATGGGTCTTTAGAAAGGTCAGAGGTAACTCAGTTAAGGAGATATGTTCTTAGCAAGGTAAGAAAATACCATGTAATTACTGGAGGATACATGTCTTGAGAAAGGTTAAAGGATATCCTGAGAGAGGTCAAAGGTTACTTACTTCAGGACATGAAGCTCCTGGAGGCCTGGGATAGTGCTGACAAGGTCAGAGAGAGCATCTCTATTCATGTGTTCACTGTCCTCTATCACAATGTGTTGTAGCTCTGAACACTTAGCACAGATAGCCTCCACTACACAAACAACAATGGTTGATAAATGTCATGTGACACATTTGACATACAATATATATATGTATTAAAGAATATTATCTTTCTGAAATTGCCTTAAAAAAATTTATAAACTTTTTTTCTTTTCACAAACATTATGAAACAACATGTGTGCAGGAGATCTCACTATGACAGGAAACCAAAGTATCTGGAGGACACTGATATTTCCTTAAGAAAGAAACACAGTCATATCCATCAGATTTTGTAGAAACCGAATTAGTTCAACTTACAGCAAATCTGACCTTAATCTTTGGGTCAGAATTTTGTGACATGAACTCATTAAAGATACTTTAGATTTTTACATATACACAAGTTCAATCAAAGTGCCCCTGAAGATGAGCTCACACTACACATTAACATATAATTTGTAACAGACAGATTAACAGACAATTTCATTCTATGATTTGACCCATTAAAGATAAGTGAGCAAATACCCACCAGAGCGGTTGGTGATGCCATGCATGGAGAGATAAAGTTGTTTCAGATGAACGTTCTGTTTGAGAACAGTAAGGAAGAATTTATCAATGCCAACAAGATTTGTGTCTGACATATCCATGTCCTCCTCGGGTTCCTCCAGTAGTACATCCCCAAGGTACAGCACCTCTGTGGGTACAATCATGATAACAAAATAACACAATGTATGGATTTTCCGTTACTCAAATGATTCATTCAAGAAATATCCATACTGCCAGTTAAGGTAAGATATTTCTATTTTACCTGGGAACAAAAACTAGCATGAACATAACATATACACATGAACCAGAAGTCACAAACCTGCGTGATATAAATAAACACTGAACATATACACATGAACAAGAAGTCACAAACCTGCGTGATATAAATAAACACTGAACATATACACATGAACAAGAAGTCACAAACCTGCATGATATAAATAAACACTAAACATATACACATGAACAAGAAGTCACAAACCTGCGTGATATAAATAAACACTGAACATATACACATGAACAAGAAGTCACAAACCTGCGTGATATAAATAAACACTGAACATATACACATGAACAAGAAGTCACAAACCTGCGTGATATAAATAAACACTGAACATATACACATGAACAAGAAGTCACAAACCTGCGTGATATAAATAAACACTGAACATATACACATGAACAAGAAGTCACAAACCTGCGTGATATAAATAAACACTGAACATATACACATGAACCAGAAGTCACAAACCTGCGTGATATAAATAAACACTGAACATATACACATGAACCAGAAGTCACAAACCTGCGTGATATAAATAAACACTGAACATATACACATGAACAAGAAGTCACAAACCTGCGTGATATAAATAAACACTGAACATATACACATGAACAAGAAGTCACAAACCTGCGTGATATAAATAAACACTGAACATATACACATGAACCAGAAGTCACAAACCTGCGTGATATAAATAAACACTGAACATATACACATGAACAAGAAGTCACAAACCTGCGTGATATAAATAAACACTGAACATATACACATGAACAAGAAGTCACAAACCTGCGTGATATAAATAAACACTGAACATATACACATGAACAAGAAGTCACAAACCTGCGTGATATAAATAAACACTGAACATATACACATGAACCAGAAGTCACAAACCTGCGTGATATAAATAAACACTGAACATATACACATGAACCAGAAGTCACAAACCTGCGTGATATAAATAAACACTGAACATATACACATGAACAAGAAGTCACAAACCTGCGTGATATAAATAAACACTGAACATATACACATGAACAAGAAGTCACAAACCTGCGTGATATAAATAAACACTGAACATATACACATGAACCAGAAGTCACAAACCTGCGTGATATAAATAAACACTGAACATATACACATGAACAAGAAGTCACAAACCTGCGTGATATAAATAAACACTGAACATATACACATGAACCAGAAGTCACAAACCTGCGTGATATAAATAAACACTGAACATAAACACATGAACCAGAAGTCACAAACCTGCGTGATATAAATAAACACTGAACATATACACATGAACAAGAAGTCACAAACCTGCGTGATATAAATAAACACTGAACATATACACATGAACCAGAAGTCACAAACCTGCGTGATTATAAACACATGAACACATGTGACACTCATACCACCATAGTGACACTTGTACCACAATAGTGACATTCATACCACAACAATCACACTCATACCACAACAATCACACTCATACCACAACAGTGACACTCAAACCACAATAGTGACACTCGTACAACAACAGTGACACTCATACCACAATTGTGATACTCGTACCACAATAGTGACGCTCAAACCACAAGTGACACTCATACCATAATAGTGATACTCATACCACAACAGTGACACTCATACCACAACAGTGACACTCATACCACACCAGTATAAAAGGAATTGCTTGCTTTTTATTTGAATATTATCCTTAAACTGTGGTGACATATTCCTATCAAAAGCAACAGTTATAGTGGCAATATTGTTGTCCATGAACAGTTGTATACATACCAAACTACATCTTATAATGGACAATGAAAGTTTTCACTATTGACTCATTTGGGAGTATCTATGATTAAACACTGTGAAAGATTGAATTACTTATTCTTCTCCTCCCAGCAATCTTTGTCCAGATCAACTGATTGATATAAGTTAGCTTGATGTTTCATAGTTGTTGTCAAATAACTAAAATTTATATCATTATTCAATTAGTTGTCAATGAAAGTTTTCTCCCTTGCGTGGTCATGTACCACAGTAACATACAACACCAGCTAGACAATGAGGGGATCATTAAGGTGTTGACGAGGCAGTTGGGTTGAAAACAGACTTACAAAATGTATCACATAATTTGTTTATCACTACAAACTTACCTGTGTTTGGACACTTGGACATAATCTGTAAAACATTTCTGTCATAAGGTATGGCACAATGTCTGAAATCTAACTGTTTCATATGTAACCTGAAAAAGAAGTATAACACTAATGCTTAAAACATCAATGTTTAAACATCCAAACTTGACAAGTGCCATAATCATGGCCAAGGCCTACTTAAATGTACCTACAGTCATTTAATCAATAAAAAGTTACAGATTGTTGTAATCATAGCATCCTCAATACTCCAGGGGTTACGATCCCCACATTCTCAATACTCCAGGGGTTACGATCCCCACATCCTCAATACTCCAGGGGTTACGATCCCCACATTCTCAATACTCCAGGGGTTACGATCCCCACATTCTCAATACTCCAGGGGTTACGATCCCCACATTCTCAATACTCCATGGGTTACAATCCCCACATCCTCAATACTCCAGGGGTTATGATCCCCACATCTTCAATACTCCAGGGGTTATGATCCCCACATCCTCAATACTCCAGGGTTTCTGATCCCCACATTCTTGACACCCCAAGGGGTTACGATCACTTTCATTCTCTTCTCCCCTGGAATATGTCATGGCAAAATTTATGGCACAGGTAAAGTAATTTGATTGGTTCCAGGAGGAAAAAACTGACCAATCCCAGGCCGATACAGTCCTTTCGAAGATTACAAAGGAGTGACACCAACTTCAAAGCCATTTCAACAAATTATGTAACTTCTAGATTCGTTTGATGCACATCAAAGGATCAAATTAGTCTTTTTGTCTTGTCCACAAAATGTCGCACATGGACCCTTCAATTTTGCCATGCCATGTCCAAGGCGTGCAGTGAGCATAAGTGATGGTAACCCCAGGAGTATCAAGGATCTATTTACAGACATCTTAAAAAGACACACATACATTTTGTAAAATCATTGTCACACATGACGAATTCTTTAATCTATCACCAAGGAAATCATCATTCAGGTGTCAGTCTCTAGTTACTTTAGTGTCACCTTTCAACAAGTCAATATCTAATTACAAAAGGATCATCCTTACATGGCATTCAATAAATAGTTATACTAGGATCACCTTCCTACAGAAGCCAATTATTAGTTACCATAGGGTCAAGTTCCCATAACAGGCAATTACTGGACACTACAGTATCACATCGACAAAGTCAGGCAATTACTGTATACAATAGTTTCACATCATTAAAGTCAGTTACTAGTTACCATAGGGTCAAGTTCCCATAACAGGCAATTATTGGACACTATAGTATCACATCAACAAAGTCAGTTATCAGTTACCATAGGGTAATGTTCCAGCAGAAGTCAATTACTAGTTACCGAAGGATCACCTTCCAAAAAACAGGCAATAACTGGATACTATAGGGTCACCTTCCCATAACACCAAAATTCTAGTTACCATTGGGTCACCTTCACACAAGTCTAGTGCAAGCTATCAATGATAGACATTTCAACTTTGTTACATTTGCTTTTACCAGTATCCAAGTTGTCAACAGGCTTATGAAAAAAAAACTTTTTACCATAGTGTTGACTTTAGACATAGGTCTCTGAAGCGTGAACAAGTCTGGGACACATTGATGAGATTATGCCAGTCCAAATGCTGAAATATCTCCAATAAGGCTTCTGTGGGCAGGTCCTCCAGCAGATAGGGGGGCCTGCAGAAAAGCAAAATGGCAGATATTTTCCATATATATTGGGCATTGGTTTAAAACAGGAAGGAAACATGAAAAACTCCCTTATCCTGCTGGGACTCATAAGATACTGATCCTCTTTGTCTCTAGCTGGACATTCTATATATGTGCATTGGTTTAAAACAATTCAACTAAATGGAATTTCTCATAACCAGAGTTAGTAAGGTTACCTTTACTTTACTTTTCTACATGACTTCTTCCCCCCCCTCCCCCAAAGACAACATTGTTCTTTCACTCCATTTTCCAATAGATTCTACTCTTGGGGTGGTCACTGTGTGGAAGGAGTAATAAAAAATGTCCTGTACCCACTGGGACTAGTGAACAGGTGCTCTCTTGGTCTTAAGCTAGAGACTCACTCTTTCAGCTTAGATGATATTTCCACCAACTGGGGTTATTAGGTGACTTCTATTTTCAATTTCTACAAATGTTATCTTTAATAGGAAATCCTTCTGTACCCAATACATGTACAATGTTCATACCATTCATCTGTGTCGCCTTCTTCCTGTTCTACCTCCATTCCTCCTCATCAGTATACCAAATTATTTACAGACATCATTGATTCAGAATCTAAAATTCCAACAAAAAACATCTACATAAAAGAAAACAAAGCAGCATTTTAGTAATTTCATTCCACTTAAATTTCAATGTATCTTTATGTGAATTTGTGTATTCTGCATAAAATACAACTCCCAATTCCCTCCCATCACCACCCAAGGAAAACAGCAACCCATGTTCTTAAACATACTCCATTTTCCTATAATTACGACATACGTGACGCCGTTTATAATTAATTACCTTTCTGGATAATAGGATATAATAAAGAAGAACGGTATGTATGACGAAGCATGTTTAAAGATGTCTTAAATTAGACCAAGTACAAATGTATGGGAAACTGAAAGTAGAATCTGGATCCACATACGTCTTCATTTATATATCATTATAAGCTATCGATGCAAGCACTTCTTTTACATTGATATTTACACTACTAAGACGGTTTCGTAAAAAGACATATTTTTATAATAATAATAAACTTAACGTGACAATATGATTCATTAACTTGTTTACGAACGTCATGTCACAACATATCCTTTAAACGTCATCCAAAATACGAAACCAAATACGATATTTGGTTTGTTTTGATAGACAAAATATTTCTACGCAAAAATGTAATCCTACAATTATGATATTTTAATTATAACTAAGGACAATTCTTGTCACCATGAAATGAAGATTTTATTTAAGATATTAATATTCTATGTCAATTATGCATTTGCTTAAGATTACAATATCGGCAAACAATCCCGACATTTACGTCACTCGCGGAAGGATGTGCGTGATTAGGCGAATGTTTTCACTTGTCACCTGTTCCAGGAACAATGAAACCATGCTTTGAATATATCTTTATTTAACCGTTAGCACGTTTGCCATCACCAGTCAGCATGGGGAACTGTTTTAAAACACCAAGTACCGACGACATATCGCTGTTACGTGGCCATGATAGTCAAGATGGAGCAGAGCAAGCACTCGGCCCTCCTCCGCCGTATCAGGTTTGTCACGATCACAATGTCAGACAGTGTTTACAAACAAGGCCATATCGGAGACAATCCTTTGTTGTTTAGAAGTCTGTTTGGTTGTCAGTAACTGTGGGTACATTGGGTATTTTAACTGATGTTGGGATAGTGAACATTTTCATGCTATAATAATCTGTTTAAACCAGCTATATATGACATGCAAGAGATTATCGATTTAGTATAACACAAACGCCACGATATCTAGGTAAAGCTATTTTTAGTAACAAAGCCTTTTCGTCAAAAGAAATTTACATAATGTGACTAACGAAAGCATGGCATATGGAGATTTCTTAAGATCATAAATTGATACAAAGGAAATATTTTTTGAAAGAAAAAATACGTAGTTTGAAAAGTATGGACTAATTAAATGTAACTTGTACCGACATTATAAATGTACCATGTATGTAGAAAACATATACAAATATCAAACTTGGAACTTAATGTTGCCCTGATAGATGTTCATTAATTAAGACCTTTTGCCTTGGTGTTTTGTCTGTTGTTTTCTCGTTATTTTTTCCTCAACTTCTCCATTTAAAGGATTCCTTGTTACTAATCAAAGGGTCCAGTCATGATACAACATGCTGGGATAAAGTGTTACAAAGTCCCTTTTTTTCAAATGAATAACCCTGACTTACTTTGACGTTTACATGGACCTAATGTATCAACATCTCTACAATATTAAAGAGGTCCGAAGTCTGGTTTTAGGCCAGCATTATATAGTAATATATACAAGAATGAAATGCTTCCAAGTTAGTTTAACAAATGCCCTTGACCAAATTTTAAGGCCACAGGGTCAAATGTGTCAACAGCATGTTGAAGGTTGTCCACTATCCTAATGTAAGTACAGTACCACTTTAAAACCAATAATTTAGTGCACAAGGGACGAGATTTGTCATAATGTACCACTGTGTCAAGAATTCATTCATGACATAGAAAACATTGTCAATGCCATGGATTTATCTAGAAATTGGGGAATGCAACCAATTGTGGAAGAAAAAGAATTTCGGTGTTTTTTTTTTTTTTGAGAAATGGAAGAATTTCGGACAGCCCTTTTGGTCACCATTCAAAAGAGGGATTTTGTAAACTATATGACATAAATGAAAATTATATATATAAAATATGACAATAAAGATATCAGATTAATATTTCTGTTTTTTTTTATAGCATGATTTGAAAACATGTTTAGGAATTAAGGAAAAATATACTAACTAGCTCTGTTTAGGGGAAGTTTTCTCTATTGTAGGGAATTAGTCATATGCTTTCAGTATATTTTCTTATGGACAATTTCTTTATATTGCAAGTAACAGTAAATAAGAATGAAAATTAAGTGAAATTCAGTCCATTGCACTACTTTTCAACAATTCATGCAATTCAGTACTTCATTATATGTGCATGCATGCATATGTATATATATATCTGTTTTTATTTTGCAATTGACCACATTTTGTGACACCCTGTGATACCCTTATGTATACATACTCTAAGGCCGATTCACTCAGATGCTTGACAAATATTTAAACAGACTAATGTCAAGCATGATCTCCTCACATATAGCTACATTGTAGTCAATAATGATCATACCATTTAGTATACACATCCCATGATGGCGGCAGACTTACAATGTGAACATTTCAGATGTTTACACCTTTAGCTTTGCATCAAATCACCATTATGATCTCTTGTATGGCATTGTCTAGGGAATGATTGTTATATAATTTACTCTGAAATGTATAACAATGATATCATACATTTTTACTGCATTCCAATCAGAATGCAAATGCCACAAGTGTTCATATCAGGCTTTCAGATGTTAGTATCAGAATTAAAAATTTCAAATGAAATGTTCATACCATAAACATGATGTACATATGAATACCATGCAAGTCATCTGTAATCCTAGTTTTCCAATGCACAATATTAATTATCAGCAGTGGAATATAAAGCAGAGAGTACAGTGATATTTGTAATACATATATTTCTAGTCTTTCAATGTAAATATAGCCTGGAGAAAAAATATCCTTACCAAACAACAGTAACCGGAAACAGGCTTTGTTCATTGTGAGAAAGAATCTTGAAAAGAACAAAGTCAAAGCATTTCAGTATATTTTATTTTCCACATTTAATTTTTAGCCTGATTTGATATTTTTGACAGTCAATATGTTGAACCACCAAAAATCAAAGCAAATCTCGACCTCACTATTAATAATCACCTGATACTTATAAATGTACAACAAATTTATGTAGCCAATTTCAAGTAATCTGATATTGCACCTGTAGCATGATGGCTAGCGGTACAACAATGAATGTTAAGATGACAGGTTTTGAGGTCAAGTGTCAAAAGGTCAAATGGTCAAAATCTTCAAACAGCTTCCTTTTAATAATCAGATGACCTGGAATGACATTATTATATATATATATATTTATTTAAATGTATGCCTGTACAACTCCATTTTTTTTTCTTTTTTGCTGCCCATAATTTTGTGGGGGAGCATATAAGTGCCGCTTTGTCCATCTGTCTCTTCATGTCTGGAGCATAACTTTGTCCAATGTTAAGCAGGGATCATGGAACTTGGTGTATACATTGGTCATACTTAGGGGATGTACAGTGTACCAAATTCAGGCCCCTTGACCCTTCAATTACAGAGTTGCTGCCATTTGTTAAGATTTTGTGTCTGGCACATACGTTTGCTTGCCTATACACTAAGATAATGAAACTTGGTGTAGACATTGATCAGATAAAGATGATACACAGTGTACCAAATTCAGGGCCTGCTACCCTGTAAGTACAGAGTTATTGCTTTTGTTAAAAATATTTTGTCTAGAGCATAACTTTGCTTGCATTGAAACTTGGTGGGACATAGATCATACTCAAAACAGTGTGCAATGTACTAAATTTAGGGCCGTTGACCCCTCATTAAAAGAGTTATTGCTCTTTGTTAAAATGTCTTGTCCGATGTATAACTGAAACTCATATAAAGACAATGTGCAGTGTACCAATGTTAGGCTTGCAGCCCCTTAATTACAGAGTTATTGTCCTTTGTTAAAATTTTGTGTCTGGAGCATTATTTTACCTGCATTTATACTAGGATATTGAAAAGTGATGAATACATCAGTCGTACAAAAGCAAGGTGCAGTGTAGCAAAGTCCAAGTTATTGTCCTTTATCAAAATTTTGTGTCATGAGCATAGCTTTGCTTGCTTTAAAACTAGGATCATGAAACTTTGTATATACATTGATCATACTAAGAGAATGTGCTGTATAGGTAGTAAAGTCAGGGCCTATAACCCCTTAATTACAGAATTATTGCCCTTTGGTAATTTTTTTTGTCCAAGAAATTTGTTTTCAGGAAGCACTGATACTCTTGTTTTTTCAATTTTATGACCCTATAAACAGGCCTTCATGACACCTTGTGATACATAATTGTGTTGTAGAATTCTGGAATCTGGCACTGTTCCAGATAATGAAAGCGTTTCAAAGTCAGTTGTTGTCTCAAGGGAGGGAGGGGGAATTTGGGCTAACAAATTCAAAATACATTTTATACAGTTTAACATGTATGTAGTATACTATCTAAATATATATTATAGCAAGGGACACTGGTGATTATACAAAATTTATTCTATCAGAACATTAATAATTTATAGGTACATATAAACTTAATTGGTAATGGTTTTCTGGTCCATCAATACATTAATACATGTACATTAGTCATTTTGGGTCATCATGTGCAAAACTGTTAACATGTCTACTTATGTAATCATGATAAAAGGTCAAGAAGGATAAGTACAAAGGGCTAGGTAATCCCACAATGGCTTTATATACATACATATTATTATCAAGGGGAAATGCATGTAATGGTAATATATGTCATAAACATGTACAGATAGGTATATAATGAACTCATAACACAGGTGAGTCTACAAGGGGATGTACGGAATGACTGCATATACTGTACACACACATGATATCATGATGATTCATAAATATATGTGTATGTACAAAGAATCAAGTTACACAACAATGTTGACTACATTTATTTTCACATTTGTCAAGTTCACATGACATTCCTTAATTATAAGCTTATGTCTAGTCTGTTGCTTTGAAAAAAAAACTTAACCAAAACCAGTGATGTTTGTTCTCACTGTTATACAAAGGGTGCTTACTTTCTGCCTTTGGAGTATGAACTATGTGTAGCTCATCTGCAGAAAAACTGTAATAGTGGATGTTAAAGCTAGTGAATAGATAAATGAAAATATGTCATGGAAAAAATGTAATAAAGTTTCTTATTGGACAGTAGCTGTGCCATGATTATATAATTATAGCATATACAGATACAGAATTCATTTCATAGATCTAGATTTATGTCAAATTATTATCTTCAGAAAGCCAAAGATTTATCTATAGAAATATATCTGATTTTGCAGGAGCGTGTACCAGTTTATCACCCAGCTCCTAATGTAAGCCGCCTGGCCAGCCAACTGTCTGAGGAGGAGCAAATTAAGATTGCCAAGCGTCTTGGACTGATCAGTCACCTGCCCACTGGAGTGTATGATGGCACTAACAAGAAGGGAAGAGAGTAAGTACCATATCTAAAATGGAAACTTGAAAGTACTATAACACAATTAAATTACTAGTCATACTGTAAAAACTGTCCTTTTTGTGTGGGATCTATTTTTGTTGATTCATCGGTACTGTTAATCAATTAATTCACATGCCCTCAAACTGTTAGAATTAGTTGATTTATTGAGCTATATTCATCCACAAAATCAAGTGTCCTTGAAATAATATTTTTGAAAATCACGAAATTACTGTATTCTGATTGATAAATTATAGCAAAGGTACACATTAATAGCAAAATAATTGGAATTTGAAGATGGCTATAAATTGATATTCCAACATAAGCAAATAACAAAGAAAACTTTTAAGGCAAGATTGTCATTAAATCAGTATATTCGATTCTTTGCTGGTAAGTTGATAAACTGATATAGAAATGGCAGCTTTGACCATTTTCTTTTTGAACATTTTTCTTTGAGATTTATGGCTACTTTTCCAGATGTGTTATATGTATGAACGACTTTATACTGGGAGAGAGCCTGAGATTTTTGCCATGTATGCACACCTATCACAGAGACTGTATAGATGACTGGTTGATGAGATCATTCACTTGTCCTTCGTGTATGGAACCTGTGGATGCAGCTTTACTCACAACATATGAAACCAATTGACATCAGAGTCATATGGAGGACAAAGGGACTCGGCTGTCATTGAGACTTGTTTTTACAGGAACTTCATTTTGATTTTGTCCTGTGTTTTGGTGCTGGAGATGTGATATAGACAATGTAATGACAGAATTTCATTCCTCAAGTTTTCAACAGACTATTTGGTAAAATTGTGGATCTGAAAATGTAGCTACGTGCAAAACAGACAGTGAAACAGCTACTAAGTTCTCAACAGATCTGCAGATTGTGACAGTACTAGTGACTACAAGACTAGCATGCTACTGTAAATACAAGCTCTATAGTAACTAGCTCCTCATTAACACACACTTGATAATCCTGCACACTCAGGCATATTGTTTAGCAGTAGTTGTAGTACCAGGTAGTACCTAAACTTGTTCACCGTTACAAAAGCAGGTTGATCACTTGGTCCTGAAACACAACAGTCTAATCAAAACGAACAACAGCTAGATATTGTCAAACAGGTCTGGTATTGTATAGCAATTACAGTGTATAGTATGAGACACCAGTTGATCAACACATACTGGTTGGTTTGTGGAATGAGAAAACACTTCAGCTATGACATGGTAATCTACCTGGGCTACACATCTGATCTTCTTGATCTTTTTATGCATATTTTGTAAAATATATTATAATGACCATTACCGATATCAACACAACATTATTTATCAAAGCTGATCCACAAGTGAAAGTCCTTCAGGTAACTCATTCTCTTGATCAGACAGCCGCAGTGAAAATATTTCCCATTTGTTGATATAAAGATTTTGAAATATACATATTTAAATGAGCATACATTATAGAACTGTGTTGTAAGCGATATTAATCTAAGGTAAACTCAATGCATCTTTATCAAGACATTAAGGAAACCAGTCTGTTTTTATTCAGTGTTATAAATATATTGATAATTGGATTTCATTGTTTGTGAGGACCTGCACTGTTTTGTATTATATATTTAGTAATTACTATACCAGAATGTCTTTCTAGAAATCCTTGATCATTTATGAAATGATGTGATATCTCTCTGTATTATAACTAATGTGCTGGTACATTGTTATTGAGTCATCAGTACACTTGAGTGTTGTGCTTTACTTTTTCTTGTTGCTTTTCTCTTGTTTTATTTTCTGCATTATACAGCAATATTTATTTTTGGTTTAATTTGCTTTAGCTTTACACAGACTGAAGTTCTTTAAAACATCTTACACTTATGATGGTAAAGTAACTTGACTGGACTGGCATATTTCATTACCACATCTATAAAATGTACCACTAGAATTAGATTACATCTGATTCCTGAGAATGTACAGCATGTCGTTCTCGGAGTTCTTCACTGTTTCATTACTCACTTTAAGAGCCTTTTCTCATTTGAAGTGCCCACCACTCAAAATTTTCCTTTAATTTAAAGTCTATATCATCTCATTTTTGGAATTAATTTCTGCAATTTTTCATTGTTGACAAGACACAATCTTTTTGATAATTTCTGTTTCTGCATATGATATGCTACACTGTACAGATTTATCTATCTTATAGACCTACAATTTCAGCTTTAAGATCCTCATAAACAATATCCATTTTTAGAAGAATTCAATATTTCTGTTTTTAAAACCTGAAGCATCATAAAAAAAACTTGCATTTTTAGAGCCCCATTAAAAATTTCCTTTTCAAGGGGCCCATATATTTTCTGTTTTAAGAGCCAAAGGTGCTTACTACAACAAAAATAATGTTTTAAGGGACAGAAAATAGTGCTTTAACCTTAAAATTTCAACAAATTTTATTGAAGGGGTATTTTTTTTATCTGACAAGAATGTGCTTGCATTGAAAAAGATGGGTAAATATTTCTTGAATTACGTTAAATATTATATGGTAATTCACGACACCATAGAGGGAACATTTTAACAAGAGAGGCTAATTTATTGTGTTTTGTAGTAGATGCATTTAAACTGTGTTATTTATTATTTTATTTTTGTTGTTATTATAATTGGCAATGTGCTGTTATTCATTGAGTAAGAGAACGCAAAATGTTGAATGCTAGTAATCTTCTGTTTCTAGTATTTCATTCAAGTAGAATCTCTTCAAATTTTGGACTAGAGGATAAAAAAGTCCACATACATAATATTAACTTTATTCATTTTACAACACTATTGCAAAAAATGCTAACAACTGATATTGATCACTCTTGTTTGTCTTGTCAGAAGAGCATAAGATGTTTATTGTGAGAAAACCCTTGTGGTCAGAAAGGTGACCACATACCTTTTTTCACCAGCTGATATAGGAATTCAACCTATCATTTGTGTGAAAGGCAAATGTGTTACCAGTGCCCCACACAACCATACATTTGTAATATTTCATCACAAGTTACCTTGTATATAATTTATCATTTTATCCAGTTTTTCTTAAAATCATCTTATCTTTATGAAAGGTTCATCAAATAGTGTGGGTCTCAGTAACCTAATGTAAGAAAAGGTGAGAAAAAATCTAATTGGTTCAAGGAGGAAATATTTAGATAAACATATTTCTTATTTAAGAATTCATGAAAAATTAATTTTCTAGATGATGATTCCTGTTTATTTTATCAAATTTACTAGAAATATTCAGTTCTAAGTAATAATTCATATTAAATGCTTTTAATTGAACATAAAGCAAGTAAATTGAAAGGTGTTCACAACAAAAAATATTGTAATGTGTTGATAAAATTCCAAACTGATGAACTGACCTTCCTAGAGAAAAGGTTGAAAGTGCTTCTGATGCAAAATAAATCTGTGAACATTTAACAGGAAAGATGGACATGGTTGTCGTTAACTCAATCTTGACACCTATTGAATTTCATATAAATATAAACATCCACATTAGTGCTTATCTTTGTAGTTGAAAGACCATCTAAATTAGACAGATTCTATTACCAGAAAATTGTGTTCCTTTCATGTAGATATTGTTTACTAGATATTTTAAGTTTTATAATTGATGTATGATCCACTTGCCTTGTTAGTGTGCTGTTTTTTTATCTGTGTGAGTGAAATTTTATGTAGTATGTTGTTTCTGATTGAGTGGAATATTATACTTATAGCAAGTTTCTCACACTGATTGAGTGGGTGTAATACTTTATAACAAGGTCAGCATACTGTTTGAGTATAATGTTATATAGTAAATTTCTCACACTGATTGAGTGGGTGTAATACTTTATAACAAGGTCAGCGTACTGTTTGAGTATAATGTTATATAGTAAATTTCTCACACTGATTGAGTGGGTGTAATACTTTATAACAAGGTCAGCATGCTGTTTGAGTATAATGTTATATAGTAAATTTCTCACACTGATTGAGTGGGTGTAATACTTTATAACAAGGTCAGCATACTGTTTGAGTATAATGTTATATAGTAAATTTCTCACACTGATTGAGTGGGTGTAATACGTTATAACAAGGTCAGCATACTGTTTGAGTATAATGTTATATAGTAAGTTTCTCACACTGATTGAGTGGGTGTAATACTTTATAACAAGGTCAGCATACTGTTTGAGTATAATGTTATATAGTAAATTTCTCACACTGATTGAGTGGGTGTAATACTTTATAACAAGGTCAGCATACTGTTTGAGTATAATGTTATATAGTAAATTTCTCACACTGATTGAGTGGGTGTAATACTTTATAACAAGGTCAGCATACTGTTTGAGTATAATGTTATATAGTAAGTTTCTCACACTGATTGAGTGGGTGTAATACTTTATAACAAGGTCAGCATACTGTTTGAGTATAATGTTATATAGTAAGTTTCACATATTGATTGAGTGTAATATTCTTAGACAAATTATTTAACACTTCTATTGAGAGTAATATTCTGTGAGGAGTTTCACATTTGAATGTAATATTCTATAGTAAGATCAACACACTATTTGAGTGTGATATGATAGAATAAGTTTCACACATTGATTGAGCGTAATATTCTATAACAAATTATTTCACACTTCCATTAAGTGTAATATTTCAAAAACAAGTTCGACACAATTTGAGCTAACATTCTGAACTAGCAAGTTTTTCTCAGTGAGTGTTATATTCTTAAACAGTTTCAGCAGAGTGTTTGAATGTAATATGAAACTAAACAATTTAAGATATTACAGAATCAAAGGCTGGAAGATGTTTGAAGATATCTCATACCAGATGAGAGTTGAAAATTGAGATCTGGAACTTCACATTATGCATATGATGTTGAATATCTTCAGCATGATCTAAGATTATTTCACAATGGTTACATTGTCCTAAATTTTCAGTGCAATACTTCCCCAGTCAAGTCTCACTTTTGTCCAGTTTCAGGTGTGTCTGTTATAGCTAAGGCCCTGTATTACATGCAGGTCACACCTGGTTGTACATGTCCTTTTTAAGGTCTGGTTCATGATCATCTCTTATCCCTGTATTATATACAGGTTAGACCTAACTGTGTTTCTTTTTTAGGTCTCTCTTGTCATTGCTCCTATGATCTGTAATTCGTGTAGGTGGGGTCCAAACCATGTGAAGGTGAACTTGTCATGAGAATGACAAATTCCAAGAAATGAAAAAGCAATATTTGTAGAAAAAATTATCTGTCATAGCCATTATAATTATTGATCATATTAATTCCTGTTCCTGTTGAACCTTGTGTGAACAAAATTTGGTGAATTACCTCCCCTTAAGCACTGAGTGCTCCACTTGGGCTTGTGACTTTCCCTAAGTTAATTGATCAAGTCACTGTTTCAGTGTTGTACAGAAATGGATCAGATAGGATAATCAGCCTAGTTACTAACAGACCTCTGAGAAAATTAGCAAATGAAAACTGCATCTGGAATATTTCTCTTGTATTTAAATGTAAAAAAAATTGAAGTTGAGGATGCAAGTAAACCCTACATTCATGGGAAACAAAAACACCAGTCATGGATTTTGGGAGGCAATATCATTACACTTACAAAGACAGCACAGATCTGTACACGGACAGTTTAAACAGTCTAACCTTGTTCGCTGTAAAATGTCCTTATCCACGGAAAAACTTTATATGTATATATGTGTGTGTCATGTGATGATTTCTCCTTTGTACTGTATCACCATTCTATCCTATGCAAACAGATCATTTTATAATATTTCCATGTTATTTCAGTTGCTTACATTATTTTGATGGGTCAAACTTAATATTTGTGACCTAATGGTAGGTACCTGGGCAAAAATAAATACTAAAATATCATAAACTTTGACATTCATTCAAATGACATCAGAATATACTTCTGAAATTTTGCATCAGTGTTTGTGTGTTGGGTTTTACGCCCGTCATTTTGAGGCAGAGTTTTCGTGCAGTGGTTGTTGGTTACCTCACTGAACAACATATGGGAGGCTCATTCTATGCCATGCAGAACATTCAAGGTGAAGTGTCTCGCCAAGTCAGCAAAGATCAGTGTATTTCTTCACCTCCTGAGAATGACAAGGTGAAGGGAGCTTGAACTATGCACCTCACACTGAGCTTATCACAGCCCCTTTTTTATCATTAACATACTATATAAATTGTTTGTTGTATACATAAAGGCCGGTGAATTATATTGAAAACATTTTTTTGTAGGCAGTTTATTGGATTTCCTATTCAGTTTAAGTAATCTGTCATATTTGAAACCTTTTACTCGGATCCTCTTTTGTAAGGATTTTGTTTATAATTTCATATTAGACATTCTGTTGAAATTATGTTTGCTGTAAAAGAAATGGTGATGCAGTCAAGAGAAATGAAAAAAACCACAAGTAAAAATTGTTGACATTAATTAAAGTCACAACATCAGCATATTTTACCATTAAAGCTTTGTATAACATGGAAAAGGTAAACAGATAGATATTAGATTGAACACATGTCAGCTGTATGTGGCTGAGATGTGGTGTGAGAGGGTATGAATGGTGTGTAGGAGAGAGAGGATTGTGGAGCACTGCCCGACTCGGACTGCCTTGATTAGCCCTGTTAAGGGTGTCACCCACTGTATCATGTACATGTATTGTTTAGTATTGTTCAGATATATAGATCTCCATGCAATATGCTGGTCATTTTGCCACAAACTAGATTAGAGTTTATGGTAACACTACACTCCATTCATATGGTGTGGCTTGTATGTATTGTTAGTTACACGGAATAACTGTTGAAGAATAAAACAAAGTGTGAGCTAATTGGTAGTTGCTTTGTCTGTCTCTTATAAACAGCTTGTCATTAGTTCATTCTGTTGAATAGATCAAATGCTACATGTATCTCTGTGTTTTGCTAAGGGGAGGTAAGTGCTTGTGTGAAAAATTACCTGATGGTGCAGCAGATATGGTCAGACCCTCGAGTTCCTATATAATTAGTGTTCTTTTTCATGTTTTTTTTAACAACTTAAGTGTATAGATGAAGAGCATCAAGCTTACTCTAACGAATGTTCCCAGATCTGTATTGCTGTCCAGGTCATGGAAGTCAAGTGTACTAAAATATTTAGAATGACTAAGGGAACTAGTCAATTAATGTGTTGGCAGTTTTTCCATAAGTGAAACAGTATACCTATATATTGGCTGCCATTTAAGATGACGTATACCAATAAGTTATAGTAATCTTAAAGTCATATGATTCATCCCAACATAGCTTTATCATTCATTCCTGAACCTGCATTGTGCTGTCGAAGACGTACACGATATCTAACAGTGACATGAAAACATTAAAAAAAGGTATTGAATGGCTAAGTCGATGCTCTAGTAAGTACGAACATACTAGTACCAGCCTACGTATGTGGTTCTGGTCTGTCACATATCTAGTTTCAGTCTGGTTTTAGCTGTCACGTTTCTAGTTTCAGTCTCTTTCCGGTCTGTCACTTGTTCTGTTTTCTTGTTTGGTCTGTCACTTGTCTAGCATTCTGGTACGGTATGTCAGGTGTCTAGTATTCTAGTTTGGTCTGGCAAGTGTCTGGTATCCTGGTTTGGTCTGGCAAGTGTCTAGTATTCTGGTACAGTATGTCAGGTGTCTAGTATTCTAGTTTGGTCTGCAAAGTGTCTAGTATCCTGGTTTAGTCTGGCAAGCGTCTATTATTCTGGTACGGTATGTCAGGTGACTGCTTTTAATCTGGTTTTGGTCTGTCAAAAAGTGGTAAAGTCTATTTTGGTTTGTCACTAGTCTAGTTTTCTGGGTAGGTATGTCTTGTGTCTAGTATTCGGGTTTGGTGTGTCACTTGTCTAGTTTTCTGGTTAGGTAAGTCTCGTGTCTAGTATTTGGGTTTGGTGTGTCACTTATCTAGTTTTCTGAGTAGGTATGTCTCGTGTCTAATATTCTGGTTTGGTGGGTCATTAGTCAAGTTTTCTGGGTAGGTATGTCTTGTGTCTAGTATTCGGGTTCGGTGTGTCACTTGTCTAGTTTTCTGGGTAGGTATGTCTCGTGTCTAGTATTCGGGTTTGGTGTGTCACTTGTCTAGTTTTCTGGTTAGGTAAGTCTCGTGTCTAGTATTTGGGTTTGGTGTGTCACTAGTCTAGTTTTCTGCGTAGGTATGTCTTGTGTCTAGTATTCGGGTTCGGTGTGTCACTTGTCTAGTTTTCTGGGTAGGTATGTCTCGTGTCTAGTATTTGGGTTTGGTGTGTCACTTGTCTAGTTTTCTGGGTAGGTATGTCTCATGTCTAGTATTCGGGTTTGGTGTGTCACTAGTCTAGTTTTCTGGGTAGGTATGTCTCGTGTCTAGTATTCGGGTTTGGTGTGTCACTTGTCTAGTTTTCTGGGTAGGTATGTCTCGTGTCTAGTATTCGGGTTTGCTGTGTCACTAGTCTAGTTTTCTGGGTAGGTATGTCTCGTGTCTAGTATTCGGGTTTGGTGTGTCACTTGTCTAGTTTTCTGGGTAGGTATGTCTCGTGTCTAGTATTCGGGTTTGGTGTGTCACTAGTCTAGTTTTCTGGGTGGGAATGTCTTTTGTCTAGTATTCGGGTTTGGTGTGTCACTTGTCTAGTTTTTTGGGTGGGTATGTCTCGTGTCTAGTATTCGGGTTTGGTGTGTCACTTGTCTAGTTTTCTGGGTAGGTATGTCTCGTGTCTAGTATTCGGGTTTGGTGTGTCACTAGTCTAGTTTTCTGGGTGGGAATGTCTTTTGTCTAGTATTCTGGTTTGATCTGTCACGTGCCTATTTTCAGACTGGGTTTGGTCTATCACAAAGTAATTTCAGTCTACTTTGGTGTGTCGCTTGTCTTGTCTTCCGGGTTGGTGTGTCATAAGTCTAATATTCAGGTTTGGTGTGTCACGTCTAGTTTCAATTTGGATTTGGTATGTCGTGTGTCTAGTATTCAGGTTCGGTGTGTCACGTGTCTAGCATTTTGGTTTGGCTGTCACGTGTCTAGTTGATTTCTCACGTGTCCATTTTATCTGTCACACTTAAGCTGAGTGTAACTGAGAACGTAACCCATATAAGATTATTTATCATTATTATTAGAAGAAGTATTTATTAATACTAATTTATGTTAAGTGATTCTGTTACGTTGTCGACATTTTGTATGATAATTAGTTCCATAAAACCACCTGATTTTGTCTGACCCAGCAGAGAAATGTTATGCAGGATTTTGTAAGTGTTACTCTAGAATGGAAGAAGACAAATTAATTACTGCAAGCTCCTATAACAAATATTTTTGTCATATGTTTGAAACATAAGTATTTTTATCCAAAAATGAGTATAAACTATGTCATATGCTCACAAACCAATCAGTAAAATACACTCTTGCTAATTCTTAATCTAATTCCACTTCACGACTAAACGACGAAGTAACAAATTTGACAATGATATACTCTATTTTATAACCAAATTTAACAAATACAACAAACCGACACCAAATGTGTCACACCGAAATTGTACTAAGCGTCCATTTTGTTTTTAGTCAAACAATAAACACTTTTTTGAAAATCGTGAACTACTTGTAGATGTTGGATATATTTTTGAAACACGTGTGGTATATTTCATTATCACGTGACTCTTTGGATTTATTTCTAAAATTCATGCTACGTATAAAATGTATAAAACAGAATACACAGATGTCCTTAGAGTTAATTTTAAAAATCGACATTGAACGATTGATATGATGTTTTAAACATACTATTACACTGCTATGGTCTTTAGTACATGGCATACATCTTAATACTTATAATATACTAAAAATTTATTGAATAAAGACAGCTACCATAACGGATAAAGAGAAGGATACGTACTGGACATAGACGTCGACGGAAGTGAACAGAATTGTGAACAGGGAGCACCTGTGTTAGAAAGTGCCATGATAAAAAACTGATTTTTGGAGTTTCCGAGAAATGAAAGTTCCAACATAGAGATTGATTTTTGGGTAGTTTTCTGAAAATGAAAGAGCTAGTATGGAATCTAATTTTTGGAGTTTCCGAGAAATGAAAGTTCCAATATAGAGACTGATTTTTGGGTAGTTTTCTGAAAATGAAAGAGCTAGTATGGAATCTAATTTTTGGAGTTTCCGAGAAATGAAAGTTCCAACATAGAGACTGATTTTTGGGTAGTTTTCTGAAAATGAAAGAGCTAGTATGGAATCTAAGTTTTGGAGTTTCCGAGAAATGAAAGTTCCAATATAGAGACTGATTTTTGGGTAATTTTCTTAAAATGAAAGTGACAACGAAGAACACATTTGTTCAGGTAGTTTTCTGAAATGAAAGTGGCAACGTACCAATTTAAGCCGACTCGTAAAGGATAGATTCTATACGAAAGGTTTGGATTTTACACACAAGTGGACATACCTACTTGCGTGTAACAGGAAATCACTCTCAAGTGTCCTCGACGCAATTGACAGGGTTAAGACGTCAATAGTAATAACTTGAAACCTTCAGTGTACAATTCAACAAGCACATGACACAACAGATGTTTCGTAAATCAATTATTCATCTACAGGACGTAGTTTTTTTAGGTCGCCTGAGCCATAGGCTATTGCCATCATGATTTGTCTGTCGTCGTGCGTCGTGCGTCGTGAGCGGTAAACTTTTCACATATTCCACTTCTTCTCAAGAACCACTGAATAGATTTTGACCAAACTTGGCACAAAGCATCCCCATGGGAAGCTGCTTCAAGTTTACGAAGAAAAAGGGCATGGCCCCAATAGGGGCCCAAGGAGGGGGAAAAGGGTGTAAAATTAGGTAAACAGTCAGACTAAGGTCATATTAGATATTTAGGGTCCTTATGGCATGGTCTACAAAGTTTGCGAATGAAAAAAAAAATGGGTCAAAAACGGCCCCTCTAGGGGGCACTCAAAAGGGTAAAAAATCAACTTTGACCGATTTCAACCAAATTTGGAAGAAAGTATCCCTTAATGAAGGACATATGAAATTATGTTGAAAAGAGTGATTATATCCCCTTTGGGGCACATAAGGGGTGTAAAAGGGGCCATATGTAAAAACCTTCTTTAAATGACTTCTTCTCAAGAACCATTGGATGGATTTTGACCAAACTTGGCACAAAGCATCCCCATGGGAAGCCGCTTCAAGTAACTGAAGAAAAAGGGTGTGGCCCCAATAGGGGCCTAAGGAGGGGGAAAAGGGGGGTAAAATTAGGTAAATCTTTAAAAATCTTCTTTTCATGAACCAACATTCAGATTAAATTCATATTTGATATTTAGGGTCCTTATGGTATGGTCTACAAAGTTTGCGAATGAAAAAAAATTGGGTCAAAAACGGCCCCACTAGGGGGCACTCAAAAGGGTAAAAAATCAACTTTGACCGATTTCAACCAAATTTGGTAGAAAGTATCCCTTAATGAAGGACATATGAAATTATGTTGAAAAAAGTGATTATGGCCCCTTTGGGGCCCATAAGTGGTGTAAAAGGGGCCATATGTTAAAACCTTCTTTAAATGACTTCTTCTCAAAAACCATTGGATGGATTTTGACCAAACTTGGCACAAAGCATCCCCATGGGAAGCCGCTTCAAGTAATTGAAGAAAAAGGGCGTGGCCCCAATATTGGCCCCAGGAGGGGGAAAAGGGGGAAACTTGATACGAATGTTCTACACAAGGTCCTGGCAAGTGTTTTAACTTTTATGGGCGATTCAAAATCCAAGATGGCCACTCTGGCCTCTGTTTGGCTAAGACATTATGGACTTCCTCTCAAGAACCATTGGGTGGGTCATGTTCAAACTTGGTACAGATGTTTTACACATGGTCCTGCACA